TTGAAAATTCGGGTGAGAATCACGGCATTGGGGCGCTTCTTGTTGCTGGTGCCGAACACGACCAGACCGCACTCGTTCTTGTTGGCCAGGAACTCGATGCTCTCGACGTTCTCGAACGGGTGGAGCTTTTCATTCTTCTTGTGGAACAGGACGGAGTTGGGCTTCGTCAATGAATGGAAAGTCTTCAGGACAGTGTCAAGCGCCTGCGGGCATTTTGTGCCGTGCAGGATGAGAGTCCGCTTCGGGCCCTCGATGAGTTGGGGCTCACGCGCCTTGAGAATGCGCGCGGTGCGGGGGTTCTTGGGCTTGCTAGAAAGAAAAAGTTAGTGAAAGTTTTTCCATATGGGAATTGTCAGGTACGTACACTTCACGCAACATGATGGCGGTGGTTTGATATGTCGTGGTTGCTCGGAGTAAAAAACGCAGAAAACTTTTGGGGCGAAGGCTTGGCATGCTTATCGATAAGAACTCACTCGGCTCCACTTTGGAAGATACTTGACTTGACTAACATTTACCACGGAAAGTGAACCTCAATAATTGAACAATGAGAATTTTATTTTATTTGATCTGTACTCAGGATCTGGCTTGTATATCCGACATTTACTCCAAGCGCAGCTTCTCAAACTCCTTAATCTGCTCCTCCAAACGGGCAGTCTCGCTCTCGTTATCACGGAGACGCTTCTCCTCAGCCTCACGTACCTCAGCCTTGACTTTGTCCTTCCAGTTGGGGGCAGCCATGATACCCTGGGACTTGCGCACGGCCTCGCGGGCACGCTCAAGGGATTCCTTTGCCTTTTCCTCTTGCTCGAGAGCGACCTCCTTGGAGACACGCAGGTAGACGGCAGCCTCGGCGCCAACAGCAGCGACAACACAGCCGGGGGGAGGAGTCTTGTTCTCAGGTCCAAGCTGGGACAGCTCGCCCAAGTTCTTACCACCAAGAGACTTGATGCTAGTCATCTCCTCGGAGACAGTCTTCTGGCTGGTAGCGTCGTAGGTCTGGATGATGATGTCGCCCTTGGTCTTGACATCGTATTGAGCCAAGATGGAACGGATAGCCTTGGAGGTGTTCAGGACAAGCTCGTAGGCGGTCTCGGCAGCGGGATCGTGGAAATCAGCCTTGTACTCGGGGTACTTGGCCTTCATGATCGAGACAGTCTTGTCATCGGGGCGGCGGGGGAGACGCTGCCACAGGTGTTCGGTGACAAAGGGCATGATGGGGTGGACCAGGCACAAAGCTCCCTCGAGAGCAGTGTAGAGGGTTTGCTTAGCGGACTCCTGCATCTCGGGAGAGGCGTCTTCGGCCAGCAGGAATTTGGAGTTCTCGATGAACACATCGCACAGCTGGGCGTACCAGTACTGGTAGGCGGTGATAGCAGTGGGAGAGAACTCACGAGCCTCCAGAGACTCGTTCATCTCCTTGGCAGCGGTGTTGAACTTGTGCAGAATCCAGCGCTCCGACAAAGACTCGTTGCCATTCTTAGTAGGAGTAGCCTGGGGCTTGAAGTCATCGCCCAGTTTCCCGAGGACGAACTTGGTGGCCTGATAGATCTTGTTGCAGAAGCGACGGTATCCGTGAATAACCTGGATGTCGAAAGCAATATCACCACCTATGAAAAGAAATTAATATAAGAGGCCCGGCAATAAAGAAGAAGACATACATACCGCCAGTGGTGTAAGAGACAAGGGCGAAACGAAGAGCGTCAGCGCCGCACTCGGGGATACCCTTGGGGAAAGCCTTCTTCTGGTACTTGGTGGCAGCAGCGACCTCCTTGTCGGCAAGATTACCCTGCAGCAGCTTGTCATGAAGAGTCTGAAGCTGGATACCCTCCATGACATCAATGGGGTCAACGACGTTGCCCAGGGACTTGGACATCTTGCGGCCCTCGGAGTCACGGATCAGAGAGTGACAGTAAACCTCACGGAAAGGAATTTGGCCGGTCAACTTGATACCCATCATGATCATACGGGCGACCCAGAAGAAAAGAATATCCCAGCCAGTCTCCAGAACGGAGGTGGGGTACAGATTCTCGAAGTCGTGGGTCTTGTTGGGCCAGCCCAGAGTAGAGAAGGGCCACAGAGCAGAGGAGAACCAGGTGTCGAGCACGTCGGGGTCACGCTCCAGGGAGAACTTCTTACCGGGGAACTTGACCTCGGCCTTCTTATGGGCGTCCTCCTCGGTGCGGCCAGTAACCCAGTACTCGCCATCGCTCTCGGAGTTGTCCTCACCTTCGATCTTGACGAAGTAGGCGGGAGCCTGGTGACCCCACCAGAGCTGACGGGACAGACACCAGTCGTTGATGTTGCGCATCCAGCGGAAGTAGCTCTTCTCGGCGCTCTCGGGGCGAATGATGATATCGCCGTTCTCAACGGCCTTGATGGCAGGCTCAGCGAGATCCTGCATCTTCATCCACCACTGGGGTTTGAGGATGGGCTCAATAACGTCATTGGACTTGGAACAGCGGGGGATCTTCATAGGGTTGTGCTCCCACTTGACATACAAACCAGCTTCCTTCAGGGCCTCAATGACGGCGTAACGGGCGTCGAAGCGCTTCATGCCAGCGAAGCGTCCACCGTGTTTGTTGAAGGTACCATCGTCGTTCATGACGGAGATAAAATCCAGGTTGTGAGCCTTTCCACGGTTGAAATCGTTGAAGTCGTGGGCAGGGGTGATCTTCACGGCACCAGTACCGAACTCGGGTTCAACCTCCTCATCGGCAACAATGGGCATAAGACGGTCACAGAAGGGGTGGCGAGCATTCTTGCCGATCAAGTGCTGGTAGCGCTTGTCACTGGGGTGGACGGCAATACCAGTATCACCGACCATGGTCTCAGGACGAGTAGTAGCAATCTCGATGCGCTCGTTGGTGCCATCGATCTCATAGCAGAAGTGAGTGAGAACACCGAATTCGACCTTGCGGTCGTAACCGGGCACATCCATGAGCGTACGGCCTTCAATCTCCTTGTTCTCAACCTCCAGGTTAGAAAGAGAAGTGTTCAACGCAACACACCAGTTAACCAGGCGGTTGGCACGGTAAATGGTACCCTCCTCGTGGAGACGGACGAAGGTCTCAGTCACGGCAGCGGACAGGTTAGGGTCCATGGTGAAGGCCTCGCGGGACCAGTCGAAAGAACCACCAACTCGGCGCAGAGCGTTCTTGATGTTGGCATGGTAGACATCCTTCCAGTCCCAGATCATTTTGGTCATAGCGGGGCGTCCAATATCGTGGCGGGTCTTCTTCTCTTTCTTCCAGAGCTGCTTCTCGACAACACTCTGGGTAGAAATACCGGCGTGGTCCATACCGGGAAGCCACAGAGTGGTCTTACCCTTCATTCTCTGCCAGCGGATCATGGTATCTTGGAGTGCGTTCGTCAGGGCGTGACCCATGTGGAGGGAACCGGTAACGTTGGGAGGCGGAATAGGAATAACGAAGGAGCCCTCGGGCTTGACCTTGCCGTCCGGACCCCATTCGGGCTTGAAGAGGTCACGCTCCTCCCACCACTCGAGTCGGCCGGCCTCGATGACTTTGGGGTCGTATGCGTCGGCAGTCTTGTCCTTCTCGACCTTGGGGGCCTTCTTCTCAGTCTTGGGTGCAGCAGCGGGCTTGCTAGCCTGCTTAGCCTGTTTCTCAGCGAATTTCTTAGCTTTCTCGGCCTTCTTGCGCTCTCGCTCCACTGTACAAGAACCTCAATGTCAGCCAATGCTCCTCAAGTCACACCGATTCATCCATCCCAAGTATCGAATACGCGCAGGGGAGTTCGTAGGGTCGACATACACTCCTTCTCGGACTTCACCTTAGGAGCGCTGGAGGCATCCTGAGGTTGGGCAACGGGTTCCCCAGCTATTCAATGTGAGCTTCTTTTCATGCGCGGGGTGAGTCACCAGGGTATACACACTTGGGGTTTGGGAGGCAGGGTTCTGAGCCATCCTGGAGAATGATCGATATTGCGGAGTGAATCTCCAAGGCGCCGATCGCGCCACGAATCGCCTGATGAGTATCTTGAGAGAGTGGGATGCGACGAGGAGGGGTGGTTGTGCGAAATGCGGGCAAATTAAATTTCCCACGCAGAGGCAACGAATGAGAGGGCGGGGCGCAAGAGAGGATCAGTGGAGTCGCGGGCACTGGACTATGGACTTTCTGTCGGGCTCATATGAGTCACTATACACACCATTGGTCTCAATAGCTGTGATTTATGCAGTTTGAACACGTCAGGCGCTGCCTTGCGGTAGTTAGTTGGTGCTCAAGGGCGTTGAGATTGCCCTCACGTGACAAACGCTGGTGCCAACGGGCGATCGACGCGCGATAAGATCATACAACTACGAAGTATACAATCGATACGACCCTAAGTCTAGAACTTATACTGAATACAGTGGAAGGGGATGTTGAATTGCATGTATTGTCTCTTCAGAACCCTCGTAATGATCACCAAGCAACATGTGCGTCCCCGAACCATCACTCCGAAATGTGCACATGAAAACAGGAGACGCATGGAAAGACAAAATACGAAAGCGAAGCATAGGGAAAATCCAGAACACCGGAACAGGGACGAAGGGCGATAGAAGAGAAATGGAAGAAGTAGCGCTATACAATTATGGGAGACACGAGACGGTTCCTCCGCTCTAAGACGTCAACTGATTTATTGCGCTCACTAACACGCCCGAGCCGAGGGATGCAGGGCTGCTCGGCCCAAAAAGATTAGATATCATGTCTTGTCATCAACGTCGTCTCCGTTCGGGATTCGGTCACTCATCGTAGCCACTCTTCTTCCGGGTGCTCAGAGAAGAGATAGCCAGTGGTTTGCGTCAATTGTTCTTCTCCCAGCCCACGATCATGCGCCGCTCGTATTGGCAAAGTCAAACTCAGATAAAACAAATGGTACCGGGATGTCGAGCGTTGTGTTGACAGGCAGCATGGACAGAGAGAAGAGGGAAACTGTGCAGGTAGGAGAGGAGGGGAAAGGGAGAAAGGAAGCCACGGTTGTCAACCAGCGCGAGAGGCAGCTCACGATTGGGCCTGGGCGTTGTTGTTGGCATCAGCTCGCACAGGATCAAAGTATGGGTGTGCCATGGCCTCCTGGGCAGTCAAGCGTTCCTACTACGGGTCAGTATAAAATAAATCAATAGGGCCCGGGGAGTAACATACAGCGTGGTCGTAGCGCAGAAGCTTGTCAAGGAAGTCGATGGCCTCGTCACTGATGAAGCGCTGGTTCTCGGCGGTGACGAAAGAGCGCCACGGCTTGCGGGGGAAGCGGGAAAGGATCTCATCGTACTGCGGGTCGAGTTCAATGTCGTACTTGTCCAGGTACTCAAAGAGCTCCTCGGTACCGAGAACCTTGGCAATCTTCACCAGCTGGTCAGAGTTGCTGTTGCCGTGGAAGAAGGGCTCCTTGCGGAAGATCATGGACGCAAACATGGCGCCCAGTGACCACATATCCAATGAATAGTCGTATTCCTGGAAGTCGACGAGTAGCTCGGGACCCTTGAAATAGCGAGACGCGACACGGACGTTGTATTCCGTGCCCTTGTGGTAAAATTCAGCCAGACCCCAGTCGATCAACCGCAGCTATAAGAATTAAATCAGTATATAAAATCACGCCACACACAGTATTTATGACGAACCTTGCGCTTCTCGTGGTCAATCATAACGTTGTGAGGCTTAACATCTCTGTGCATGATGCCCTTGCTGTGACAGAAGTCGAGAGCCTTGAGCAGCTCGTAGACATAGAAGCGAACGTCGTAGTCGGAGAAGCGAGGGTAGAGTGTCCGGAAATCGGTGTTGTTGACAGCCTCAAAGACCAGACTAGGAGTTTTGCTCTGATTGTCGCGGACCACATCCAACAGTGCAACAACATTAGGGCCTCCGGCGAGGTTCTGCAGAATCTTGATCTCACGCTTGATCTTCTTCTTTTTGACAGGCTTGAGAACCTTGATAACACACTTCTGATAGTTGACGACGTTGATACCTTCGAACACTTCGGAGTACTTTCCACGACCTAAAGCAAATACTGTCAGCGTGCATTTAATCAGGCAGCATCTCTACAGTTCAGGGAAAGCTGCAGATGCTACCGCCTTTCTTCGAGTTGGATGGCTCCAATCAGATGTTAAATACCTATCTTGCGAACGATCTCGTAGTTCTCCAGCACGCCCCAGGAAATGTTCACACTGTCATAGTCCCAGTAGGACCGAGGCATGTGCTCGTTGACATCGGCGTAAACGCGCGCCATATTGAATGTGGATGGCTTCCGAGCCCGCCCACAAATGGAAGATGCGGCGGGGTCACGCGGGGTGCGACCGAATCAGAGATGGGAGGGAGGGTCGGGAGAAGAATGAAAGGGTTGGAAGATAGCAGCAGCAGCAGGCCCAGCAACTGACAGCCCGAATGCAGCCTCGCTATCGATCGTTCTGGAACAATGGGATTTGGAGGGGGATATCGTTGCGTGAGAGCGAGATCTGTTCCGCCTTGTCACGGGATCGCTGTGGAGAGCAGTCTAGATCGGGTTAGCAACGGGACATTGGTTATTCCGGGCGATTTTCTAGTTACCTCTTTCGGACAGTTTCGTGACTTGGGCTTTCTTTTTTTGTACCTGGGAGGACTGAGTGCCGCCCTTTTAAATCAGACAAGGCAGGATGTTCTATGACCTGAACGTCCCATATAGCCCCGATGACTCGGAGGCCCCGCACACCCTGAATTTTCTGGCGGAACGTAAGTCATTCTCGCGCGGCCGGCACAAGATCGCATGTTGGATCGTGACCACATGAGGTACTAACCTGACCCCTCAGTTGGTTATACCACCGTGGCCTTGTCCCAGTCCGTCACCGGCAAGCTTCCTTCGAGCCTCACCCCGCCAGATCTTCCATCGAATCCGCCAAAATCTCTCCAACTACTGACCCGCTTGAACCTGACTCTGGCCGACCCCGCGCAGAACCAGCGCCTTAACAGCCTGACTCAGGCCTATGATATAATTGCCCTCCGTCCGACGAACGAAAAGGCGCTTCTCAATGCCTGTACAAACCTGGAATGCGACGTGATCTCACTCGATCTTTCCGTGCGACTTCCATATCATTTCAAATTTAAAATGCTGTCGGCTGCGATATCACGTGGCATTCGGCTTGAGATCTGCTACGGCCCTGGGGTCACGGGAAGTGGTCTAGATGCTCGCCGGAATCTCATTGGAAATGCCATGTCTCTGATCCGAGCTACACGCGGCCGCGGCATCATTGTGTCAAGTGAGGCGCGGCAAGCTCTCGGCCTGCGAGCTCCCTGGGATGTGATCAACTTGACTTGCGTGTGGGGCCTGTCACAAGAACGCGGCAAGGAAGCTATTTGTGAGGAGGCACGGAAGGTTGTGGCGCTTTCCAAATTGAAGCGGACCAGCTGGCGCGGAATTGTCGATATTGTTCACGGGGGCGAGAGAGCCAAATCTGGAAAACCCCCACAGAACCAAAAATCCAAAGATCAAGCTCCGGCTACGGCACAGCCGGGGGCTGCTGGCGAAACTTTGAAGCGAAAGGCATCTCTTGGTTCGGAGACAGTCATCGAGGAGCCGGAGAAGGCCTTGTCGAAGAGAGAGCTGAAAAGACGAGCCAAAAAAGCCAAGTTTGAGTCACGAGGGGGAGATGCGAGCTGATTTTACCATCCCCGCTTCTCACCTCTCAAAATAGAGGTTGTCATTCTTCAAAAGGTGGAGATCATGGCCCACCCCATTCGTACTACAGATGAGCGAAATTTTTGAGCTATCCCAAATCGGACCGGGTATTACAAATTTCGTCGCTCTCATCTTCTTGCGATTCCACAACGGAACCTCTTCATCAAGTCTTGCAACTCGCAGCGGAGGTGGTTAACAATGTTGGTCACTTCCCACCGCCGGACGGTGCGGCTACGGAGCGAGGTAGGGGAAACCGCCATATCTAACGGTTGTGTCCTGATGACTACACTGACTTGATCCCGCTAAGTCCCAACCTCAAATTCAGTCTCCATGGCCATGAGGGCTGTTGCATTGAGGCTCCTTGGCGGAAGGCCAGTGTAACCATACTCATATCTCGTGCCTCGGTCACATATACCCTTTACTCAGTGATCGAGGATAAAAAAACCCCAATAAAGTCTGTCAATACCAACTATCATCTATGATACGATGTGTTTGAATCCCAGTGACGCCTTTGTCTTATTCTGGCTGGTGTACTTCGTAGCTCGACTTTCGCTGAGTCTAACACTCCAGAAGCCAGTCATAAGGCGGGAATTCTCTAAATTCATATAGACGGTCATGACTGTTGTCTTGGTATGCCTCAAGTCCTAATCAAACCCAGTGGGACGCAGATCAACATGGTCCTTGTTTTGCACATTTATGGCTTGAATCGGCTTCGGATCGGCCACGGTGGAATTATAGAGACCCAGGCAAGATATCTATTGATTTTTAATGAATGAAGAAAAAGGGTTGATGACTGTAAGACATCGTGAAGGCTTAGACATCCTCCGAACTCAATTGGAAGCAGGGCCCAGGATAACTACGTAATAACCTCAAAGCTTCGTTCCTTGGAGCCAATAGAAAAGCACAGGGTATATCATCCATTCCTATGCGGTATCTCTAGAAGCTGATTGAGGCAATCAAGTTTAAATGCTGATATCAGGTTTCCATGTGTGGTACTTTGTATCTTAGTGGCGGCTATCTCGATCTGGCGAATGTACGCGCATAATGCTAATCCCCAGTCCCAGGAAACAGATGTATCCACCTTCAGCCCTATGTCGAGTTTCCAACTTCAAGCGAAATCAATATTTTCTTCTTCGGATGGAGCTGCCGTCATTACTCTAGTTCGTAAGTCAATTACCACTGGGAAACGTCGACGCGGCCTACACGCTCGCTTGGGCATAGATGCAGCGTTGAATGCAACTCCAGAGTACTACAAAGACGCAGCCGACAGCTGTCTATCAAATAAAAGCATAATTATCATTCAAACTATCGATCACCTATGGATAAGGACAGATCAACAGCAAACAAACTGACAATTTACCCGAGATAAGAAGTGAAAAGAGGGGAAACGCGGGCTTGCGGAGATCCTGATCCCGTTCACTCCGAGGCTTCATGAATTGCGCCTGCCCTGTGAAATTGGACTAAATTAAATGCCACCTGCTCTTCGTGTTCCGTGTTCCCAGCTGCCTTCTTGTCCCCACTCATCCTGTGTCCCTAGGGTTCACTCCAATAAATGTAGGCTATATATGTTGCTCCACTGTCATTTATCTTCCTGTCTGAGCGTACTTGCATCGCATCCATTCTTAATTAACGTCATAGCTTGTGCGATTCCAGGCTATTCTCGGGTGTTGCCGGATATGCGTAAGTGGCTCGGTCGACATCCTCGCTTCTCTCAGAGGCCTGCCCCGCATGGCCGATGCTGATGTGGCACATCATCGCTTATCATTCATCTTTGCAAATGTTAGCGAGTGGAGCTCTTTTGGCTCGTCGAGGCCAGGGATAGTTACCCAGCTCCCAATTTCCGCCGTGTCTCTCTGTATACCGGAGGAGCTGCTGTTAATAGTCAGCTTTGGATTCCCTAGGATGGAGTATCTATAATCTCCAAGGCAGCATTTGCATACCTTGTACCTGAGCTACCAGATGCCGAGCTACTGTGGGTAGTTGAGCCCTGCTTGGGGGGAGGGCTGTTTGTTGGTGTCTTCGTTGGTTCGGCCATGGTCGAAGTCAGACGTTCGGTATCAATGACTTAGGAATAGCTGTGTGGCTGCAGCACGAGATAATTGGGGCAATTCAGGGTGAGTGAAAGTGCCAGGACAACAAGCGCATTCTCAAGACGACGGAGACCTCCATTATGGCCGGGAGGACCATTCTTTTATGTCCAACGCATCTCCAAGGACTAGAGATGGAGTAACACTTCCAACCGCAATCAAACGCCATTTTGAGATGGTGTTGATTTGGGATCGATATCAAATACAAGAAATTGGGCACGTAGAGGATCGAGTGAAATGATTTGTGCCACTAATGATACACTGCAACGGCAAAAGAGCCAATAGCATCTCCCTCCTACGCGGCCATGCCGAGAATCCCATGAATCCCATGAATCTCTATGCCCAAAGGTCCCAACTAGAGCCTCATTGAACGGGTCAAGTCGCTAAAAAGGCAACCGATGTGAGTGCGGACCAGATGCGGACCCCCTCTTTTTGCATGCTCGTGATTTTTATTCTCTTTTCGTTGGTCGATGACCCCTCGGTGGAGTTGGTGGAGGCAACTTGCCGCTTCTAGGATCGCACGAGACGCGGAGAAAGGCCCTGTAGTGTCAGACTATCAAGACGTTGGTCCGCATCTCCGAACGCAAGACCCTGGAACCTTGTAAATTGTACAGCAATCGTCGTATTCAAAGGTTCTTCCCGCATATACAGTCTGTCTTGCTTTGCTCATGGTCACTCCTTCAGACAGAAACTATCTCTGTCATGGTCCCGAAAGCACACTAGCATGGATGCTACTCAGTTGGGCATTAATCTAAATGCCTTGGCTAGTAACTACTCCTACTACCGTGGGGAATCGGAACTAGTGAGACACCAGATAGCCCTGTGCAATGCATTGGCCAGCTTAATATATTTTCACATGCAGGTAAGCAGCCGACTGTGGAGGTGTGGACAGGAAATATACATTTGAAGATGTGCATAACAATTCATCACCGATGGCGCTAGATCTCGATGATCCCGGAACCATGAATTTTGCGAAAGACTTCACGTCTAGAAAACTCCTTAGAGATGTTAAACGTTACCCGAAGTATAGAACCCCAATGCGGGTTCGTCCCATCGGCCCCGGCCGCTTATCGTTATCGACTTCACATAGCCGGAGAGCGCCGACGAGCTCTCCGGATTTCTTATTACTCTGATCCTTCCTTTTTCTTCGTCTCTAGATCCCCCGAACTGCGCTGCTCAAGTTAAATAATCTACAGAGAGAGGTTTACGCATATCAACCCACCTCAGACTGCACCTGTCTGCTAAACCCTCACCATGGCTCCCATCCTCACCACCAACCCCTCAGTAACCCTCATCCCCGAACCTCTTACACCAGAGAATTTCGCCCAATTCGGCACAGCAATTTGCTCGCCCGTCCCCCGTGATCTCAATGTCGCGCCCAAATCCACAAATCTCCCACCATTCAACCCGAGCCCGGTCCTGGCAAACCAAAACTCCGCCCTAAAGTACAGTCCTATTTCCCCGCTCGTCGACCGCTACGCGCAAGGCCCCACCAAAGTCGCATCCGAGGCCCGTATGACTATGTTCTGCTGCTTCCCGCGTAACCTGCGCACAACGGCTTCGCCAGAGAAGGAACTCTTCGACGTGCGCATTCTCGAACGCCACCCGTTCACGAATCAGACGTTCATTCCTATCGACTTGTCAAGCCATTCGAAGGTTGGAAATGGCGAAGAAGAGCCGATTTTCTTGGTTGTTGTTGCGCCTACACTGAAGGGGGAGACTGCGACAGCGAAGAATGAGGCCGGGGAGACGGTTACGATTCGCGATCCGCCAGATTTGAAGAATGTGAAGGCGTTCATTGCGCATGGTGGTCAGGCGGTTACTTATGGTGTTGGGACTTGGCACGCGCCTATGGTGGTTTTGGGGAAGAGGAGGGTGGATTTCGTTGTTGTGCAGCATGTTAATGGGGTTGCTGATGAGGATTGTCAGGAGGCTGCGTTTGGGGAGGGCGTGGTCGTTGATTTGGGACGGAAAGGTCAGCATGGGAGGAGGGAGAAGGGGCCGGAGCTGTGGAGAGCTAAGAGGGTCTACAAGATTTGAGATCGATGAACGGGTATTCAGATTAGGCGGTATTTGGACAAAAAGCCTGGGTATTGTACATAGAATATTATACATAGATGGCTAAAGATTCTCACCCAACAAAGAAAACGATTTTTGGGGATAACTTTGTAGAGCAGTAGACTTCTTAAGCTCAGGCTCCATGCGAGGCGGGCTGGTCCTCGACAGAGGCTCGAAGGAAAGCCATCTCATCCTTCATCTCCTGGCGAACACGGGTGGCCAGGTCGATGGTTTCTCGGGGCAGACCCGCTAGTTGGGCAACTTTGAGGGCGTGTGACTCGCGGTTGACACCCTTCCGAAGGCGATGATCAAAAGAGAAGGACCCGGATGGAGTCTCCTTCACATCAGTACAGTACCTCTCAAGACGTTCGAAGTTTTGTGTCATATCCGCGAGCCCATGGAAGTGAGTCGCGAAGAGGGTACGACTCTGATTGTGATAATGCAAATGGTGAAGACATGCAAAGCTAACGGCAGTGCCATCCTCGGGGGTTGTGCCTCGGCCAACTTCATCCATGATAACAAAAGAACGCGGCGTGGCTTGCTTCAATATGGCAGCTGTCTCAAGCATCTCCACCATAAATGTCGACTGATCGCGGAACAGATCGTCGGCTGCACCAATACGACTAAAGATCTGATCGACTATTCCGATCTCGGCGTAAGCTGCAGGTACATAGGACCCGATCTGGGCTAGGATCGTGATCAACGCGTTCTGCCGCAGGAATGTACTTTTGCCCGCCATGTTAGGACCAGTGATAAGCCAGATCTGCTCCTTATCACCAAGGAAGCAATCGTTGCTCACAAACGAACGTCCCTGCTCCTCAAGGCCCAGTTTGACCGTGGCATGTCTTCCTCCCACTACCTTGTGCGTTGTTCCGTCATTCAGGATTGGTCGAACCATCTGCTGCTCCTGGGCCAACGTGGCAAATGAACAAGCGACATCCAACTCATCCATGACCGCTGCGTTGCGGCGGATCTTGACCAGATTGATGATCACTTCCCGACGAAGACGTTCAAAAATGGCCTGCTCTTCCTGGCGGATTCGAACCTTAATATGGTCCATCTTGTTGCCCAGTGCCGTCCATGCAGGAAGGTAAAATGAGCGAGTCGATTTGGTAGAAGAAACACTTCGAGTCACCCCCAAGTCCTCGATAGCCTGCTGGGAGATTTTAGCACCTTTGACATGGCAGATATGACCCAGACCGGGGGTCCATTTAAGATTCAAGGACGTAGACCCCACTGAATCCCGGAGCCGCTGTGTGAGGTCAGACTTGTCATTTACAAGCTGCTCCAACTCTCCGTGAAGACTGTTCAAAATATTGCTGGCGTCTCGTCTCATGATCCACGTTTCAACTGGACCAGAGTCGGGATCTGTCGCCGCGGCCCGCTCAGGTATTTTCGTTCGCACTTTCTTGGGTAATGACTCCATCTCACTCGATGTGCCCTCATTCATAGTAACCTCTTGGGCCAAGCTGGCTGCTTCGGCAGCCGTACTATCCTCGATGCGCTGTTTCTGAAGTAGACCCTCTTCATCAATCGCCGCAATTATGCGCTCTGCCAGGGCTATGGGCCCGTCAAGATGAAGTCGTGAAATCATAGATTCAAGGCTGCGTTGAGCATCATAATTTCCAGTGGAAGACAATTGCCTCACGTGGTCATAAAGAACTTGTCTGACTCCCTTGGACGCTTCTGTGGCCCGGGAAAGACAGACCAAGTCATCAGGATCTCCTTTGCCAAGGGCAAATTTCTGAACCAGACGCTGGGAGTCATAGCTTCGTTTCAACAATTGTACCACGCTCTCACGGAGATCTTCATTTCCAATGAAAACAGAGACTAAATCGAGGCGACCATTGATGACTTGAAGTGTAGTAGATGGGGAGGCTGCAAATAAATTTTAGCAAGTAGTGAACAGCCAGGCCGTGGATACATACTCAGTCTGTCTCGCAGAAGACGTGCACCACTTTTGGTACTTGTTCTGCGGACCGCGTGAAGCAGGCTGCCCTTCCCAAAACCGTCTCGAGCAGTTTCTAAGATTTCAAGTCCTCTTAGACTGTTGCGATCAATACCCATCGATTCATCCAAATGCCGTCGACGCGGAGGCTGGAGCTTGAGATCAGATCGCTGTAATTGTACTCGAATGTATTCTAGCAAGCTGTAACCGGCCGCCACCTCCTGTGTTGTGAAGGATGCGTGGCTTTCCTCAGGAATCGGGGCATCCAGCATTATATCCCATTCCGACATCGGTGCAATCGTGTTGGGAAATCGGAAGAAGGTAACCAGCCGGTGCTCCTGCCCAACCAAAAGTTGTATTTCTTGTCCAATGACGTCTTGGACGTTCTGATCCACAAGAATCTCCCGGGCACCGATTCGGGCAATGGCAGATGGAAGCATTTGTGTCGTTGTAAGCTGGGTGAAGAAATCACCCGTGGAAAGATCCAGCCACGACAGTCCTACGCTTTGAGGACCAGTGGATAGTATGTGCTGTGAAGACGGATTATCGGCCTGTTGCTTTGACTGTGCTTCCAAAGAAGAGATATCTAGATATATGGCCAACAGGAAATTGTTCTCAGAAGGGTCGATGAACTTTTCATCGATTAATGTACCAGGGCTGACGATCCTGGCCACTTTCCGATCAAAGAGCAGGCCACCAGAGCGCATTTTCTCTTCTTCGACGATAGCAAACTCTTCGCTAATAGCAACGTATCTATTAAGGTCTTGGACGAGAATCTTAAGGAATCGATCGAGCTGAAAGAAGGGGAAGCCTGCCATCGGCACTGGGCCAGCGCTAGTCTTCTTGCTTGCAAGCTTTATACTCAACAATGGCGCGAGCTCTTCGGCTTGTTCGAAGTAAAGCTAAGCAGCTGGTGTTAGCTAGATTGTATCGATAGCTCGATTTGATAAGTTGTACCTCGTAGAACCCCCCGACTCTGGTGAGAATAACACAGTTGTTGAATTTCTGCATGTTATTACGATGCCCTTGTACCACAGTTGGATATCGAGGTGCGTCATCCTGCCCATCATCATATGCTTCAAGCTTGACAACACCTTGTGGTAGGTCTTTCAATTGTACAGTCGATTTTGTTTTGGCGCTCCTCCGTAGTTCAACTGGCGGCACCGCGCTGGGCACGCGTGGACGGACGGGTGCGCGACGCGCATGGTGACAAATCGTTCTATGAACATGGTAACGACAGGATGGAAGCAGTGACACCTGAGATGAGCGTAAAGAAGATGCCAACCAGACTGACCGCCCATTAAAGCGCATCTTCGCGAGGTCAAAAGCACCGTCACTAGGGGAGCGGCAGAACCGCGAAAGCTCCCCGCCTTCCGCCTTCGCCACCGAAATCTTCCCGAGCTTCTGTCCTTGGCTCCGACCACCCTTCTCATCAACCTTGACCTTCGTTTCTCTCTCCTCAAGTCAGCTTGCTTGTGCCAGGAGGATGAGTCAGGTTTGTGAGGCCTTCTGAAAATTTCTCAGTTGCTTTCATTTTACGCGCGGCGTGGACGACTTTGATCGGCGCATCCAAGCCGATCCCGTCGCGACTCATTCGTTTTTTCTTCTCGGATCGCTTTCGTGACACGGTCACATCACCACCAAAATGACCGACCAATCACAATATAAGTATTCGGCGATGTCCAACCTGGTCCTCCAGGCGGACCGTCGTTTCATCAGCCGTTCCAATGACGAAGCGTCTGGAGACCCCGAGTCTATTGCGGGCCGTATCGGCATCCGAGAGATGGGGTCGCGAGTAGCCCGCGACGATGCGCCGAAGACCAAGAAGGCCGCTGGGCCAGGAGTCGAACGTGGTGCAATTCACGAGGGCGAAGACGTCCTCATGCGAGAACAGAAGAAGCGCCAACGTGGCCAACCAGCACAACTTCGGGGCCAGGGTATTCTCTCAGCATCCGATGCTCTCATCGAAGGCTTGAAATATCGCCCGCGAACACCGGCGACGCGAGCGACATACGATCTTATCCTCACGATTACCGGCACAAATCTTGGCGATGTCCCCCATGAAGTCGTTCGAAGTGCCGCTGATGCCGTGTTGGAGCTTCTGAAGGATGAAGACATGAAAGATTTCGACAAGAAGAAAGAAATCGACGATCTTTTGGGCGCATCCATGAACCCCAAGGAGTTTAATGAGCTTGTGAACCTGGGAAAGAAAATTACCGACTACGATGCCCAGGATGAAGATGAAGACATGGACGGTGGCCTGGATGAAGCAGATGGAGAGCTCGACGAGCGTCAAGGTGTCGCTGTTGTTTTCGACGAGGACGAGGACGATGAGCGCATGGGCACCGTGGACGAAATTCGAGACGAAGACGACCTTTCCGAAGAAGACGAAGCCGACGACCAAGACCGACCCGAGGTCGACCAGCCCACAGAAGGTCTGGGTGAGGATGATGAGATGGTCATCGATGGCGGCATGGGACGGGATACCAAGACCAAGGATAAGGCAGACATGGACGTACTTGTGCGCGAGATCGACGCGTACTGGCTCCAGCGTCAAATCGGTGACTTGTATTCAGATGCTCACGTGCAACAAGAAAAGACACGAGAGGCTCTTGAGCTCATGGGTGGTCAGACCGAGGACGGATCTGAACGGCCTCTCCGGGATGTCGAGAACGACCTCATGGAACTATTCGACTACGACCATCCTGAAATTGTTGCTAAATTGGTCACAAACCGCGATAAGGTTGTCTGGGTGACTCGCTGGAGACGAGTGGCTGAAGATGCCGACGCGCGTAACCTTGTGGAAAGCCAGATGGTCGAAGCTGGACATCGTGCCATATTGGATGAGATTCGAGGAAAGTCTGCTCGAGATGATCTCGGCGACCGCTCTGAGAAGAAGATGAAGCTTGACCTGATGGACGTCGACGTCCCGTCAAGAGCCGCAGAAGACGAGAAGAAGCCTGCCACCGAAGGCGATTTGGTTGGTGGTCTTCAGCCTAAGCGCCTCATCAATCTCGAGAACTTGGTCTTCCACCAGGGTAACCATCTCATGACCAACCCCAATGTCAAGCTTCCTCAAGGTTCAACAAAGCGTACCTTCAAGGGCTACGAAGAGATCCATGTTCCGCCCCCCAAGGCCAAGAGAGATGCCGGTGAAAAGAATATCCCAACTACCGAGTTGCCGGATTGGGCTCGTGTTGGCTTCGGAAGCTCGAAGGAGCTGAACCGGGTTCAAACCAAGTGCTTCCCTTCTGCTTTCCATGACGATGGTAACCTGCTTGTCTGTGCACCGACTGGTTCTGGAAAGACCAACGTTGCTATGCTCACTATTCTCCGCGAGATCGGCAAGAACCGCAACCCGGAAACAGGTGAAATCATGCTGGATGACTTCAAGATCATCTACATATCTCCCCTTAAGGCCCTGGTGCAGGAGCAGGTCGGAAACCTTGGCAAGCGTCTTGAGCCCTACGGTATTAAAGTAGCAGAGCTCAGTGGTGATCGCCAACTCACCAAGCAGCAAATCGCCGACACTCAAATCATTGTCACTACCCCAGAGAAATTCGACGTCATCACTAGAAAGGCTTCCGAGACTAGCTACACCAACCTCGTCCGTCTCGTGGTCATCGACGAGATTCATCTTCTCCACGATGACCGCGGCCCTGTCATTGAGAGCATCGTTAGCCGTATCATTCGTCGTGTCGAGCAGACTGGTGACCCGGTGCGAATCGTAGGTCTCAGTGCTACTCTTCCCAACTACCGTGATGTCGCAAATTTCCTCCGTGCCGACCCCGAGAAGGGAGTTTTCCACTTCGATGGCTCTTACCGGCCTTGCCCTCTGAAGCAGGAGTTCATTGGCGTCACCGATAAGAAGGCCATCAAGCAATTGAAAACCATGAACGACATCTGTTACAACAAGGTTCTGGAGCAGGTTGGTCAAAACCGAAACCAGATGCTTATCTTCGTCCACTCAAGGAAGGAGACCGCCAAGACCGCCAAATACATTCGTGACAAGGCAATAGAGAACGAGACGATTGGCCAGATTCTGCGCAGTGATGCTGCTAGTCGTCAAATTTTGACTGAGGAAGCTGAGTCTGTTGACGATGCTTCTTTGAAGGACCTTATGCCTTATGGCCTGGGTATTCACCACGCTGGCCTGAGTCTTGCGGATCGTGATTCCGTCCAGGCACTCTTTGCCGATGGTAGTATCCAGGTTCTCGTCTGTACTGCCACCCTTGCTTGGGGTGTCAACCTTCCCGCCCACACAGTCATTATCAAGGGAACCCAGGTCTACTCCCCCGAGAAGGGTAGCTGGGTCGAATTGAGCCCTCAGGATGTTCTTCAGATGCTCGGACGTGCCGGTCGACCTCAATACGACACATTCGGTGAAGGTATCATCATCACAACCCAGGCAGAGATTCAGTACTACCTTTCGCTTTTGAACCAGCAACTGCCAATTGAGTCCCAGCTTGTTAGCAAGCTTGCGGATAACTTGAACGCGGAGATTGTTCTAGGCAACATCCGAGACCGTGACGAGGGTGTGCAGTGGCTGGGTTACACCTACCTCTATGTTCGCATGCTTCGGTCCCCAGGCCTGTACAGTGTTGGCGCAGACTACGAGAACGACGATGCTCTGGAGCAGAAGCGAGTTGATCTCGTCCACTCCGCTGCTACCATCCTTGAGAGATCTGGTCTTGTTAAGTATGAGAAGAAGACTGGTCGCCTGCAAGCAACTGAGCTCGGCCGAATTGCTTCTCACTACTACATCGGCCACAACTCCATGCTCACCTATGCCCAACATCTTCAGCCATCCATCACTACTATTGAATTGTTCCGCATTTTCGCTCTGAGTGATGAGTTCAAGTACATTCCTGTCCGCCAAGACGAGAAGCTGGAGCTTGGAAAGCTGCTGGGTCGTGTGCCAGTGCCTGTTAAGGAGACGATTGATGAGCCTCACGCCAAGATCAACGTCCTCCTGCAGGCATACATCTCCCGTCTCCGCCTGGACGGCCTTGCCTTGATGGCAGATCTGGTTTACGTTACTCAGTCTGCCGGACGTATCATTCGTGCGCTCTTCGAGATTTGCTTGAAGAAGGGCTGGTCAGCTGTGGCCAAGACTGCTCTTGACCTGTGTAAGATGGCCGAGAAGCGCATGTGGCCAACCATGTCTCCCCTGCGCCAGTTCCCTCACTGCCCTCGCGATATTCTGCAGAAGGCCGAGCGTATTGATGTGCCCTGGGCTAGCTACTTCGACCTGGACCCTCCCCGTATGGGCGAGCTCCTTGGCATGCCCAAATCTGGACGAGTTGTCTGCGATCTGGTCTCCAAGTTTCCCCGACTGGAAGTTCAGGCTCAGGTTCAACCTATTACTCGTTCCATGCTCCGTGTTGAATTGACCATCACCCCTAACTTTGTGTGGGATGATGCCATTCATGGCAATGCGCAGGACTTCTGGATCCTTGTTGAAGACTGTGATGGCGAAGAGATCTTGTTCCACGACCGATTCTTGCTGCGCCGCGAATTTGCTCAAGCTGAGATGAACGAGCACCTTGTGGAGTTCACTGTATCAATTACCGAGCCGATGCCTCCCAATTACTTCATTTCTCTGGTGTCTGACCGCTGGATGCACTCTGAGACCAAGATTGCTGTCTCCTTCCAGAAGTTAATCTTACCGGAACGTTTCCCTCCTCACACTCCTCTTCTCGACATGCAACGTGCGCCGGTCAAGGCCTTGAAACGCGAGGAGTACCAGCAGCTGTACCCCAATTGGGAGCACTTCAACAAGATCCAGACTCAGGTCTTCAAGTCCGTGTTTGATTCGGATGACAATGTCTTCATCGGTGCTCCCACTGGAAGCGGTAAGACTGTGTGCGCTGAGTTAGCCTTGCTGCGTCACTGGTCAAGTGAGAACAGTGGCCGTGCAGTGTACATTGCTCCCTTCCAAGAGCTGATTGACCTCCGTCTTGCCGACTGGGAGAAGCGTCTTAGTAACATTGGTGGTGGGAAGACCGTTGTCAAGCTTACGGGCGAAACAACTGCGGACCTGAAGCTCCTTGAGCGGGCTGACCTTATCCTCGCCACTCCTGTCCAGTGGGATGTTCTATCTCGCCAGTGGCAGCGACGCAAGAACGTCCAGACAGTACAATTGTTCATCGCTGACGAACTTCACATGCTTGGTGGTTTCGGTGGATACGTGTACGAGGTTGTTGTCTCTCGCATGCATTACATTGCTCTTCAGACTGAGAACGAGATGCGCATTCTTGGTTTGAGTGTGCCGCTTTCCAACGCCCGCGACATCGGCGAGTGGATCGGTGCCAACAAGCACACTATCTACAATTTCAGCCCGCACGCTCGCCCTGTGCCTCTGGAACTCCACATTCAGTCTTTTACCATTCCTCATTTCCCCTCGCTCATGCTTGCCATGTCTCGCCCTGCCTACCAATCGATCTTGACTCTTTCACCCGACAAGCCTGCTCTGGTCTTTGTGCCCAGTCGCAAGCAGACCCGTTCTACCGCCATGGATCTTTTGGCAGCGTGTTCCATGGACGATGATGAAGATCGCTTCTTGAACGCAGATGCAGAGGAGCTTGCACCACTGCTGAGTCGTGTTCAAGAACAGACTCTTGCCACCTCGTTGAGCCACGGTGTTGGCTACTACCACGAGGCCCTGAGCCTGGGTGATAAGCGTATTGTTACACATCTCTTCAAAATCGGTGCAATCCAGGTCCTTTTGGCCTCGCGGGATTGCTGCTGGGAATTGGATGTCACCGCTCATCTGGTTATCGTCATGAACACTCAGTTCTTTGATGGTCGTGAACACCGCTACATTGACTACCCTATTAGCGAGATCCTTCAGATGTTCGGCAAGGCTTCTCGTCCCGGTCAAGACAAGCTTGGTCGGGGTGTTTTGATGGTGCCTGCTGTGAAGCGCGAGTACTACAAGAAGTTCTTGAATGAAGCTATGCCGGTGGAGAGTCATCTCCAGGTCTACCTGCACGACGCATTTGTCACCGAGGCCAGCACAAGGACCGTCTCCTCGACCCAGGATGCAGTTGACTGGATGACCTACACTTACTTCTACCGCCGTTTGCTTGCGAACCCCAGCTTCTACGGGTTGAGTGATGTTAGTCACGAGGGCTTGAGTACCTTCTTGTCAGAGCTTGTTGAGAACACGCTCAAGGAGTTGTCGGAGGCAAAGATTATCGACCTGGATGAGGAGGATGACAGTGTTTCTCCTCTCAACGCCGCCATGATCAGCGCCTACTATAACATTTCCTTCATCACTATGCAGACCTTCCTGCTGTCTTTGTCGGCTCGCACCAAGCTCAAGGGTATTTTGGAGATTGTCACCTCAGCCACCGAGTTCGAATCTGTCCAGATGCGTCGCCACGAGGATCATGTTCTCCGCCGCGTGTATGATCGGTGTCCCGTCAAGATGTCGGAGCCCGCATTTGATTCGCCCCACTTCAAGGCCTTCGTTCTTCTCCAGGCGCACTTCTCGCGTATGCAGTTGCCTATTGACCTGGCCAAGGACCAGGAAGATATCGTTCGCAAGGTGCTTAACTTGCTGAGCGCCTGTGTTGATGTGCTTTCGTCTGAGGGTCACATCAATGCCATGAACGCCATGGAGCTGTCGCAGATGGTTGTTCAAGCTATGTGGGACCGCGATAGTCCTCTCAAACAGATTCCTCACTTCTCGCCTGAGGTCATCCAGGTGGCCAATGAGTACAAGTACGTTATTACGATTCCTGGTGAACAAACAAGCACTAACATGATTGGCAGGATCAACGATATCTTCGAATTCATGGACGCTATGGACCCTACCGAGAACAAGGACTACGCCACTCTTGTCAAGCATCTCAATTTGAACAACAAGCAGCTGGCACAAGCAGCCGCTTTCACGAACGAGAAGTACCCCAACCTCGAAATGGACTTCGAGGTCGAAGATCCCGAGAATGTCACCTCTGGCGAGCCCGCCTATCTCAAGATCAAGATCGAGCGGGAGCTGGAAGAAGACGAGGAGCCCGACACTGTCGTTCACGCACCCTTCTACCCCAACCAGAAGATGGAGAACTGGTGGTTGGTGGTCGGCGAGGAGCAGTCCAAGAGCCTGCTGGCCATCAAGCGCGTTACTATCGGTCGCAAGCTGGAGCTGCGCTTGGAATACGTGGTTCCGTCTCCTGGTGAGCACGAGCTGACTCTCTACCTTATGAGCGACAGCTATGTCGGAGTGGATCAAGCACCTACCTTCTCAGTGACCGCGGCTGAAGGTATGGAGGAGGATGAGAGTGAGGAGGAAGAGGAGTAGATTATGACTTTGCATTTTTATGTGTAATAATAGTTTTGGGGCTCATAGGATACAAAAGGTGTTTTCTTCTGTTCATCAATTCCGGTAAAGTGGCGAGTGCATAGCTAAGGTAAGCTAGTGATTCACATAGTTCTTCACCGGTGAAGTGGACCCTCTGGTAAACCCCGCATGGGTCACGTTGCACCCCCCAACTTGGGAAGCGCCTCGTCCTTCCTTCCTGCATCCTTGTTCCCTGCTCTTCATCTCATTGCTACTCTATCTTGCTCCCTACTTGCATTGACAGGGCTCTTTCATCTCTAGAGCATTTTCGTGGACCATTCACCGGAAGCTCCACTTTCTCCCAAGCTCCTTGCTAGCTATCTTATCTCCACATCTCCTCATCTCGAGCTAGCTTAGCCGCTATGGCTATTCGCCCCATGAAGTTTACGCCCGAGTAAGTGTTGGATCTTGAGCAGTCATCGTCGTACCTCGCACCATGATACCACATCCTTGGAGCGTTCTAATTGACCAAGTTCAGGGTCCTCCTCGGCGCCCCCAGGCGGTCCTCAGCTGCCCCCAACGCATCTGGTACCCTGGCCGTATACACCCAGACCTCCTACTCCTTCGAGTCACATTCCAAGACAAACGAGATCCGCGTCATCGACATCGAGTCCGGCCGATCCGCCCTGATCACCAATGACCCCGGTGCCGGCAACCCTCAATGGCTCGGCGGTGGAGACCAGCTCATCTGGCTGAAAACCAAAGCCAACGGCAACACAAGCTTCATCGTCGGCCACGCTCGTGAGGCTGATTCTACATACACTGCAGGAACTGTTCCAGGCCCTGTCTCCGATCTGAAAGTGACTGTTATTGAGCCTGGCAAGATCGGGTTTGCCGTCAGCGGAAAGGCTAACCCCGACGGATCCCTGTATAATCCCCATGATGCCAAAAAACCGCATACGACGGGTCGTTTGTATACAAAGCTTTTTGTTCGACACTGGGATTCTTATGTCGAGCCTCAGAAAAATGCCATTTGGTATGGTCTGTTGGAGCAGGCACCGCTGTCTCCTGCTCGTAGACAGGCGGGTAAGTACTCCGTGTCGGGTCTTACGAATTTGATCTCTGTGTCGGGTCTGGGTGCTGTTGAGTCGCCGATTCCTCCATTTGGAGGTACCGGAGACTTTGATATCAGCCCGTCCGCTATCGTGTTTATTGCGAAAGACCCAGATGTCAATCCCGCTACCCACACCGCTTGTTCTTGCTACTATGCTCCTATGTTCTCCTGGACGAGTATGAGTGCGTCCAATGCGAAAATTTGCAAGGTCAACGCTCTTAGGGGCGCGATGTCGTCGCCTGTTCTTTCTTCAGATGGTGGCTCCATTGCTCTTCTGGCCATGGGTACGGACGGATATGAGTCTGACAAGAACCGTATTCTCTACGTGCCAAACCCATGGAATGGAGATATGATTGAGGTCTTTGAGTCAGCTAATGGAAAGGGACAGTGGGATCTGAGTCCTTCAGCTATTTCCTTTGCTTACGATGACAAGTCGTTGCTTATTCAGGCCGAGGAGCTTGGACGTGGACTCCTTTATCAGCTCCCTTTGGATCATATCAAGGACGCTAAGCCCGATGTGTTGAGGAGACTCACCCGTTCGGGCTTTGTCAGTGATGTTGCTTCCGCTGCTGTTGACTCTCCCAAACTTTTCCTTTCAAGCAGCAACCTGGTCGACAACAGCGTTTGGTCTATTATTGATCCATCTAATCCCGAAGATGTCCAGATCGTGTCTTCGAATGGTCGCGGAGGTGCAGCATTCGGTCTTTCTTCGGCCCAAGTGGATGAGATTTGGTTCCGAGGCGCCGAGGACCACCCAGTGCATGCGTTTGTGGTGAAGCCGTCTTACTTCAAGCCCGGCGAGAAGTACCCTCTGGCCTACTTGATCCATGGCGGCCCCCAGGGCGCATGGAACGACCAGTGGAGCACCCGATGGAACCCCGCTGTCTTCGCCGAGCAGGGCTATGTCGTAGTTACGCCTAACCCTACAGGCAGTACTGGATACGGACAGCCATTCACGGATGCCATCCGCGGCCAGTGGGGCGGACGTCCCTATGAAGACCTTGTCAAAGGTTTTGCATACATCGAGCAAAACCTAGACTACGTTGATACCGATCGGGCCGTCGCGCTTGGCGCTTCATACGGCGGCTACATGATGAACTGGATGCAAGGACATGACCTTGGCCGCAAGTTCAAAGCCCTCGTTACCCACGACGGCGTATTCAGCATGACCTCGCAACTTGCCAGTGAGGAACAATACTTCCCTCTGCACGACCTAAAGGGCCCCATCTGGAAGGTTCCAGAGAACTGGGCGGAATGGGATCCTTCTCGATTCACGAGTGAATGGCAGACACCCCACCTCATCATTCACAATGAACTGGACTACCGCCTTACAATTGCCGAGGGTCTCGCAGCATTTAACGTCCTGCAGATGCGCGGCATTGACAGCGCATTCCTCACGTTTCCCGACGAAAATCATTGGGTCCTAAATCCCGAAAACTCCCTCCTGTGGCACCGCACAGTGCTTAACTGGATTAACAAGTACGTCGGGCTGCCCCCTGTGACAGACGAGCCAGACCTGTCGACGGGCATGAACAATACGTCTGTCTGATCATTATCACTGTGGATTTTTCTGGTAATTACGAATGCGACTTGGGGTTATTTGGTTTTTCTTTTCACTGGAAACCAAGAGATCGCGTTATCCAGGCGTTTGTGGTACATTTCATTATGGTCGACCAAGGACAAGATTTGTCTGCGTCTGCAACTGCAAAGCGCGCTATTTTTGGTTCGTCTCAGCTCATTGTCTATATCTCATTGCCATTATTGGGAAATTTGAATTCTGGAAGTTGATTTCTCCATTTCCACCTCTCGTAGAATTCCAGTATTAGACCTGCATCATGCCCTCGAGCTTCAATGATTCTCTGATTCTCTGATTCTTTCCCTCTTAAAGCCTCCAACTCGAATAATTCCTGCGCTGTCAACGTGAAGAACCAGGTTGAATTCATAAGTTGATACAAGAAGGGTGTTAAGGCAAAAACCGAGCTTGACAAAGATTTTGCCTTTGGAGATTCTCACACGACTTTTTTCTTCGTTAGAGAAAAATGGAAAACAGAAATAACGTGCGGGTCCTGGATTGCGAACCCCAAGACCCGTTCTTGACGGGTGGAGGGCCGGGTCGGGTCGAGTCGAGTCTCTGCGGGTCATCCTGAGGCTCTGAACAATTCATCGGATGTGTGCTTAATCGAGGGCTGCGGTTTTAAGGGCGTCACTGAAAAGAACGCGCCAGTGGAGGACATAGCATCTCCTACCGAAACCTCTACTCAACTGGTCGAGTCATAAATTCTTGTTGCATAGGCAGGTCAAATAGTTGGCGGGTTGCAGCTTTCTATGGGAACTCTTCCGCGGCGCTCCAAGACTCCTTCGGAAGCGGGTCGCGGCTTGGTTTGGGGGCCAGCAAGCGAGAAGCTATAAAATGACTCAGACTTTTGATATTACTACCGATCAGATATCTATCGACAATACCCCCCCCCCCCCCCCCTCCTATCTTTCGACTTAGCCCAAGCTTTCTTAACAAATCTAGTTTCGTCCGTCTATTGCTAACTTACGGCCTACGCCACATAAATTATAAGTCCTATTCAAAAGTTCAAGTTAAAACTGCTGAGCGCTGCCTCTCGTCTCCGAGGATCAGTCATGGAGCCAAACAGTCAACGTTCTTACCTCCAAAGCTACCCCAACGCTGAAGGATATTTCGGTCGATTTGGCGGTAACCACTATCCACCGGAGCTTCGGCCTGCGCTGGAAGAACTGGCCAGCAGCTATCAGGAGCTTCATCAAACGCCAGAATTCCAGGATGCACTCAACAAGGCGCGGGTCGGCCTTCAAGGGCGGCCGACCCCGATACATTACCTCGAGAATCTTTCCAATCAGGTCGGGGGCGCTCAGATCTTCATTAAGCGAGAGGATTTGAATCACACCGGCGCGCACAAAATCAATCACTGTGTTGGTTTCGCACTTCTCGCCAAGAAAATGGGTAAGAAGAAGCTGATTGCCGAGACCGGGGCCGGCCAGCACGGCGTCGCGCTAGCCACTGCAGCGGCCTACTTTGGTCTCGAATGCGAAGTTCACATGGGGGAGGTTGATGTTGCTAAACAGAGCTCGAATGTCGGTCGTATGCAGCTGCTCGGCGCGCGCGTGATATCAGCAACTACAGGCCAGTCCGCCCTTAAGGAGGCTAGTGATTCTGCATTCAACGCGTATGTAGAGCAGCATGAGCATGCGCTCTATGCGATCGGATCGGCTATCGGCCCACATCCCTTCCCAATGATTGTGCGAGACTTCCAAGCGGTAGTTGGTCGAGAAGCCCGTGAGCAATTCAGGTCCATCACAAATGGAAGCATGCCCGATCATGTGGTTGCCTGTGTCGCAGGTGGCTCCAATGCGATGGGTATGTATTCGGGCTTCATTGAAGATCCGGGGGTGGTTCTGCACGCTGTGGAGCCTCTGGGCATATCCGATGAACTAGGCCAACACGCAGCGACGCTCTCCTATGGAAGCCCGGGAACCTTGCATGGTGCTCGATCGGTGATGCTGCAGAAAGATGACGGTATGCCTGCTCGTGTCTCCTCTGTGGCTTCGGGACTCGCCTACCCCGGTGTTGGGCCAGAGATTGCGATGCTCCATGAAACTGGTCGGCTTTCCATCGCAGCAATTTCCGACGAGGAAGCCATCAGTACATTTTTCCGCATGACAAAATCCGAGGGAATCATTCCTGCTTTGGAAAGTGCGCATGCCTTGGCCTTTGCAATCCAGTTGGCGTCGCAGCGCCCTTCATCCGAACGAATACTAGTCAACCTTTCGGGGCGCGGCGACAAAGATGTTGACTTTGTTCTTGAGAAGTATGGGACAGGAACCTCACCTGCCCTTTCATAAATTACCGTTTATTACAGGCCATCGCTCGAAGAGATGTTATGTGCGACCTTAAAAGGCTGGAGGCCCTAGCATTTGTGGAAGCAATACATGTCGGGTTATCTTTATTAGAAAATTATAAAGGCTATAATAGACAGCATTAAGCGGTCAAACTTTCTTTCTGTGTAATGTAGGTGGCATATAGGTATGGTGCAAAGTGATGTGGCGCTGGTTCAGGCGCTTGTTGGTTGCTGGCCGACTGAATCTATGTGCCTTTGATCGGGCCCGTTACGCTATGTGGTTGGCTATTCTAGGCTGCATCGTGTGTTGATTAATTGCTCCTGGTGAAGAAGTCTGTCTTGGATCTCCGTGAGGCTCTTCTATGCTCTCTAATTAGTTTATTTTACTTACTCTTCTCGATTTCTAGAGATGTCGACGCTCTAAGTAACGAGTAGCAAGGCCATAGCCCCGTGGTGCGGCCATTTTACCTGTCACCTGTCATAAGTAGTCCACCACAACCTCTGTGCCCTATATTCAGTACTCTCGTGTGCTCCTGGACAACCAATATGAACCATACTAGATAGCAAGAGCATATCGAGAAATTGTTGAGCCCGCCGAACTTCAGTAGCCTTGGATTTAGGCATGACTGCATTAGCCTGAGGACCTCAACCAACCACATCTAGATGCACGACACCAACACTGGCGCCACAGCCCCAAGACTTTCTGCCTTGCCGCAGTTTGTGCCTATCAGTATTTAGTTATTACACCCCGGGTCTTTTCAAACGACAACCGTCGACAAAAATGGACTATCCTCGCCCAACCTATAAAGCCTTACTACCAGCGCGAAGAGCTGCGGGTGACGAATTGCAAGTTGAAACACATTGTACTGAACAAGAACAGAGCCTCTACTTAGCGCAAAGCTCAATACCTGGAATTTATCCTCGTCACCTCCGACGTAACCCACCCTTGCCTATCTCGAATTACCCTCTACTTTCAATACCTCCAGTCGTGCACACTATCCCATTCAGACGCCGACCTAGCATGTCACGAGATAAGCGGATTGGTACCCGGGTATCCCCTCTACTCCAAATTGAGAATGGTATCTCACCCGTGGATGAAATAAACGAACGGAGCGGAGATGGAGAACACAAAGCCAGCACTTCTGCATCATACTCTCCCATTTCTGATCCCCGGGAGAAGAGACACAATCTTCGAATAGAAGCACTGACGAAAGAGTTGGAACCAATGTGTGCAGACAATGGATCCGCCGTTGTTCTGTTGTGCTGGGGTGACAAGTCCTGCTGCTCAATTTTGCCAGTACCTGTTTTGAATACAGAAGATGAGGTAGCTACGTGGGGTGAGATAAACAGAGCCTGGTACGCGCGCAGAGGGCACTGGAGGAAATATCTTCCGTTATTCAGCATCAACCGAGTTGACATTGTCGAGGTTTGTGATAGTGCGTTGTTCCTTTGCAGAAAATCACTTATTAACACATCAAGATCTCGATGCTAGGGTCTCAAGAAGCCTCGAAAGGTCGAGAAAAGGGCGAGTATATTGGAATGTATACAGAAAGCGACATATCCGCCGAGAAGAAAAGACTGCAACATAGTATCGATAATACCGTTCTCCCGTGGGCTTGTTCGTATGATCGGTACACAGGAGAGGCGGATTGCGCTTTGTATTGCGAATGTTTTATTTGCTTACCGGGGGTTGATGGCATGGGGGAATGTCCAGTAACAAAACTCCGTGCTGCTAGACGGAAACTTTCACTCTTGAATACGCTCGGACTGATGAGACACGTCTTCTCCAAACCTGCCCTCGCTGCTTCGAATGACTTTCTCGAAAAGAATCAATTAATATGTAGCCATCGGTGAGTGAGTGGTACAGATAAAGTGACTTATGGAATACACAGTGAAGCAGATATTAACTGAAACATTATAGGGACGTCCTGAGCGAATTGAACTCTTGGCGCAGTTTGCACTGCCCGGGTTTAATAGAGCTCAAGTTCAGGGGAATAGCAATCACCGAAGGCTGGAAACACAATAAAAGTCAGGTCTTCTTGCCTTTGATGGTGATCGCGTTCCTGGCGGTGGTCGTTGCTGCTAAGTTCGTTTACGGCTGGAATACAGCGTGGACTGTCGGCGGGTTCTTTATCGCACTGGTGACGCTTCTATGGATGTGGGCTACCCATATGGCTAGCTGAAATTAAACATAGAGATCACCAGGCACCCGGAGGATGTAGAAGAGCAAGGCGGCATCTCGCCAAACTTCAAGCGCAACTGCAGCAGGTTTAGTTCTTGACTGGATGGTTGGATGGTTGGATGGTTGGATAGGACGGATACAGACGCGAGAAACGTCTCACAGAAGTGCGATCCATCGGTCCAATGCTACTAGCTCGTGTTCACGTATTTTAGGGTAATTTCTGACCTCTAATGTGAGAAAATGAGCGTTGTTAGCTAAGCGAACCCCATAGTAAACGCGAGAGACTACAATGCTTCATCTCCCAATCGTCCAGGTGTTGGCGGCTTTCTGTCGACGCGAAGAGGGGCTGCCAGAATATGGACGCGCTTTACCTATTTCATCCACGCGGAGTAGACGCCGCATTTCCCCAGTTTAGCCGTGGCGGATAAAACCAGGGTCCTGAACGGTTATACAGCATTGAATAAATACTTCCGCGGTGCCTGAATGTAAAAAAGTTGTATTCTGTCCCCAATTGCCGGTCTATCGTGAGCCACTAGCCATCCGTGGACTTAAATAGCCGCTTCCCCTTCGCGCATATACCATCCCAACTAAAACGTTCCTGCTCCCACCATCAACCTATACACAACATTCTAACACCAAAATGCCCGAACCAACCCCTCTCATAACCCATCTCTACTCCGCCGACCCATCCGCCCACGTCTTTAATAATAAACTATACATCTACCCCTCCCATGACCGCGAAACAGATATCTCCTTCAACGACAATGGCGACCAATACGACATGACAGACTATCACGTCTTCTCTATGGACTCAATCGACGGACCGGTAACAGACCACGGCATCGCACTATCTGCGCACGACGTCCCCTGGGTCTCAAAGCAGATGTGGGCTCCTGACGCGGCGTTCAAGAATGGGAAATATTATCTTTTCTTCCCTGCGCGTGATCAGGAGGGTATCTTCCGCATTGGCGTTGCTGTTTCGCTAGCTCCGCAGGGTCCGTTCGTTCCTCAAGAGACTTCCCTCGAGGGGAGTTATAGTATTGATCCGGCGGTCTTTGTGGATGGGGATGATGGGGATAAGGCGTATTTGTACTTTGGGGGGCTTTGGGGTGGGCAGTTGCAGTGTTGGAAGAAGGGAGGTGAGAAAGAGAATGGGATGGATGGGCTTGTTTTTGATGCGAGTCTGTCGGGCCCTAATGAGCCGTCTGGTGATGAGGTGCAGGCCCTCTGTCCCAGAGTTGCACAGCTTTCGGATGATATGTTGAGCTTTGTTTCTCCGCCGCGCGAGTTGGAGATTTTGACGGAAGCTGGCGAGCTTATTCGGGCTGATGATCATGAGAGGCGGTTCTTTGAGGCTGCCTGGATGCATCGATATCGTGGAAAGTATTACTTCTCCTATTCAACTGGAGACTCGCATTATCTTGTATATGCTACGGGTGACTCGCCGTTCGGTCCGTTCACTTACCAAGGCCGGATTCTGGAGCCGGTGCTCGGATGGACGACGCACCATTCTATTGTTGAGTTCCAGGACAGGTGGTACTTGTTCTATCATGATTGTGAACTTTCTGGAGGTGTTGATCACTTGAGGTCAGTGAAGGTTCGAGAGATTCTCTATGATGAGGAGGGAAAGATTAGTCTGGCTTGATTTTAATATTCAAGTTCAACCCGAAATGTTGTAAAAAAGAATTTTTTAAAAATTTGGTTCTATTCTAGATACATGTCGAGTTGCGCGGTGTAGATAGATGCTTTGGAACTCAAGCTTTACCCTTCATTCCTTCACCACACTCCATCTCCTGTTCACGAGGAAGCAGCCCGACTAAATCGAGCAGCAAGGCCACTGAATTGACGAGACCATAAAACAGCATCGGTATCACGCCAAAGAAAAGGTTTCCAATATAGCCTCGTCGGAGGATTGTCTCGGCCAGCTCCGTCCGAGCGATCTCAGGTGCAACAGATGATTCAAACGGCCCCATCAACCTGTAGAAGGTAACAAATGATGCACCAAAGCAGTAGATGAGCAGTATTTGCAACCCATGCCGACGATACAACTCAAGTAACCCTGGTGCACCGCCGAAATCCTTGGCCAATGTGCTCATGTATGCGCTGTGATCAACACCATAGTGAATTCGAGCCGATTTGGCGGCAAGAAGATGATAGTGAGGAGGATCCATGGGCATCTTCATACGGCCAGTGATTAAGGCTGTCCACCACATAGCTTGTTGCTCGGCGATGGGCGGGATTGCGCCAACGCCGGGACGCACGAAGCCGATGAATGCGATGTCTGGGTGAGAAGGATTGACGATGTTTCGGATTTGGGCATCCGATGCGGTCGGGTATGATGGGTCGAGGTAAGGGAATGTTTGTTTGTAGCTGCATGAAACATTAGTTTAAAAGTAGGCACATCATGCATGATTGACATACCCAGAACAATAGACCACACAGTTCGGCGTGATGTTTCTGTTCTTCAACCGCTGCCAATCCTTCCTGTCGTGATTGGGTTGAAAGTGCACAATTCCGTTATCGTCAATATACTTCGGCCAGGTGCAAGTGTCGACTGCTCGGTCGGATTCCGCATCTTCCGGTGGGTCAATGTAGCGGTTGCCAATGAAGGCTAAAAAAGGATTATGCGTCTTGTAAGGACGATTGAGATACGGCATCGCCTTATTACTCTTGTTGAGAAAGACGAAGGCCCTTCCCAGTCTCTCTTTGGGAAGGGCGCCGACATGCTGATTCATGCCAGCTTGGGTTCCGGTCAGGAACCAAAGGACTCGCTTAATCACAAAGTCCGAAATAAACCAGCGTAATCTGCTTTGAGCGACTGCCCTATGGACATAGGCGGTTTCAAAGAGGTTGGTGATGAGACCGTCAATTGGAAGGCCTCCACTGAAGGCCTTGCCAAATACCTGGAACCGGCTGAGTTGCTTGGGAAATGAGAGGAAACCGGTGCGGAAACACATGGTGACCGATTCCGCATCTGCTTTAATGGACTCGTAGGCAATATCTTCGAGTGTGTCAGATAGCTCATTTCAGTCGATAGGAATCTACTTACCCATTGCTGTTTCACCGCATCCCAGAATTAGGACCTTCTTGCCGGCGACCTGATCCCGGCCTTTGTATAGCGATGAGTGGAATACATCACCCTGGACATTCTCAATACCCGGTATATCCGGAATGTTAGGCTCGACATGAAGACCAGTGCAAACCGCAATATGAGAACAGTCAAATATTCTCTCCTCCTTGTCCACGCTCGTGCCCTCCACGTAGCTCACCTGATGAGCCCATTTAGAACCACTCGGGAGCGGAGACACGCGAAGCACGGGAGAATTGAACTTGATGAACGGACCCAGGTTGAATCGCTCGACATAAGACCGGAGATAGTCGACGTATTCAGGCAGTGAGACGTGATCGGGAGTCTTCAACGGCAAGCGGTGGTCCGAGAACGTTGTTAATTGCTTGCTGCTCACCAGTTCGGCGTTCTCGTAAGAGCGATAGTTGAATGTACCGCCGACGTCGGATTCACTATAGAATCAGGGATTAGATATTTCATGTGAACATGGGCCTAGAAACTTACGCTTCGAAGAGATACGCCTCGATCTGCTGGTCGGGACTGGACGCCTCCAGCAAAGTCTTGAGGGTCACTAGGCCACCGGGGCTGCGAGGATTAGTACATGCGAAGCTCAAGCGAGGACTCAACATACCCTGCGCCAATGATGGCTACTCGTATTGTCATCTGTGTCTGTTGCAGAAGGAAGATGTGAATGAGAGCAGCCTACAATTGCGGGGGCGGTCTAGTCTCCACCCGAAAGCTTGGCCAGTGACGCCATTCCTTGTCGCTATCTTGAGATGCACCTCGTGTATTTGTGTGTTTGTGTAATTCCTCGCATCAATTGATTCATTATCATCCTAATATTTCCTTCCTAATGTCCCATTCCCTTCTCCCAGTTCTCCTGCACAATCTGCCAGTACTTCTCGCGACTACGCACTCGGAACGCCTTGCCCCACTTGATCATCACAAGGAAGACCGCCGCACATGCCATGCCAACAAATGCCGCTGAGATGAAGCAATTCTGGTAGCCCATGTTGTTGATCCACGGTGTAATTCCGTACCCAATGGCGAAAGACATGGTGTTTCGCACTAGAATCACGCTCGCCATCGCCACGCCACTCAACTCCCGGTAGCTGTCTACCAGATAGTTGACACTGAGAGTAATGCCGCAGGTATTGCTGAAGGCCAAAAGGCACATCGCTACAATAAGACCAAACCAGTGGACCTCGTGTGCAGCACCAACACCCCAGAGAAGGAGGGATCCGGGAACGAGGAACAGACATGCCAGGAAGGGCCATAGACGGTGCTCGGCTTCCATGATACCTCCGTTGCGACGAGCCAGTTTAATAGTCAGCCAATCGCTGAATCGGCCGGTGAAAAGGGATCTGTTTGGGTTAGGAATGTGTACAAGAATAACATTGGAGAAGATCTAACTTACCCAATAGCCACGCCCAAGATGCATGCGAGGTAGCTCAGACCAACCATGGAAGAGCTACGAAGGATTAGCTGGCGGCCGACAATCTTTTAAAGTTCTTGCACTTACCCGAAATTGTACGGACTTCCACCCAGAATGATTGAAGCAGTACCGTTAAGGATGTTGAAGAAGACCAAGTACGATCCGTAAGAGAATCTGCGAGAAGTCAGCGTTGAACGATCATCTGATCCACGAAGCAACATACCCAGCATAGAAAATGACCGGCCAGGAAAGGTAATACAAGGTCTGCCAAAGCTGTCGGAACATGTTGTTCTGCTTCTGCTTGGGAGCCAAGAGGGAAAGCTTTTGCACATAGGTCTTCTTGGCATAGATCTCCCCAGTCTCAGTCAAAATGGGTTCTGCCTTTGGCACGGCTTTCTCCGGGTCGCTACTTTGAGAGCTGTGGGAAGAGCCAACCCGCACATTCGCAATGGTGGTGTCTTGAATTTGCTCGCGCACGTAGTTGGTCTCTTCCATGAAGAAGAACAGGAAGACTAGGGCACAGCCGACGAAAATACTGGGCCAGTAGAACACCCACCGCCAGCCTTGGTACTGAGCGATGAAACCGCAGATCACAGGTGCAAAGTAGTTACTGCCAGCCAGGAAGAAGGCATACAATCCCATGTAAGTTCCTCGCTCATGTGTAAAGTACTGGTGCTGTCAGTATTGTATACCGTTGGTAGTTGTGGGCGGATACTTACGACGTCCGTGACTGTGATCTCTGGCAGGGCTTCAATGGGAGCAGTGAAAAAGCCCGAGAGGACATTTCGGGCGATCCATTGGCCGTTAGTGCCCGCATATGGTCTGGTGTGTTCATTAGCCTTATATTTTCATCTGAAAGATGCAGGACTCCATACCCCCACATTGTCATGCCCTGGTGTTCGTTAGCACTTGACTGTCATTGAGCTACCATAAAACGTACCAAGACACCCGCCATCGACAAAAGATATGTCAACCGCTTGCCGTACTGCATCGAGAATGGTTGCCAGAACAGCAGACCCCATCCTGCCAACAAGAACATATACCCTGTGCCTTCATTGATCGTGCTGACCGACAAACCAGTCTCCTCGGACAGCTGGGTTTCGACAGAGTAGACGACCGAGCAGGCAATACCCGTGAACAATGTATATCTAGAGTCCCAATCAAATCAGTGATGAATCCATGCCCCACGCACAACAATCAAACATACACGCTCACACAAATAGTGGACAGGAGCTTCCTCTTCGGACTCCAATTCAAGGGGTCCTCCGGGTCCGCAGACGGGGTTGGGATAAGAACAATATCCCCATTTCCCCCGTCCACATGACGCGTGTTCAGAACGTGTTGCAGATCAACAAGTGTGACCGTGCCAGGGATGGCGGAACTATCCACAATCGGCGCCATAATGGGAGATAGGGGCAGGGAAAGGGAACCCTGGGAACTGGCAGGTCGAGGTATATTTAAAGTACAAATGGAACGCACGTCACAGCATGATAAGCGCAACTTTGTTGCCGATGCCCCCGCGTCGGCTATCAGTGAGTTTGAAGCTTCTCAGAGGTTGACAAAAAGCGGAGAGGTTCCGCCAGGAAGTGGTGACTCCGAGTGGAATGCAGCACACACAGCTCGTGATAAGAACCAATGCTCTGGAGCCCGATAACCTTGGAACTTTCCCCGCACGGTGATCTTTGCCCTCCTCGGTGCTCTAAACAAGAACTGATTTGCCACGCGTGGTTTATAGGAGGCTAAGGGGTGCCTGTTATCATAACAAACGGTTCTATGAGTTCATTCCCCCTTTCTTCGTATTCGATTGCTATGTTTGTTGTGGTTACCCATTATACAATGGCTGGGAACATATCTATAGCATTCCGAGTAAGAAGCTGTGCTATGGGGGCTCGCACGATAAGATGATGGGACTCTGCCAGTGACAATTCATCTACTAATCAGTCTCGGAAAGGTACAGAACAGAGTCGGACAAGTTTGAGAGCGACACCACCCAGATTGCGCAACTCGGAATCTCGGACGGAAACCGCGAGGAACAGACTCTAGATAGATATATCTGTGGCCTACCAAGCCTTTGAGGCCAGCCCGAAGCCCAAAGCGCCGCACCGCATCGGCCAATCTAGTCGTGCAAAACACCTGTCTGGGCAGGTCGAGGCATAGCGGACTTGACACCGCTAACCCCAAACCTAGGCTACACTTATCCCTAAACTCAATTTGTCTACTAAGATAGTTACTCGATTCGAAATAGGAAGGCTATCTACCCCTCTCGCTGATTGACTCCTCCCTGTCCTTGGCTCTCACCCATGTACGTCTCTTTGGTATGTAACGTAATTATAGGACAAACTCTTAACTCCTTTTCCAAAGCGCTGCTGCGCTTTTCTCGCCTGCGCGAAGTCCATCTGTGGTAGAGCGGGTACTTGACGATTATCCAGAAAGCCGCCCGGTTGTCCGAGGTTGACCTGCCGCTCTCTATATATGAGGGGTGCCTGGTCTTACTATCGAGGTCCGGATCAAGCAGCTCATGAAGTACAGTGGCGCTGCCTTGTGTCACGGAGTTGTGGACTTGCTGCAGGAGAATCGGTAGGTTCTCATCGGCTAGCCGGTGAATGGGGTTGGGGGGGTCAACTCTGACGGATAAATGTAAGTCGCATTAGTTCTTGCCCTCTTTCTTGCATTGCAGCCACGAAGCTACTCCGCTCATGAAGATAGAGGAGTGGATATAACTACTGATATCTGAAATCATTAGACAAATCATCTCTCTATCGATTGGATGTAACTTACCACCAGGATTGGCCGAAAACGAAGCGATTTATTTATGCGCCAAGCTCTTTACAAAGATAATATTCGCAAACATCGACGAGGGCATCCATCAAGTGGATGACAACACTCACTATTCAACACGCAAATCAGCAGTAGCATCAATATCAGCATCTCGACCACCCAATACTCCGAAGGCACACTTATCTCAAGATTCACATCTCCCACATCGGCGTCGCTGCCTCCTGCCTCCTGCCTCACACTAGTCGCCATAAACACAATGATCGCCCCAACAGACGAATTCTCCGACAACTCCTGAACTAGCACAGAAAAACAAAGATAATTTCTTGGAAAATACCCCTCCACCCTATCATCCGTAAGCTCCCACGCTGCAGCCGTCATAGTAGGGAATCCGATAATCCCATCAACAGACACTTCAAGCTTCTGGCTAGTCTCATCTACCCGGGTCGATAGGTCATGACTATGACTGCCATAGCCACATAAAACCTCATTGGCCTGAGCTTGGTACTTGGCATGTTTTACTTACCTTGACAGGGAACGCATTGATCTACTTTGCAAGTTCAATATCGATACAGTGTCGAGATATCATAGTTAACTGGATGAGTGAAGGACGTCACCAACGGTGCCGTGAGAGAAGGGGCACTATCGTCTGGACGGTGAATGCAAGATTTGCCATAATTGGAAACATCATGAATGACAAGGAACAGATAAAAAAGAGCGGACAGAAAGAGAACTTGGAAAGCCCTTAGATGCCTAAATTAGGGTACAATTTGCGTGGTAAGAAATACTGTACAGATCGCCAAATCACATACTGCGCAAAAACAGTCCGGAACCTGCCGAGTACCTTGATGGAATGCAATATAGAGAACGCAAGGAGAGAATGGGAAAATATAAAGATGAAAATGAAAAATGAACATGAGTATGCTCAATGAGATGGACCGGCAACGCCATCGTCATCTGGCAACTCTTTGATGGTATCTTTGATCATTTGGATCAGTTCTTCGATATCGGGTCGGTCCGAAGGCTCGACTTGTAGACACTTGCGGACGACCTCCTTGACTGGCTCACTGATCGAGTTTCCATTGCTACTGGACGCATCGTCCTTGTCAGCGCCGGCCTTTCCTTTACCCTTGGTCGCGTTCGATTTCTCGTCGGGAAAACGCCAATCTCCTCCCAACACACACATGCTTAGACTACCACCAGTCTCGTCACTACGAGCCTCGAAGGGGCTCTTGCCGACCAAACAGGCATAGAGAGTGCAGCCCAAGGACCAAATATCCACCTTCGTGTCGATGATGGACCCAGTCTTCACGTCGAAGAGCTCAGGAGCACGGTAGGGCATTGTGCTGTGCTCCGCAGCGGTGTCCTGCACTGCCAGTGCTAGGGAACGGGAGGTGATGGCAATCGGACTCGGGGCTAGGGAGCCGAGATCCATCAGAATGGGCGACTGGCCGTCGTCATCAATCATGATGTTACCTAACAAACAAATCATTAGCTATTCCACCTTGACGAATGAACGGGAAACCCACCAGGCTTGATGTCACGGTGCGCATAGGGGCGCAGGCCTCCATCTTGAACACCCTCCTGACTCTGAGTCACCTCATCATCCATCAATGGCTCGTTCTCCTCGTCCTCGTCATCCACACGATGGCTCGCGCGCCGCTTCGGCTTCATCTGCATGGTTCTCTCGGCGTCCGCTTCCTCGCCTTCTCCCCGCACCGCCTTTGCCTTGCGCGTGGACGATGCGCCACTCTTGACGCGATATTGATGCATAGCCTGAAGCGCATTGGCCACACCAAGCATAAGCATCATCAGGCGCTTCTCCGGGAACCGAGTGTGATTGACCAAGTTGGCGTTGATGGCGTCCTGCAGGTTGCCGCGTTGGTAATAGGGCAGCAGAATGTAGACTGTCTTCGACCCAGGGTCGCCGCCATCGGAGCGGAACTTCGAGCCTGATTCTGTTGAGACGCTGTGATCGATCGAATGGATGATGTTCTCTGTAGATGTGAACAGGGTATACGCTTCGACTTCCTTCAGCGCTTGTGACACGGATTCTTGGCCGAAAGGACAGCGGATCTTCTTGAGCGCAAATAGCTCGGAGGTGGCTTTATCTTGAACGAGGTAGACGTAGGAGAAGCCGCCCTGTCAAATTGCTTGTCAGCTCAGGCCACGGTTGATCGTTATCTTGCATGGAGCCGCGTGCATTGGTCTCATACCTCGCCTAGGAGTCGCAGAAGCTTGAAACTGCGGTTGTTGATCTTCAGCTGCGGTGTACTGGGGAAGCAGCACATGCAATCTGTGAAGTTGTAGAGGAGATCGAAGAAATACTGCGCCATCTTATGGAGCTCGGTCCGATCGCGATCGGTGGCGTCAAGAGGTCAAGAGACGAGGACGATGTACGGGGCAAAGGATTGGATAGGTAGAAAGTGAGACTCGCAGATATAGTTTGATCGGCGCAGAAGCCAAAAAGAAGGGAGTGTAAGATGCAAAAGGCAAGGGGAGAGACGAGGATGAAAGGGAATCGGAATGGATTACGCAGGGTGGAGAAGCCCGCATCCTTGAGTTCCATGGATTTATTTGTTGTCACTCCCCCTTTCTCCTCAACTTGTATATCTCGTTGCATTTGTACATACGAGTTTCTTTTTCTTCTCTAGGCATTGGTTCTTGCCTAACCATGATCGACATTGGGCTCTTCACTTGACTTCTCCAACCCTTTTTGTGCCTAATTGTGCCTTTGACCTTCCTTCGGCCCGTTCACTGAACTTCCCACCTTCACCTCTCGAACCCCATGATGGCCCCTCTCGATGATGTCCAGGTCGGTGACCTGGTCAACGTGCCCGGTGGCATGTACGGAACAGTCAAATTCTTGGGATCGGTCGCGGGAAAGCCAGGTCGCTTCGCGGGCATCGAACTGAGCTCCGAGCATGCCGCTCGAGGAAAGAATAACGGCGATGTGGATGGAAGGAAATACTTTAATACCTCTATGGCAGGCTCGGGTATCTTCGTGCCCATGAACAACAGCAAGTATGTCACACGTCGATCTACATCTTTATCTGCCAGCAGCTATGGCGGGCCTCCCACCACTCCTTCGCGGGGTCCGGCCAATTTTAGCAAGTCAGTTGGTCCTGCCTTGACTACTCCTCGTCCAAGAATGCGCCGTCCGTCTCTTCCACGTCCCGAATCACCGCGTATCGCCCCTCCCAAACTCAGCCTCGGCGGTCTGCGGACACCATCCACCGCCTCCAAGTCATCTATCTCCAATGGATATCCAAGAAGCCCCGTCAAGGCACCTTCTAGGTTGTCGGACCGACCTTCGTCGCGGATTAGCATGGATGATGACGCCTCGTCATATGGCAGACCCTCCGATATCTACCGACCTTCATCATCCGAGATTCAAGACCTGAAGGACCAAATTAAAAGCTTAGAAAAGCAGTTGCTGGACCGAGACAAGCAGCTGAACGAGCAATCTAATATGTTGGGTGAGGTTCAGAAAACTTTGGAGGAAATGGAGGGAATTGATGCCCTTTCCGTCCGCACTCAACTACGTGAAAGGAATGAACGGATCAATCAATTGACTGCTGAATTCGATGGCCACCGGGCAGATTTCCGAAGCACCCTCGATACTCTGGAGATTGCTGCATCCGAGACCGAGCGCGTTTACGAGCAGCGTCTCGACGAGCTCATGCAACAGAATAAGGAGTTGCAAGACCGTGGCGAGGATGTGGAGATCGTTGCGCAGCAGCTTAAGCAGTTGGAGGAGCTGGTCTCGGAGCTAGAGGAGGGACTCGAGGATGCCAGGCGAGGAGAAGCTGAAGCCAGGGCCGAGGTTGAGTTCCTTCGGGGTGAAGTTGAGAGAACCAAGATTGAACTAAAGAGGGAGCGTGACAATTCGGCCACAGCGCTGAAGGACGCTCACTCTTCATCCGACGGTAACAACAACTCGCACCAACTGGAGCAGAAGGACGACGAGATTCGGGGTCTGAAAGCCATCATTCATTCTCTGAGTCACGGAAACCCCAATGCCATCAACCCGAATGAGAACGGGTTGAATAACCAAAATGAGCACCAAGAGCAAGTTGCTCAGCTGGAACAACGCCTGCAGGAGGTCGAGGAGATCGCCGAGCATAAGAACAGCCGAATCGAGGAACTCGAGGGGCAGCTAGAAGAGCTTCGATTGAGCTCTACTAATGGAAATCGCAACCGTAGCTCAACTGGTACTCTCTCGCCGCCCTCGCTGCACAGGCCTTCCAACCCGGGTAACATCACTGCAAACGATATCAACCACGCACACCGTCTCTCTGATCGTACCGTGGTCCCCAATGACTGGCACGATGCCCCATCAGAGCCTCGTCAGTACCACCAGCGTGGGATCTCTAACTCGTCCCAGCGCCGCCTGGAATCTATGCCCGAGTCGGAACGCTCTTCTGATGATGATGCTTTATGGTGTGAGATCTGTGAGACTGGCGGTCACGACATCCTCAACTGCACCAGCATGTTTGGCCCCGGAGCTGCGAAGAAGGAGGCCCAGAATGGGAAAGCCCCCGAGCCTTCTGCTGAGCAGCCCGCAGAGGCGCCGGAAGATAATCACGAGGACGCCAAGGAGAATGACAACCACGACGATCATGAAGACGATGCTCCAGCCCAGAAGACCGGCCGGGATGTCGTCCTTGAAGGACTCAAAGGCATTGGCGGTTTGGGATCTTCCATGTCCCCCATCGCCGGTAAGTCATCTGGAGTCATCGACGAGTCGAAGTGGTGTGCTCTGTGTGAGCGAGATGGTCACGAGAGCATCGACTGTCCTTTTGATGAATAATGTTCCATGGTGAATATGCGAGTGGTATGAAGTGGCATCCCGTGGATTGTGCTTGCAGCCCATGCATTCTCTTTTCTAGTACATGCTTCGTTTCCCCCCTTCCACCCTTTTGCACCGAATATGATATCCGATCTGAAGCAATCGTTCTGGTCATGTTTTGATGCTTTTGATTTGCTTCCCCCTGTGTATTATTCTCTCGACATTTCGGATCTTGATAATTCTCTCTATGGCGTGTCCATACCTTTCTTTCCTTCGTGGGTCTTTGGCCCGGCCCTTCTTTGCCAATTTTCTTATTCTTCCTCATCCTTGCTTTTCCCTCCACTTGTCCGTGCCCATCATCTGTCGATGAAATCCCCTTGGGTCCGATTCACGTCTCAGGACCGTATCATACGCTCATCCAGCCCTGCTGGACGTTAATATAACATCTAATCCATTCTACCCGATCAGAAGACTTCTCCCTCATCCTATACTGTGCTTTTTACCAAGCAAGGGCGCAGGTCAGTCAGTACGAAGGGTGTTGGTTTATCGTAATATCTAGGTACAAACCCACCTGCCAGGCTCCCTAAACATACAACTGCAACGCCTTCATCTCCTTTGGGCTCCTTACCTTAGGCCATCTAATCACTTTACTCAGGGCATAAAGGAGGTTGCACCAACTCCCCTTCCGCGTACCTGGTTGCCGCAATCTCCCCACACGCCTTGCATCGCCTTTTTTCCTCATCAGCACCGAACTCCTCCACAACAGCCTTAACCTGCGTCCCCAGGTCTGTACACAAGAAGTGCTTCTCCCATACAACCCCACTACACTTTCTGCAATACCACCTCATAATATCCTCTGACCCCTGTGCCCTTGGCTGTTCCATCACCACACCAACTGTATCCTTAAACCGCACTGGGCAGTGTGGCGTGTTCGCCGGGAGCAGGAAAATCGAGCCCTCGTGAATAGGAATGTCCTGAAATGTAGGCGGTGTCGTCGATGTGTCTACTGTCTTGAGAAGCATTGAGCCCCGGTATTGATAAAAGAACTCGGGTGTGGTGTTGATGTGGTAGTCTGTTCGCGCGTTGGGTCCGCCGACAATCATGACCGTGTATCCGGCTGTTGCCGGTGATGACGGATGGTAGACGCAATAGTTATTCACCGGCGGTTGCAGAAGGTGTGAGTTGGCCTCGAGCCTGGATAAGCGCGCATTAGTGAGCTCTTGGTTAATTCTGGGTTGATCGACCCCGCGATGATTCATGGAGGGGCAGGTCGCGTGAGGAGAGGAGAGGAGAGCGGACGTACCATTTTGGGATGTTCAGTGCGGGGGGAAGCATCATGGTTGAAGATGGTGATCAGTCTATTATAATCGATGTAAATTGACGAAGAAAGGAAGCTAAGAGAAGCTAAGAAGAGGAAGAAAAGGCGGAGGGTCCATATCCACTGTGCAATTATCTGATGACGGAGATACCCACCGGAGTTAAGCCGAGGCCTCGGATCGGATCAACGTGACTCCGCCGATTTTTCTTTTTTCGATTTGGAGATGCCGCAGCACCGCGAGTCTTTGCGAGAGCATCACATCCCCCCGAAAATGGCCACGACTTCTCAACCGCCTCTGCGGTTTACCTCCCATCATAACCTGGTGTATCGCCTGGTTCTTTCGACCCTGACCGGCCGCACAGTGCATATCTCGCAGATTCGCTCTTCCTCGCCTACGAACCCCGGCCTGTCCCCTCATGAAATTTCCTTCCTGCGTCTCCTCGAAGCAGTCACCAATGGCTCCCAAATGGAAATTTCCTACACCGGTACGATTCTTGTGTACAAGCCCGGTCTCGTTACCGGCAGCACAGCGGGATCAGGTGCTAGCGGCGGCGTGATCACACATGAGCTTCCTTCCAACTGCAATCGCGGTCTCAGCTACTACCTCATTCCTCTCTGTCTTCTGGCGCCGTTCTCCAAAGCCCCGATCAAGATCCTTTTCACCGGTCCCGGTGTGATTACATCCTCCACCCCGACGGGCGATATGTCCGTTGACAGTGTCCGAACCGCCATTCTCCCTCTGTACAACCAATTCGGCATCTTCAATAACGTCGAGCTCCGCATCCTGCGCCGATCGAACCCCGGCCCCAATGGCAGGGGTGGTGGTGGTGAAGTCCAGTTCACTTTCGGTCATCAGGTTCGTCTGCCGAAGACTCTGCATCTGATGAACCCCGGCCGCATAAAGCGTATCCGTGGTGTCGCGTACGCGATCGGTGTTTCGGGCTCTAACAATGCCCGTATGATCGAGGTTGCTCGTGGTATTTTGAATCCTCTTAGCCCTGATACTTATATTTTCTCCGATGTCTCGTCTGCGCCTTTGCTTCCCGTGACGGACAAGAACAACCCCAATGCGAAGAAGAAGATCGGCCTTGGTTTCGGTCTTTCTTTGGTCGCTGAGTCCTCCACCGGTTGCCTCTACTCGGCTGATGTGGCTTCGCCACCCTCTGGTGGTCAGCCTCCGGAGGATATTGGCAGACAGTGCGCTTTCCAATTGCTTGAGACTGTTTCCAAGGGTGGATGTGTGTCCCCCGCGGCTGCGACGACCATGCTTACTCTCATGACCATGGGATCTGAGGACGTTGGTCGCTTGCAGGTTGGCCGCGAGGTCATTGCGGATCCCAACCTGATCCAGTTGGCGCGTGATCTTTCCAAGTTTGGTGCCCCTGGTTGGGGTATTCGTGATGCTGCGGGCGAGAATGAAGACGGTGATGTGATTGTCAGTGTGGTTGGTCGTGGAATCGGCAACGTCGGCCGCAAGGTCGCTTAAGCTATATTGAACAGCTCCCGACGCATCGTTAGCTCTTGGTTCCTCAATGGACCAGACTCTACCATTCAGCTTCGGCCTGACCTGAAATACACATGGCTCATGAGACGGGAAATTGCCCCCAGGCAACTCCTGAGTTGCATGGGGTCTTTCGTCAAATGATCCTGGGCAACCTTGGGCTGCTCGGCCTATCACCGCAGGCCCCAGGCTCTAGGTTGACAATTTCAGGTCGGCCACGGCATGCGCAGCATGTACGGGACAGCTCGCCTCGAGACGGTGTGGCCTCACGCAGGGGCTGCATCTGGCCATTTTGGTCTAAAATATCATGATACCCGATGTCTCATCTGTCTATCTTCTGAGATCAACCTTTGTCTTGGTCTGTCGCATTATATAAGGTGTTTGGTGTATATATTAGAGGACAAAACGTTATGATTTCTTCTAGGCTTCTGTGATCCTGACCACTTAATCCCTCCCACTTCGCTATCTTTCGGTGTAACAGATGGCTCACGGCTGTCGAGGTCTTGGAGCCCTAAATCTACATATTTGAACTATGAAGAATCCGTGTTATTTCAGTGAAAACAATGTATTGGGATATAGCTGTTTATTTAGACGTTTGCATATCTATGCTCAAAATCATAAGTCTAAGGGAAGGGAAAACCTCGCAAATGCTCTAACGCTAAAGACATGCCGACATATACCCATCGCAAGCAAAAATAAAATAAAAAAGGGGGGAAATGAAGACGCCGAGGAAGATGACCGGGCTAAAAACCAAAGAAATAACGAAAGTGAAGAAAAATAATTCCGGATAATGGCAGGTGAGAAGAAAGGCAATGATGAAAAACAGGACAGTCCGACATCAATTAGTCCGAAATATCTTCATCCTTCCCAGGATACATAATATCCTGACGAATGACAGCTCGAATATGGTTGACAAATACGAACAACCACATCGCAATAACACAAATCGACAGCCCCGACCCAACACCATTGATAGCCTTGCTCTCAAACGAGTTTCCCAATGTAATAGTCGCAAGAGTAAAGCCGGTGTTGGGAAAGACCATAGCCCACCAACTAAGATGGAAAGCAGTAGGAGGTGATCGAATAACCGCAAGCAGTGCAATGCAAAAGAACCAAAAGCTAAGCGCCCATAAGAAAGCTCCGGCAACAAGCGCCAGGATCATGATCATACGGCCATCGGCTTCTGTATCTTCGCTCCCCATCACGCTGAATGTAGCGGGTAGGCCCTGCGCCATGCCGATGAGGGCCAGGGCTGTGAAAGCAGGTGGACCAACGCAGATGAACATTCCCGGGCGGTGTTCGCGGTTTGGAAGGCCGGATTCCATTAGTCGGCCGATGTAGTGGGAGTACATCATGAAGCTGATGCAGAAGCCTAGGCCTTGGAAGGTCATTCCGGCTGTGACGATGGGGATGGCGGCCAGGTCGGGTTGGCGCTCGGCGATTACGGAGGCGATGGTACCGCTGAGCATGACTGGGAAGGCGGGAAGGATCCAAGAGGGCATCATTGTTTGGAGGCGGTATTGGACTGAGGTGAAGACATAGGAATATTGGAAGACGGCGACAGCGAAGGTGCAGGCGCAATAGATCCAGAAGAGGACTTCGAGGGTTTTTGAAAAGGCTGGAGCTGGGTGGTCGCCGAAGTAGCGTTCCAGTCCGGTGATCATTGTAGCGATTGAGAGCCAGAATGTAGGGAAGAATAGACCTTCGCGGTCGTGGGTGAGGGATTGGACGAGTCCGCCGTGAAGGATGAAGCGGGCTGCCATCAAGGAGCAGACCAGAGCGAACAGAAGGAGATTTATGATGTAGACGACAAGGCCTATCTGATCCAGACCATTGAAACGATTGGGTTGGCTGGCTATCAAAAGGGCGAGACCGCCCGTGCTCATCGTCAATGTATACCAGGCCCAGGTGAAATGGCGAAGTCGTTGACCAAAGCTCAAGCGGACGTTCGCGTGTTTCTCGAAATGTTTACCATCGAGGATTGGTGTATCGGATGTTGAGGAGTGGGAGGAGTGGAGAGGAAGCTCATAGCTTTCTGGATATAGTAATGTCGGGTTGGACATGATGAAGTATAGAAAAGTCGTATGGGGTACCAATTGAATATGAACTAAGACTGGAGTATCAAGAGGGCTGAAGGACTTTCAATCGTCCTAGGCTTCAAATGCAGACAATTGTAAACAATTCAAAGAAATGCAATTGAAAATGGCTTGATATGAATAGAGTGGAGTCAATTCAACCCCGGGGAGAACGGTCTATATGAATGTCAACCCGCCAGGTAGAGGCAAACCACATGGGACAGTATTCGCCATTGATTGACCTGATCATCATTGAACTCCGTGACGAGGGACCATCAAGCCAAGAGAATACCAAGGCCTCCGCGTTACCTTCTCATCATCGTGCGGGGCCTCCTGAAGTTATCGTCCCAAAGTTTGAACCTACCAGCGTCAACACAGTTATCAGGACCCATCGAGGGCCGCAAACCAAGAAATTAAGAATAGATCGGTTCATCTTGTCGGGCTCGGCGTTTTTGTGTCCAGGGGGAAACCCAGATTGCGGACTATTGGGTGGCGCAGGGGGTTGCACGCTACGATCCACCGTAGTCTGGGCAGGAGATCGGTATATGGGAAAGTTCGATGCCTGGGCGGAAAAGCGTTCAGCAGTGCCAAGAAGTACACAACTTCTTCTGCAGTGGATTATCCTGCATCTTCGTGGCTCTCCGCACTAGACCTCTGGGCCGTCGAGGTCAAGATGACATCTGGCCATTGCAGGGATATGGTGTTACCCAGATGACGAGGTTCATATTCAATCCCGTTGATCGGGCCGAGTATCATGACATTTTCTGCCCGAAGCTGTCCGATAGAAGGCATGAAAGGATCCCGAGATGGCGCAGTGCAACGTGTGCGAACGCCAAGAACAACGATCGACGTCGCGTCGAGAGAGCGGGCCGCTGCCAAGCTTTCCAGTGGCAGTGAAGGAGTAAAAAAGAAAGAAAGGAATAAAAAGTTGAGAGAAAAGGGGGATAGGCAACAGAGAAGGTCCGAAGGTCATAGCGAAGATCTGCGGTGCCAAGTTGGTGGTCCTGGATCTATCAAATATCGAACGTTAGCATCATCCCCTAGTCTCATATTATCTGGACACAGCCCCCAAATCCAACGCTACTGAAGCTATGAGACGCCGCCAAGATCGGAGCCAAAAATGACTGTCGATCACATCCTAGAATGTGTTGCTGGGTTTCATGCTTATTTTTGCGCCCTCGACGTCAACATGCCAAGATGCCAAGATGCCCAGACATCGCTGTTCCACTCCGCTGTGTTGTCCCGAAGTCCTACAAGGCAGTCGAATTTGCTAGATATACTGCTTTATGCATAATAATGCAGTGACTTCACTTCCCAAATTAGTATAGGAACGGCATGATTCAAGGTTCATTTCTGTCGATCTTTACACTGGATTCTCTTCCCGCTTAGATTAGAACTAACAAAAAGCGTAAAGCCGCAGCCAAGACTCCGACTCCGACTCCGCTTGAGTGAAACTGAGTATGCATCGCAAAATAAAATAAAATGGAATGACAAATAATGCAATAAGGGAAACAAATCAAGAGGCCCGGGTTGGCAACGTAGCAGTGCAGAAACAACAGGCGAAACAGTTGTGTGCAAGACCAAGCCCAGGACCACTTCTCGGCATCCAACTTCAACACCCAATCACAAACCCTGCCTCGATCACATCATGCGATAGACAAGATCAGAGGCCAGCTCCGGCGTTAAATCCAGCAGGGCCCGGAGACTCGTCGGCGCAGAGTGCTTGGCCCGCTCCACCTTATCCACGGGCCGGAGCGTGGGCGTTGCCGCTTCACTGTCTCCGGGCGAGTGATATTGCGCCAGATCCTTCACTTTGCAGGCTGCATAGTGCACCACCAGTCGTCGCAACTCGTTCTCCCGAAGCTGTGTTGCGGACGTGGGGTTGATCGGTTCAAGTCGGGTTGTCCTGGTGTAGGCGTAACGCAACAGATCAAGGACCATCGGCGCTTGGTACGCAGCCAAGACGCCTAGATTCTGGCCCGAAAAGGGATCCACGTTTTGTGTGTCTGCCATAGAGAGCTGCAGAAGGTTTCGATGCAACTTTCCAAGGCACAGTTGGGCTAGGGCCGGGATAAGGTAGCGTGTGGCGAAGACGTACACTTTGGCGTGAAAGGTCAGGTATGGGAGGTCGGTGGTATGGGAGTCGACTGTTGGCTGGGAGGTCTGTTTTTCGTTGTTGTATTGCAGAGCGGAGAATTCGTCCCATAGGCTAAGGCCTGGCGTGCGAGGTGATGAGTCGTGCTGTTTGGCGAAGGACATGTCGATGACCGGCTTGAAAGGTTGGGTGTCATTCTGCTCCTCCACTTCATCATCGGCCCAGGAATCCCCGGGGGTCTGTCCGTCATCCTCTGGATATGCAGGCTGCTCCCAATATTCCGGAGTGGGCTCTGCCTCGAACTCTGTAGATGGTTCATCTGCAGGTGCTTTCGGTTCACCTTCCTTCTCCTCAGACTCGGCAGTTGGTTCGGCTTCAGCTGCTTCTTCTGCTTCTGCTTCTGGCTCTGGCTCTGACTCTGGTTCTGGCGGGGCATCCTCGGGAAGACCATTCACCTCGATAGGGTTGGTTGGTGGGGGTGTTGATGGTGGCGTCAAGTGAGTAACGGGCTCCTCGGTCCAAAGGTCTTGTTCCAAACGCTTGTAGTTTTTGGCGAGTTTCTTACCCTTTTTGCTTTTCTTCTTCTTGGAAGATACATCTTGGGGTGCTTCTTCCAGAGATCCCCATTGTCCAGCATCGGCTGTTGGCTCTGGGTTTGCCTCTGGGTTTGCCTCGACCGCGTCCTCTTCAGGAGCAGGTGCATCGGTATCCTGGCCTTGATCAAGTGGAATTTCTTCACTCTTGACTGGTTCGACAGCCTCGGCGTTCGTTGTATCCTCTTCTGCTGCGACTCTTTGTTCCACCGCCTCTGCCTCTGGCGCTGCTTCTTCGGCCCCGTCTTCCTCAATAGCAGGTATCGGCTCTTGTTCGGGCTCGGCAGGCGCCGATTTTGGTGCTGGTGCTGGTGCTGGTGCTGGTGCTGGTGCTAGTGATAGGGCTGTCGTCTCAGATGCTCTGACAGACTCTGGCGGCGAGGGAGCCGGTGGTGGCACAGCCGACGAGACTGATTCTGAGCGATATGTTCCTCTCCAAGAGTTCGCGGGGCTCAGTGCGTTCTCGACTACACCTTTTCGGATATCTTCGCGTGGTGCCGGCAGAAGAGGCACCTTATAGTCTCCTGTGTATGCATATTCACAAAATGCAACAAAAGTCTCGACGTCCTCATCCTCCAAAACCGCGATGCGATGCTTCGACTCCCGGGTATGCCCGTTGTTCATCAGGTTATGAAGCGGCTTAGAGACATGTTGAGCGAGACCCGACTGGATCGTTAATTTGGTATGCTTTGGGCCAACGAGGAAGGTAAAGGAAGGTGAATGGATGATGCTGTCAGGCAATCCGTCAGCGTTTAGTCGAGCTTGGGTGGGGCATGTCAGCACACACCTACTATAATCGGGGAGATCCATGGGAGCTGATGCTCGATGATGGAAAAGAAATAATATCTTGCTAATGCAGTGATTAAAAGACTACAGTTAAATACGGCTTTGGGCCAAGTCCTCGGGGGCACCAAGGTACTGGGTGTGTGACCCTCGGGCACAGGAGACCCAGATGGTGTCAATAGTCTGCTACGTGTGCGGCTGTGATGGGTGAGAAGTGTATAGATGCCAGCGTTGACCTGACCGACGGGGACCCTAAACTTATGGATTATGGATTCCGGATGGGGGAGGGGGAGGGGAAACTATATCAAAGGTGAGGTGAGCTGAGCTTGAAGAGGTCAGAGAACCCCATTTGCATCCTCGTGCATACCGTTGGATTTCCGGGAAGCAATCCGCAGGAGCCATTCGGGGTTTCGGGGGTTCGTGCCCAACGTGCATCCCACCCAACTGCGGGTTTGCGGGCCTTTGGATCTTGTTCCACTCTCAAGTCAAGTGCGATCACTGTGGCGGTCTGCAATTGCATGTGTCTGCTGGGCTGTGGCTTTTGTCTCCGATTGCGGTGACGATGCAGATGAGCACAGTGTTGCTGGAAGCGGCACTTTGTTGCTTATCACAGCCTGGATCATAGCAACATGCACGATAGACAGGGTATTCAATAGACGCCTCCTTTTCTCTTCTCCACAGCAACCCAGCAATCAACCATTAATACGCTCTCCGTATCAGAGGTCATTAATCACGACCGGAATATACAACCAATAAACCTCAAGATAGGATGGTATCACATATCTATGGAAACATCGGACCATGTCCAGAAATGCAAAAATGCAAAAGTGCTACTTCGTAATACACGGTCTATTTTTCAGCATAATCAACTACCGTGCACCAGTCGAATCTCCGTGTTGCCGGGCTCCCACTCACGCAATCCCTCGCCAACGCTATACCAGAAGCGCAACCGGATGCATTCCTTCCGCGCCGCCTCGATGTCGCCCTTGTCAAACGACCCGGCGAGTGCCCCGACACACACTCCAATACGTCCGTCGTTCTCAACTTTCAGCGCGTTAATCTCTGCTTCGCCTTCCCGCGTCGCGCCCACCTCCTCAATGGTCTCTTGTACCTCCATCACCTCCATAAGTGTCTCGGGATCGAGGGCGTGCTTCGTCGCGGCATCTTCGGCGGTCACGTTGATGCCGTGCCATTCTCGGAGGAGGTATTGAGCCCGTTGGAGTGGATCGGCGAGCGTGCGGTATGCCTCGTTGATGCGGGCCGACAACGCCTCAGCGTGCTGTTTCATATCGCCAGAGGGGTATTTGTCGGGGTGTATCTTGTTTTGTAGCTGTAGAAACTCGCGACGGAGATCCGAAACGGAGATGGAGAAGGGCGATGCTGGGGGAGGGCCCGCGGGAATAGTCTGGGGGAAGATGGTGTAGTAGTTGGTGATATCTGGAACTCCCACTATTCCGGATTCTCCTGTAAGCTCTGCGGATGACTTTGTAGACGCATAACGTCGGCCTGAGACTGGTGAAACCGAGCAGATATCCCGGGATAGTGAGGCGAGTGTCCGGGCCGGAGCTCGGGTGGGAAGTCGGCAGCACTTGCAGGCGTCCCGTTGGGTTGGGTTTGTAGAGATGGACCGGGTAGGGGTGATAAGTGAACGAGAGGTCGTCTGGCGGCATAAATTGCGGGCCAGGCTCGGTGCACGGAACGCCATTGTGTAATGTCGATACTTGAGCTCGAAGTATCGGAGAATCCATCGCGGAAAAGCAAATCCCGTTACGTCATCTCCGCATTCTACACGTGACTATGTACATGTCTTTGTAAAAGCTATTGACAAGACTATTCTAGAAGCTTCAGGTGCACTGCTATTTGAAGAAATAGGCTTAGTAGATTATCTTGACAGGTGTATCTTTTAGGAGGGTCTCCCCTGGTTGTGTAAGTGTACATGATGTTATAGCCCGTAGCTAATAGCCCGGTGGAAGAAGTTGATCGCATGGAGGCAAGCTGCCAATCATTCAATGCCCCAGAGCTTCACTGTCCGATCATGGCCGCAGCTTGCAATCCATTGCGCATCATTGCTCACATCTGTACTCAGCACGTTACCTGCGTGCCCGCTCAACGTCTTGACCAATGACCAGTCATCGGCACTGAAGATATTCACGTTCTTGTCAAAGCCACTAGACACAAAGAATGTGCCCGATTTCTTTGGCTGAACCGATGAGCCAGAGGCTTCAGTAGGTGCCGGTGTGGCACCGTCAATGTCCATTTGACCATCGGCGGAAGGCAAATACGAATCTGCCTCGGCTCCCTTGTACCAACGGAGGTCAGAAACGACACTCTTGTGGGCACCGATGCCGCCCATATTCCGGACTTGTCGCAAATCCCAGCATTTAACCCATCCGTCACCAGAACCTGAAAGCACACGATATCCATCCGCACCCCAGTCCATACCGTAGATCTCTCGGATGTGACCCTCGAGGATCATCACGGTACGTCCTGTCCGTAGATCCCAAATGCGCCCGATACTGTCAAATCCACCACTAGCAAGAAGTGAACCGTCATTGTTGAATGAGACTGCGTAGACCTCTCGTGAATGGCCCTCCTGCAATTGGAGTTCCGCCGTTGTTTCAACATCCCACAGCCGCCAAGTGGTATCAAAAGACGCAGATGCCGCATATCGTCCAGATGGGTGGAATTCTGTACGGCACACACGCCCTGAGTGGCCGGATAGTGTCGCGAGCGGCTTATCAGAATCGAGCGCCCAGAGGTTGATGTTTCCTTCGCCACCTCCTGACATCAGGTTCACAGTCGATGGTGAAACATTAGACGAGGGAAGTGTAGCCCCCGGGAGCCATGACAATCCACCGATTCGATCCGTATGTCCCTTGAGATTGGCTTTTTCCTCCAGATTTGGCACGGACAGTAGTTTGATACCACCAGACCAGTTTCCAGCAGCAATTGTCTTTCCATCTGGAGAAAACCGGCAGATACTGACGGGACGGTCTCCAGCAATTTGAGATCCGTACAGATCAAAACTCTGGAGCTTCTCTTTGATGGCTTTGCGGTGCTTGACATGGGTCCGGAGCGGAATTGTTGACTCCTCCTTGAGCCGAGCCACACGAGCTTTCGCCCGCGGCAAAGAAAAGTGTGCAATGGCCTTTCGAGCCTCCAATAGCTCATCCGAGCCCTCTGTGTAAAACTCCTCCTGCTGTTCTCCGCCTTCTTCTCCCTCCGCTTCTTCCATCTCCACATCACCCTCTCTCTGTATTTCCGCCAAGTCCGTCAAGAGCTCACGCAGACGATCCCGTCGGTCTGCCAGGCCTTCACCGAATAGTGTAATGGGCTCTCCAAGCTCTCGTAACCGCATGCGCACTCGAGTGTCATCTGTGGGTACGACCGTTGCCGCGGCGCGTCGTTTTCGGTCGAATTGAGCCTGTAAAGCAGAAACACGTTCACTAGGGGCCCCTGCGCCACCAGGCATCTCATAGTCCTGGTCAGTGGGGAGGTCGGCGAGACTAATCCCCATATCAGTGTCCTCGGCCTCCTCGACATAGGCCTGTCGCGCGGGGTGCATCATATTGGAAGCTTAGAAGCAATCACTTCTGTATCCTGAGAGCTGACAGGAAGAGACCGAAGCAATGCACGCAGGGCCAGAGGGATGCTGGTCAAGGTTGAGGCGCGGGTTTGAGGCGCGGGTTTGAGGTGGTGAGGTTGCGCGGGTGGCAGAAATGAGATACCAGCAAATATTTTTACTGCATGGCTAATAACAGCCATCGCAACTGCGTAGATCTTATTTCTTCCAGTTTAAGAGCTGTGCGTAATATCTAGCTATATAACCCATCTTCTCGCCAATTCAAATAATAAAATTCTAAAAACATGCATTCTCACACTCCACCAAGTATGACGCCAGGCGGTCAATCGCGATAAGATCACAGCGGGTTCATTCTTATCCGCCGTTGCTTCGTTGATTTTTAATCCTTTCATAACCCTCACATATCTCAATTCCTCTCCTTGACTCCGATGCTCTACTAAGCGCGCAGCTTTGGGGAGAGTTTCCATACTCCCGATGCTCCCGCCAAGTCTTTCGTGTAGAGCCTGCAGTCCCTCCTGCACCCTACAAGCCACCTTCTTTCCCCGACTCCGGACCTCAGCCGCGACTTCTCACGCCTTGGGCGCCAAGGCTTTCCACTCAACCCCTGCGCGTCTTTCGAATTCCTCTCCACCCTCGCGCATATCCTATCGCGTTGCTGTCTCGTCCTCGGGCAAAGGTTGCCGCTTCCACCCCCTCAAAAATGCATATAATTTCGACCCTAGCATTTCTAGCTTGATCGGCGTTACGAAGGATAAGAACCCAACTGCTCGCCGCCGTGGACGGCCAGATAGCGGTGAGGATGCTTTCTTTGTGAGTCGGATTGGCTCCGCCAGCGCGGACTCGGATGCAGTCGCCTTCGCGGTAGCAGACGGCGTCGGTGGATGGACTGAATCCCGTGTTGATCCGGCGGACTTCTCACACGGCTTATGCGGGTATATGGCAGAGACGGCGTTGGCCTGGGGTAAATCCGCCGAGAAGTTACGGCCTAAGCAGCTGTTGCAGACGGGCTATGACCAAATCGTTGCGGATCCGACTATCAAGGCCGGAGGCAGTACTGCCTCTGTTGGTGTCGCGTTACCGGATGGACGCGTTGAGCTGGCTAATTTGGGCGACTCGGGTTCTGTTTTGCTTCGTCGTGCGGCTGTTCACCATTACTCGATTCCGCAGACACATGGCTTTAATACGCCATACCAACTTAGTATTATCCCTCCTCGCATGCGTGCTCAGGCATCTACGTTTGGTGGAGCGTATCTTGAGGACTTTCCCCGCGACGCAGCCGTCACGAATGTGCAAATGCAGCACGGTGATGTGCTGATGCTTGCCACGGATGGAGTCTTCGACAACCTCAATAACCAGGACATCCTCAAGCTGGTAACCAGCCGGATGATTCTTACGGGTGCTTGGACTGCTGCTCCGGATGTCGCGGTGAATGTATCTAATCACTTGGCTGCATTGACTGTGCCCGGTGGTCTTGCTGAGGCCTTCCATCCTCCCTCATCATCTGAATCTACAAGAGACGACCACGACGATTTGTCAAAACGCTTAGAATCCAACTTGACACTCCAATCTCTCCTCGCGGCCTCTGTCGCCGGCGAAGCCAAACTCGCCAGTGTCGATTTTCGCCGTGATGGACCGTTTGCCAAAGAAGCTCAGCGCTACTACCCGGGCGACTATTACCGCGGTGGCAAGGTCGATGACATTTGCGCTTTGATACTCGTCGCAGTAGACGAAAGTCTCGTGGCTAGCTCCGAGTAGGTTCTTGGAATCTTGAGTTTGATTTACTTTCTTTCATTTCTCTGCATTATGGGGCGCCGTTTGTTTGATACTTGGTTGTGGGGGTGGTATGCATATTCACCTGAGATTTCGGTTTAGTCGGGCCTGATACCTTAATTAGTTAGACTTTTTACCATTGCAAAATGAATGTTGGAGATACTAGAGACTTTTGAATCACTGTATTTAAGCATGCATCTTGACCTTTCTCTACAAAATTCCTTCCTATACCATGGTACTATGAGTAGTCTTGTCTGTTCAGTCACTAAGCGGTATCTTTCTGCCACACTTTACAGCCCATTATCCTACCACGCTTTTACCTCAGTCTTGATCGGTGACATGTTCAATTTCATCAATTTTATACTCGAACACAAAACGCAACACAATTTTTCTCGAGTCTGAAGAAAACAAGACGCATTCCCATGTACCGGATCTCCATGTACAGAGCCAGAGGCAGACAAGAGTGAAAAGTAACAATTAGCGCATTTTTCATTCGAATAAAACACTTTGCTAGATAGATCCAGCCCTAATTGCGAATACAAGGTGAAAGACGAGTGGATTACCACAGAAACATCAGATCGGGTGGGAGAAAGACAGAAAATAAAGGCCACAAAGCAGAGCACCCAAACCTGTTCATAAGAGAGGAAACAGTAACATAGAAATAGCAGATGCTAGACAACGTTTAGGCACTAGCCTCCACGGTCTTCTCCTCGGATTTATCAACCTCGGTGGTCTCCTTCTCGGTCTCGGTCTCTTCGGGCTTGTCCGCGTCAACGTCGGGCATGGGGGTATCTTCGCTGGCAGCCTTGGTCTCAGGCTCCTTCTCCTCTTCAGTCTCTAGCTTGGGAGTGTCTGCGCCATCGTCTTCCTTGGAACTTCCATTGGCTGTGGGCTTGGAATCCTTGTCACCCACGGGGGTATCGGAGTCCAAAACAGTCTTCCAGCTCGACAGGATGTTCATGGCACGTTGACGGAAGTTGAACTCCTCATCGCGGGGAATTGTGTTGAGCTTCACAATCATCTTCAGAACTTTGTTGATCTTGGTTGAGCGAATAATCGAAACTTCCAAGTCGGTGTGCTTCTCCAGCTTGTCGAAATAGGTGCTCATTGTGGCCATCTCGTCCTCCTTGGGCGGCGCATCGCGGGAGATGAATCCCTTCTGAAGCTTGTGACGAAGGAAGAGAACTGCTGGAAATTAGCCTTTTATATTCACCGAGCAGTGGTAAGGAAGTCTGGAACACATACCCTCTTTCTCTTTCTTCTTCTTCAGCTCCTCGGGGTCGATCTGCTTCTCCGGCTCCTTGGCCTCAACAGCCTCCTCGTCATCTTTGGCAGCAGCCTTGCCCTTCTTGGCCGGCGCCTTCTTGGTTTTGCTGGCAGGTGTTTTCTTCTCCTCGGCGGGCGCCTTTGGAGTGGTCAACTTCAGCTTAGTAGAGGTCTTGGGGGTCTTGGCGGGCTATAAATACGGATGAGTTAGTCACTCTGCACTTGTCATAGACCCATCTCCAAGATACGCACCTTCTCTGCCTCGGTTTCGGCCTCGTTCTTTCGCTTCTTCGAGCTCTTGGGCTTCTTCTCATCTGCATCTTCCATATCAACGTCGGTTTCAGCACCTTTGCTCTTGCGCTTGTTCTTCTTCGCCTTTTCGGCCTTGGCTGTGGCCTTTGCGTTCTCCTCGGCCTCGGCTTCCTCAATCTCCTGCTGCAAAGCAGCCTGGTGATCTGCCAATAGATTTTTGAAGTGTTGCAGGTCGTGGCCCTCTGCGGCAACCTTGTAGGCGGCGATTAGCCCCTTGGCCTTGTTCTTCTCGGAGATATCCTTGCAGTCAGCAGGGTCGAGAGGAGTCAATTGAGTGTTGGGGACCCAGGCACTGTCGGAAAATAGTCAGTATCAGTTGAGAACGAGCCTAGCGCCTCCGGAGAAAATCCAAGAGAGTCCGCTTACAATTCGTTGGTCCCAAAAAACATCACGGGGAAAGTTCGTTCGTGTGCCCTCTTGCCGTCATCGGCGTAATCGGCGCGGTAGGTTCCATCCTTTTGCATCGCGGTCACAGGGCGATTGTCAAGCAGTGTATTGGGCATGATTTCCTCGTCGCAGATGATGGAGGGCCAAGGCGCATAGCTGCGCAGGCGCGCCAGGTAGTACTCGCCCGGCTTCGCGTTCAGCTGGGTCATGCGGACTTGTGACTTCTTGCGGCTCAGTGACTTGGACTTCTCGCCGACACCGCTGGAGCGGCGTCGGTCCTTTGAAGACTTCTTGGCGGATGCAGGAGTGCCATTTGTCTTCGGGGCACCATCTTCAGCATCGGCAGGCGCAGCGGCGTTTTCATCGTCGCCCTTGGGCTCCGTCGCGTCGCCGGATGCAGCGGGTTCTTCACCATCAGCTTCGGGCTCCTTCTTGTCATCGGTGGTGTTCGCGGGTTCTGCAGATGAGCCAACGGGTCAGCGCACGTTAGTCGCACAGAGGCATTATGACCCTAGATGAGGGGGTGATTCAAGCGGAAGCTCCATCGGTGGTTGGAGCATGCAGATTGGGTCTTCCTTACCAGTAGGGTTCTCGTCAGAGGCAGCGACAGTCTCGGATACCTCTAGCTTGTCGGCCGAGGTGGGCTCGGGCTTCCCAGCCTCGGCAGGCGCAGTGACGGGCTTGTCATCAGCCATGATGGCAGGTATCAGAGGTGTGGGAAGAAATTCTAGTAAAAGAGAGGGGAGGGGAGGAGGGAAGGTAGGGGAGGTGGAGGATGTGGAGAAGGCAGAGTCGCGCAGCTCGGAGCGCGGGAAGGACGCGTTGGGGTCTGAACGGCAACCGCAATGACGCCACAACCTTTTGCGGAACCAGCGTTCCAGAACTCTTCAATTGAGGGTTCCCAAAAGCCGTCAAGTCGGGAATTTGAGGGGGGAGCACAACACAAGATAATTAATGATGACTAGAATGGGTTCCACAGTCTAAAAGGTCCCTTTTCTCTTGGGCTTTTTAACATCAGAGAAGAGTCAGCGAGGCTGCTGATCGGATCCAATTTGGGGATTGAGTCTTGCGCGGTCTTTGTGAAAGGCTGTCGAAATGTTCAAATTGTGGTCAATAGGTTGGAAATGGAGACTTCGGGCTGCTCTGTAGCCCTGTAGGGACTTCCGACCATTGGACATCTACCTCTGTAGCTCTACCTATGGTAAAGTCCCAGACCCCCCCTAGTACCTCCCGGTTGCTTCCCTCGATGGGCATATGTCTAGGTGCTCATCGTGAGACTGAAACTTCCATCTAGGTGTCGACATTAGCTTCGCTAGGGGCGATGTCATGCAAAGAAGGCAATGATTGCAGGTTATATTTGATCAATTCTTCCAAGACCTGAAGAGCGGTACCCTCTCTTGTTTCTCTTTACTCGGTCAGGAGACTGACTTGGACGTGGATCTGTAGGCAAAATGCACCAGGGTACGCAGACCGATCTCAGACAAGTGCATAGACGAGAGAAGAGGGAATCGAGCATGGCAGGTGGTTATGTTATACGTTGAGCTCCCTTCATTGTCTCTAGGCTATAAGGTAACCTCCCATTCAACACTCGCATGCTCGGTCAGCACAAACCTCCTCAAGTTGAATTCATTGCATTCTCCACTTATCTTCGGCCCCTCAACCTCATCGCCTGGAATACATGATACCGGCCACAGATCAAATACCGAGAAGAGATTATCTATATTAGGGGCTAACGCAACATCTCCAAAGCTATGTACGAGTCTGTCAGGATAAACTTCAGAGCCCCCGACACAGACGAAGTGTCAGGTACAGGTAACACCCAGTCAATATACACATGATTATTCACAGACTCCACCCACATCCCGGTAGCTTCATGGGTCTCATTGCACTTGAATTCACTAGAAACAGAGTTTCGTGCTTCTTCCATCTCGGCGCGATGTACCATTAAGCCAAAGTAGCTTGACTGGGAGCCACATCGTCTGACTCCCAACCGTCGGATGTATTAATGACCCTGATTGACGAGGGTTCCGGCTTGTGAATTCGCACAATCCAAAGGAAGCAGTCCTCCACAGGCAGCAGATTCAGGAGCACGCCATTGAATCTCCAGCCAAGACCGCAAATCAAGGCACCTGCAATCGCATCCAGTATGAAATGATTTGCCGTGGCCACGATGGCTACCAGGATTGTGAACGGATAGAGGAAACCTAGCACGAGACAAAGAACACGGCGCCAAGAAGGCAATCGGAGCCCAATAGGACCTAATCGAGTCCGGATGATGCGACGATGATGCGGTGGGAGAGGAATTGTCAAAATGGTAAGGCCGATCATGAGTGAGTATCCGAAATGCAAGGAGGGCATTGCGGCTGTCCGAGTGAGATACGAAGTTCGCTTAAGGGACAGGGGATGGAATGCACTTACCATACTGATTGCAGAAGCGGTTCTCGGTCCATACACTTCCCGCTCCGTTGACACCATGGACAGTGTCAATAAACCCATAGCTGCGTGCCAGCTCTCCCTCGGGGCCTTCCACAGTTGGGTCACTGAGCAGTCGAGGTGGCATACATGGCCAGACGGTGAATACGACGAAGGCGAGGAGATTGCATACGGCGAGGGTCCTTCTCTGAGCTTGATATAACAGCGGCCCTGCCGGTGAGCCGCTCACTGAGCCGCGAGGTTTCCCTGGCTGTGGTTCTTCGACACGATTCCGGGTGATGGTGTAGTAATACAGCCAAACAAGGAACGCGATTGTGCCAGGGATATGGATAAATGAGTATATCCAGTTGATATATGTCATGGCCAAAGGATGCCGAAGAAACCAGTGCTGGATCCGAAGCTCCCAAAAGATTCCTAATGCCTCCTCCGCCTGAATCAACTGTAGGGCATGTCGTCGGGCGACATCAACGGTGCCTTCCTGGAGGGTCACAGCGGTAAAGGCACGTCCGAGCTGATATGTCTACATGGAGAGTAAGTGGATGTCCTTGAAGATATAACTGACGAGATGTCAGATGATGAAAGAACCCAACGAACATACCCAATACACGAGAGCCCAGTACCAGCATTCCACCAAGAAAGGCAAGTTCCGGAGCAGGCGGCTGAGCAGTCGATCCTGGAAAACAACGGTATCTGGAGTTGACACGGGAAATGACAGACGAAAGATGTCAACATGTCGCTTGTGCCAACCATCATCGAGAACCTCAGCAGGTGGTGAACGACACCGAGGGCTCAAAAGTCCATCTTTCGGTGTAGGGCTGATATAGCCAGACTCTAGAGGACCTGGAGAGTCGGCTCGAGGGTAATTGGATGATCTTTGACGGCCGTGGCTGTGAGTAACCGCAGACGCAGTCAACCGATTAATCCATGTTCCTCCAAAGAGGAGGACAATAACGACCAACGGTTCTAAGATCGCACCAACCCCCATGATAAAGATGGGCCAGTAGTCATAGGGCAGGAAAAGAAGGGGAAGGGGTGGCCGCAGCTAATATAGGCCCACGCCGTAAGAATGGAAATTGAATACAGCATCTTGGTCAGTCGGGACCAAAATTGGGGCAAGTTCCGTGATTTAGACGCAGAGCTGTGACTACCTCACACGCATACAAGGCAAGAACGGATGTTCGGAGCCACCGGATGCCGAATGTGATTTGAGCTAAAGAAATCCCAATAAACCCGAGCTAGTCTAGTTGTGTGGCGCCGAAACCCTTCATGACATGGTGTCGCGTGGCCCCATTCGTTCTCATACTTCGTAATCGTATGCAGCGGACAAAGACAGGCCAACGCATATTTGGAATAATGAGCTGGAGAAGGATCAGGCCGGTCATATTCTATCCTGCAGCAGCAGCAAATCCCGGATCAATCCGATTCAGCGTTGTGCAGCCTGGTCTTCAGACCGGTGAACATGCAGCAGATCGGCGGAGGGCTAGCGGTGTTCCAGGCCAAGGCTGGAGCCAAGGCATTTAGTGGGTACAAGTCAGACATAACCAGTATTCATTCAGGATATTAGTAATTCTTAATTATTCTATTTCCAGCCAAGGCGGGTGTTACTCAGCGGATTGGGCTTCCTTAGGCCGGTGGCTCCTCTCGGAGATGTACAAAACCCGGAATCCCTATCAGGGTTCTTCCTAATCCCGGACCTAGGAATCTCCTTCGATCCACTTTAGTACGTCTCATGTGCCTCGGTCAAAATGTCTTTTGCTTGTCTTTGTGGGTCTCTCTTTGCTTCTTCGAGCTATTGGCTGGACGTTTTTCGTTACACATATGATAGTGGTGAAAGCAGTGACATGGTATATATTGTGCCTGAGGTGTCTTACATGCCTTGGGCTATCTGCATTCTTCTCTCCTACATGGACACACACGGAGGCAGAGCAACTATTCGGAATGTGACTGCACTATTCGGTTTCTTTACTTCATGATACAGTTTCAAGTTTAAAGTGATATCCCTCTACAGAGCATGTCCACTACGCCTTCCTGAGTCATTGGGAGTGTGTATGTGTGTTCCTGGCGCCCAGTCTGCATTGCCAGACAGCCATCGAGCCATCCCCATTTCAATATGTAGTCCCTGTTTTCCAACTTGGACTGATATTTTCGTGTGGTAACTAAGCGTCCTAGGATTTCGTCAGGACCATCGGTCAAATATTATACATCTTTCTCGGATCTACCTAGATTATTATATATCATCTGATGTCATCGCACGCAATCAAGGGTATATCCCAGGAGAATTGAGAATTAGTTACTTCAGAATGAAGTGCATTTGACGTCAAGCCACCCAAATTAGGGACTTCCGACCACAGGGCATGCGTGGTGCGGAAAAGATCTGAGTTTTCGCAATGCTCTCTTCTTCGCTATTTCAATGGCAACTCATAGTTCCTTTTTAAGAATTTTAACAAATACTTTGAATAATATTGACTTGACCGACGCCACAATTTACCATAGACCACGATGTTCCGTTGTATGCCTCTTGCAGCGACAGTCCCCAAGCAGATGGCAAGTCGTGCCTCTCTCAATTTAGCCAAAGCTGCCGCTTCCTCACAGCCCAGAGGTTTGTCAACGTCATCACCGGCCCGATCGGCACAGGGAGTGGTGCTTTTACAAGACAAGGAAGATGGCTTTGGCTTCGCAAGATCCAATCCCCGACCAGTAAAGCCCAGGGATAAGGGAGTGACTGAAATTAGAGGCCCATACTACTCGGTATGGACCATTGGGGAATCATCACATGTTGCTGGATAAAGCTCACACCGGCCTAGGTTATGGGGAAGCGGTACCTATCAGATGTACTCGAGACGTATGAATCCCTTCATATTATTATTGGTTCAAGCCGTGACTGACCTTGGTCAATAGAATGGGCAACCACGTTGACGGATTGAAGTTTGCAGGCGGTTAGCCATATCAACCTGAGTCCAAAGTAGATACGCGGAACTTATACAACATTTAGGCTCATTTGCTCTATTTGAGAGGAATTCACTGCGTGAGATAACAGATCTTGCTCATGAGTATGGCGTATATGTCTCCACGGTAAGCAGAAGAGTAGCGACTATGGATATCATGTGCTGAATTTGTATAGGGCGGATGGGCTGAGCACCTACTCACACACCCCGACCCCAACACCGTTTTCGACCGTTACCTCGCAAAGTGCAAGGATCTGGGGTATTTGTGTCCCATGCAAGAACGAAAGTTTTGGCTGACATCCTGTCAAGCTTTGATGTCGTCGAATTGTCCTCTGGCTTCTTGTCGTTCCCAGAAGACGACTGGCTTCGGCTCGTCGACAAAGTGCACTCATACAAGCTTAAGGCCAAGCCTGAGCTGGGTATCCAGTTTGGAGCAGGCGGAGATACACCTGCTTCTAGCCTAGAAGCCATCGGTACTTCAGACCCAGGCAAATTAATTAATCTTGGCCGCAAGTTCCTCGATGCTGGCGTTGAGCGCCTGATGATCGAGTCCGAGGGCATCACAGAGAACGTGAAATCCTGGCGGACTGACGTCGTGTCGAAGATCATGAAAGAGCTTCCTTCGGAGGGAGTCATGTTTGAGGCTGCTGATCCTAAAGTTTTCAATTGGTACATTCGAGAGTTTGGTATTGATGTCAACTTGTTTGTGGATCACAGTCAGATCGTGCAGCTCGAATGTCTGCGCTCTGGTATTTGGGGAACTGCGGATACCTGGGGAAAAATTGTCTCCTTCCGGCTGTAGATTCGGATCTTTACATATCGAAGGTCGAGCTGTTTGCTAGTCAGAAAAAGTCTATAATATACTTCCCTACGCGGACTTGCTTCAAGGCGGGCCCTGACATTGATGACGACTTTTGAGGAAACGCGATCTAGGCTACTTTTACAACCGAATATTAGGCCAAAAAGCTTGGAGAGAAGTTCATCACGACATATCGAACACATATATGCCAAAGATATAGAAAGACGTTGGCAAATACCTATCGGGAGGGGAATGCGCTTAGTCAGTCCGTAGAGTCCGGGGAAAGCAAAGCAGTCCGCGCTTCTTCCGTTCTACAATCGTACCACCATGCGATAGAATCCTCTCAAACCTCCTTATTCACGCAGACCGATCATCGAGAACGTTTCCGGCGCTTCGATGACCCCCCTTGTGCACGAGATCGCCAAGCGACCCACTGACCGGAAGAGCGGCGCAGGTGCGCGATGCCTCGTGCAAGCACGGCGCCAGGGGCGCGGCTCCGATGTCGCCGAGCCTGTGATAGTTGTAAACGTCGGAAGCAAAAGTGCAACGGAGAGCAACCCTGTACGATCTGTGTCCAGAGACACAAGGTGTCCGAGTGTCATTTCTCGGACCGCCCCGCGCGCTTGCTCAAGCCCGATCCCAAAGACTCGACTATGCTGCTCAGTGAGCGGATAATGCCTTCCCCGCAGCGGGAGACGGCGATGGATCGCCTATTAAACTCCCTTGAGGACCGTGGGATAGATCTGGAACAACAGGCCAAAGATGAAAAAGAGGGTGCGGCGCCGGTGCCGAAAGTGGCACGACTTCTCCGCGATGGGCAGGGCAAGTTCATGTATATTGGGGATTCTGCAAGTCTCTCATTCTTGCAAAGTGTTCGCCGTGTGGTGTCTTCCGCTATCGGTCGTTGCGAATTCACTGAAGATAATTCGCGACACTCCATGCTCGAGGCTTTTCAAAGTAATCCGAGCACTCAACCTGGGCCCCTCGTCCCACCGCCCAGCAATGAAGAAGCACAGCGACTGGCCCAACAATATGTCCTTGCGACTAACCCTTTGCTGGACCTCTTTGATCTAGAAGAATTTCACCCGAGATTGGCCAATTGGGTGGGGAATCCAACTGGGGACGAAGACACCGTTAGCTCCATCTTCTACCTCGTTCTTGCCATTGGTGCCCAGGTCTCCGACATCAATCAAGACCAGGCGGAGCAGTACTTTAGCAGTGGACGTCAACTGGCGTTTGCCGCATTCCAGGAGACGCCGAGTATCCACACTATCCAGTCTTACATCTTGGTGTCGATGTACATGCTCGGCGCGTGCAGGCGAAATGGCGCTTTTATGAACCTAGGAATTGCTTTACGCGCTGCTTATGCGGTCGGCATTCATCGGAAGGACGCAAATGCGCTCTTCTGCGGTCGAGAACGACGTGCAAGAGAGCGAGTATGGAAGAGTCTCCGAATGATGGACTTGTTCCTCAGTGCCTCTCTAGGCCGCCCACCAGCAACATCAGACTACGACTATGATATCCGCGAAGATGTAACCGCATATGTTGATCAGCAGAGAAATCTGACACCAGATCAACAGCTTTCGGCTGCGGTCATCTCCCTCTGCAGGATCTTTGAACGCATTCTTACCGATGTTTATATGAAACAAGTCATCTCAATCAATGTTGCCGAAGCCATCTCAAATCAACACCGCGCTTGGGTGCGCACTCTACCTTCGATACTCAAATTGCAAACGGAGCCACTCGATAATAAACCCATGGAAGACAGTCTCGCTGCAGCCCATGTCTTTGGATCTTATTATTGGTCCATCATCCTCCTTACACGACCATTCCTCGTTTACCGTGTGGCACAATATGTCAAGAGTAAAGCTGACTCGAATGCTTCGTCTGATGCAAGGAATGGCAGCTCCCGCATTTCTCTTTTCGCCGATGCATGTGTTTACTCTGCCCTCCGAGGCCTTGACGTGGTGGATGCCCTCGGGCACTTCGAATCTCTCCCACGACGTCTACCCTTCCTGATCAACTCGGTCTTCAATTCCGCCGTCGTTCTTGGCGCAGCCTTCTTCGCCGATTATGATAGTCTGCTCCCCCTCGAAGAAGGCATGAACAAAGCCGAGCGGTTCCTCGGACTATTCGTTCCACACGATCCTCATGCATGTCGATTTTTCCAAATTGTCAAGTATCTTCGTGGCGCCGTGGCAGAATACATCCAGCGCCGCAACCGCCAATGGATGGAACGCCGAAGCAGGCAGGTAGATCAACTTTTCGGCCAGGTTGGCGGCGGCAGTGAACCCGGATCTCTCCTCTCGAGCTCAGGTCGTGAAATTGTCCATCCAAGCCCGCAGAGCCAAATGCGTCACCATTCCCCTGCAGTCCCATCTCCTACATCTCCCGGCAAACTCGGCGGCATGACTCCATCATCATTTCTGGCCGCACAGCCACGGCCCTCCGCAGGCCCCCAGCCACCAGGCAGTGATGTCTGGGATGCACTCTGTGGCGGGCCAGATGGAGCAGCCATGTCCTACGATGCTGCTATATCTGCACTGACCACCTCTGGTATTCCTGTCGGCTGCTCCCCTGGCGGTACTATTCCTTCTGGCCAGCCACCGCTCTCCGGTGGTCCTTCTCCGCTGTCTGATGTGATGTTCCCCGAGAACGGACTGCTGTACATGGCCGAAGATCTCCCGGTGTTTGGCATCTGGGATGATGTTGGGCCTTCACTATAATCTCAGGGCATTTCTTAGTGGCTCAGCTTCGTGAGAGCTTTCTCAATTCTCTTATCTAGACATGTGATTGATAGCAGGGTGTACCGGTGCAAGCTTGATTGGCAATTTGGTGCCTGGGTCTGGCCTTCCAAAGCGGCCGATATATGATTTTATGATACTCCTATGACATTGATATAATATACCATACTCTGTGCATATACTGCTGGACAGTGTTGATGGACCTTATACATCTCTCATTGCCATTAACCCTTCTTACATACACCTTAACTCCACTTTTACCTCTTACTTTACATGGCCTTTACAGCCATAGGTTCAATTTATTATCAAAATCAATTGCTATCTAATTGGCAGCCTTCCTCCAAAAAAAAGACGCTATGCATCATAATGCAGCTTGCATAATAGCCTAAGTAACATACATTGTCCAGGGCATCACATCTTAACCACAAGGAAAAGACATCAGATATGCTGCCAACAGATTTTTCGACAGATAGCAGAAGGAAGGAGGGGAAAGAAAAAGCAAAAAGCAAAAAGCGTAGCCATCCAGTAATATAGGAAAGGAATTTAGAAAACGAAAGCATTCAATAATAGCTTGGCCATAAGCATAGAGTATAACGGAACGGGATGCAGGGCGTAAGCAAATGAATCGAGGCGCGTGGGGGAAAAAGATGACAACGGCTCGCTAAGAGGAGTTTTGCAAGGAAGCCAGACTCATGGCATTGGTACGCGCTGCGTTAGGATGCGGGCCATGATATGTACTCATTTCAATTCAAAGCTCGAGATTGAAAAGACAAGATGAGATATGTAGAACTTCCGTCGCTGCGGACAGGAATCACAGTGGAAACAAAGGGGGAAGGGGAGGGGCAATTGGCATTGCCCGAACGTCAAAATTATATATACCGATCGAGAAAATGAAACGGTTACCAGAGTTGCCATTCCGATTAGAAGCCGAAGGGGTTGGTAGGCGCTATTTGTGTTTTGCTGGTTAGCTTCTGTAATGTCTATTTGGATACGTGGGAAACACTTACTAGCTTGTGAAAGGTTAGCCCTCATTCCCGTTGGCTGTGGAGCAAGCTTTTTGGGCGCATCTGGCTTGACACCAAATCTGACGGACGGAGGAGGTCCTGTCTTCTGAGGCGACAGAGGTGTGGCCATTGGTTGCTGGGGAATTGGTGGCACCGGAGGTGGCGATGATGCATTGTAGTGTCCATTTCCGAAACCGTTGGCACCAGTTGGCTGAGGCTGCAAAGCGGGAGGAAGCATGGAGTTGATACCAGTTTGCATCGGCTGCTGAGGTTGGGGGTACCCGCCAAAGCCGGTTTGTTGCGGAGCCATTCCCTGGAAGCCTGTAATTTGTCCTGGTTGACCATTGACATAGGGAAGCTGCTGCTGCTGCTGCTGCTGCTGGATTCCGAATTGCGATTGGGGAATAAACCCAGTCGGCTGAGGCATCAACCCGTTCTGGGGTTGAGGCTGTCCCATGAAGCCTGTCATTTGGGGCTGCATGTGCTGCTGATTCAATTCGGTCAAGCTCTGCCCTGGAGCAGCTATTGGTGGCCCTGCCTGAGGAAGCCCAGTCAATTGGGGCTGCAATGGAGGGGGACCAAAGGAATTCTGTTGTTGTGTGAAATTCTGTGGCGCCGATAGTGGGCGCTGCGGAGGTGGGGGAAGAAGCGAATTCTGGTTCATGTTCTGTGGCACCTGGGGGCGCTGTCTGGCCTGTGACTGTTGAAATCCAGTCTGTTGAGGACTGAAGCCCTGAGGCTGTTGTTGTGCTATTTGGTTGAAGAAACCAGGGGTAGCACCAGTCGGCTGGGGCTGCACCGGCGGAGGCTGTACAGCAGTCTGCTGCGGTTGAAGGGCGGGAATGGCAGAACCTGGCTGTGTGGCAGTATGCTGCGCAGGGACAGGCTGCAGCGGAGCTTGAAGCAATGACAAGTCAGCCATTGCACCCGTGATCTGCTTCTGGATAACAGGTGGCGGCGAGGCAGTGCCGGAAGGAGTGGAATTGACCGGCGCAGCAGTCGTGGTCTTGCGTTGCTTCACTTCCCATGCATCATCGTCAAATCCACGCGCGACAGGCTTCTCAGGTGCAACTGCTGCTGCAGGACTAGCGGCTCGCTCTTCCTTTGCCTGGGTCTCATCTGCCTGTTCAAAGGCTTTGGGATCGACAACGTCACCAGCCTGGACTGCTGGAGCCGGTCTACCCTTTCGAGTATTATTGCGAAGGGTACCACCAGGTCCAGCGAAAAGTCCACCCTGGCCATCCTCAATAACTTCCTCTCCACCAAAGCTCACATTCCGAAGTTTAGATTTGGCACCGGTGCGGCCAAGAGTGGTGTCCAGGTGTCGCATGACTCGGAGAATATCGCCCTCCTTCAAGCCCAAAGTGCGAAGGGTCTCGGGAGAAATGTCAGGCAAGACAGATTCATCCATGGAATCCTTAAGGAAGTTCTGCGCATAGCGCTCACACTGGTGTGGTCCAACGCCAGCCTTGAGGAAGAAATCGAACCAATCGTACTCGGGACGCTGCACAGATGCGCCTGCAGAGCCGCGTTTGCCGTCGGAGGTAGCACGAGCCCGAATGCTCGAAAGAGGCTTGTCCTCGTCCAGAGAGACACCAGCAACCTTCTCCACGTACTCAAGATCGTCAACGGACATCTTGGACACGGGTACCGCAATCTTGATTCCGTTGATCTTATGCAGATGAATCTTGCCATCTTGAAGGCCAATGAACTGTGCCTCAACCGTGAAAGCCTTTGAACGGTCGGTCCATTTCCTCACTTTGCTCGGGTCAGGTTTAGACTTTGACTTGCTCTCGCGCTTCGAGTGGCGATCTGTAGAATCAATAGAGTCCGTCCTGGGCTTCCCAAGGGCTGCCTTGGCCAGTCGGGCCTCCTCCAATCGGTTCTTTTCTACTGTTGATAGACCAGATTCCACCCCAGACGGCTCAAGGCTCACAAATCCAGTCACTTCAACGTAGCTGCTAGGGACCACTCCTTCTTTGCCGTTCTTCATTCGCCGCACCATCCACCACTCTTCGGACTTGGTGTCATCGATAACAACAACGTCATCACCCACGTCCACCGTCACCTCATCATCGCCTTGTGCCGTGAAGTCATACAATATGGTGCCCTTCTTATGGCCACCACCACCACCTTTTCCAGCGGCAAGGACCTCTCGTAGCCCTTCGGCCCGATAGGCCCCGGCGATCTCGCCAAGTGCGGCCACGATCTCCTGCGCAGTATCCTTGGCTCCAGCATGGAAGTCCACACTCTTGCTAGGCCGAACAAGGTCGACGAAGACATGCTTGCCTTCAATTGAGTAATGAGTAAGCTTCTCCGCGGTCCATTCTTGTTGGCGATCATCGCCCTCGGGAGAGATGAAGATGATTCCGGTGACCATGTTGATGCCCAACGTTGTTGGCATCTTCTTTCGCTTGCCCATCACCTCGACCATTTCATTGATGTTATACATGTGGTAACCCGAGGGAGACCGCGGTGTCATCTCGCCAGCCCGGTTGTAGGGAGGAGACGCTTTCACATGGGTTCCATCGCGACCCATCGAAGTAGCTGCCGCCTGGGGACGAGGGGGGGGGGAAGCCCCAGGCGAGCGGGATTGCAAAGGAGGTGTAGCCCAATTTTCTAACTGTTCGGACGGAGGTCGGCGCGGCAGAGCAGGCGCAGGGGGTTCTTCTTCGCCTTCATCGTAGGAGGGTCGCGTAGGTAGCTGAGGAGGCGGAGGTTCATCTCTGGTGGGCTCTATTTGCGCGCTCGCGGGTGCATGCTGCTTGTGAATAATATCCGCAATCGCGGCTGCGGCGGGGTTCTGCACCGTATCGATTGGGGACCCAGAGGCTGACGGGTGATACTCTTCCGCAGCAGCCTGCGTCGGTCGTTGCGGGAGAGACGGAGCTTCAGGCTCATATTCAGGCTCTGTGACTGGGGCAGGAGAGGAAGCCACGGCATGAGCAGTGGGCGCAATATCTTCAAGGATTTCAATGTAATTTGAAGGTGCAAATCCACAGTCCCCATCAGTCCCAACCAAAGTCCAGTCCGGATCCGAAGTATCGTAAACGAGCACGTCAGCGTCTTCGGAGAAAGAAACCTCCTCGTCTGTTTGTCGAGTATAGTCGAAAAGAGCCTTGGCGTTGTGGATCGGTTGCGCCTATACAATGGGTCATCGTAAGTATCAGTCAATTCCTCGGATTCAGACACATCCATGTATTCAATGCACGAAACCTTTCTGGTCCGCACAGCTCCGGACATGGAAGACTTGAAAGTTTGTGCCCTTAAGCATGCGAGTGATCCGGAGTGCTTACCTTTTCGACGTAGTTGTTCGGAACTAGTCCTTCAGGCTCGTCTTCGTCGTCTGGCTCTGCCTTCTTCTTGGCCTTCCACCAATCATCCTCGGCATTCTTCTCTATGATGTAGAGCAGATCGCCCTCGCGAATCTCCAGTTCACCTTCGCCCTGAGGCTGGTAATCATACACAGCCGTGTAGACGCCCAGGAAACCCATCGTTGAACGAAGACCCAGACTAATCGGGTCTCTGTGTCACAATGACCAAATCTCCTGGCGCTGCTGTTGGCGCCGTCTGCGGAGGGGGAGGGGTGAATTGCAACTCGAATTGTCGACCGGAGGGGGTTGGTCGTCAGGGCGGATGGTGCCGTTGCTTCAGCCTTGGCGGAGAGTCTTCAGGCGGGCAAGGGACACGTCAAAGAGAGAGAGAAGCCACGCGCAGAAAAGACCGAGCCGAGCGCTGGCAGAGGAGAGTTGGGAGAGAAGTGAGGGTTGGGGTCAGGGAGGTGGGAAGGTGGGCCGGACGATCGCTAGGAGGTTCACGGTCACGTTCCTTACGTAGTTGCGTTGCCTCCCCCAACTTTGAACTTCCCTTCACATGGACTTGCAACCTCCCGTTCAATATCTTTACGGATTCTTATCTCATTCAATTGCTTCAGGATCAACTTGGAGCGTGTCCTTACCTGGCCTCCTACCTGTCCCCACTCGGCTACCGGCAACTGGGGCAACTGACGTCTTTGGGCATGAAGCTAGCCGGCCGTTCCTGACGCTTGGCCTCCTATTTCTACATCTACACATGGAATATTGGATTGATATGCAGGTCAGAGAATATATGCCTTTTTGAGAATGGAAACGCCAAATTTCGATGTCTACTGTACAAGTTCAACCCTTCATAGTTCATCTTTGAAGGTTTCCTCACTTCCTTCCCCGTCGTCAGCCTCCGTATCTGGGGTTACCGGTTGTGATTTCGAATCATCGCCGGCCCTGTGCTCAGGTACCTTGGGTTCTGTAGTTTTGGTGTCTTTAGCTTGGGGTGCAGCCTTGTTTTCATTCTGCTGCGGCGGTGCCTCATCATCATCGGGGACAACGCCCTGGAATTTGATCACTCCATCGCTCTCGACCACTTCCAGGCTCCAGTCTTTGCCCTTGGCCAACTCCTCTAGTCTTTTCCCCATTTCTTCAACTCTTTCGGGGCTGAGGTCGTATTTCTTCAGCACCTGCGAGGATGCGGGTTTCATCTTCCCGTTCTCGCGTTTTGCAACAACGTCCACAACGCGCTCTTCGCCTGCAGATGCCACTCGGCCCTTCTCAATCTGCTTACCCTCCATGCCCACGAGCTTTTGCCCGCCCACCACGATCCCTCCGACAATTTGAAACTCAGGTGGGGACTGGACGGCGGCGGCCGCCGCTGCTGAATCCTCTAATTGGTGAGACGTAAACCACTCTTTCACGGCTTCCCACTCGGGGACATCCTCGGGCATCAGGATCTCACGACATTCGATATCATGGACTTCATCCTGCTGAGGCGGCAAAAAGGCGTTGTCGTCACAGAGTCGAGGTGTGTAGATAACCATAAGGTAGGAACAGGTGGTCAATTCTTTGATCCATCCAATCTGGTCCGTGGACTGCGGATGGCAGTGAAACTGCACTTCGACTCTGCGGTCGCGTCCAGTCAAGTCACATTTGGTGCCACCACGTAGATGTTGCACAAGATAGCGCGAGCCACCTTTGGTGTGTAGTTCTGCCACGTCGGTCGGGTATGTCTGTTTGTGCTCCTGAGTTCCTTTTTCTTTGTCATTTGCTTCGGCGGGGAATTGCCCCAAGACAAAGGAATGAGTGTTCGGGTCTTCCATGGGTGGATAATTTGGGACGCCACGGCCTGCGGCGAGTGCGTGAAATTGCTTGATCTGCTTTCGGTAGCAGAATGAGTACGACCACCAGCCGGAGAAGTAGTACATGCACTTGTCCTCCATTTCGCGTAAAAGCTCAAGACCGCGGTCTGTCGCGCGGGCCAGCTCCTTCTGTTCGTCTACTTCGTCCGCTTGGCTGTTCGTCTTGTTGGATTCAACCGTCACGCGTGGTATTTGGCAAAGGAGTCGCCGGTCATCCAAAATCATCTCTTCGTAAGTATAGTCTGGTCGGGCGACCTCCTCGCCACCCCGCGTGGAGTCATCGGTGGAGTCCTTGGGTGTGTACACCTGAGGGTTGTTCGAAGGGCTGTCGGAGCTGGCTTGTGTGCGAAGCAACTCTTCGGCTTGAGAGTGAAGGATATATTCTTCTGGGAAGGTTAATTGGTACTGCGTACAATTAGTACTGTTAGAGCGAGAGGTCACTCAATCGGCGTCGCGCTGGGTCTCACGACATACCTGTGGATAGGCCAGAAGATCATCGTGGATATTGAAAGGCCGCTTATCTGCCGACGCGGTGGCTGCGGCACAGGCCAGCATGAGCCATGGCACGATAGTCCACCTAGTCTGGCCCATATCTCCCACTGTTTTGAGGTGATCGCAAGAGACGGATGACGTTTGGGTATGGGGTATACGCTTTGTTTGAGACTCCCCACCAGGGCTCTCCCGGTAATGAACGACGAGAGTCGCTTGAAATATAGAATCAGGAGTGGTATCTCAGATGAACAGTAAAGACAAAGAAGAACGGTGGACGCTGATGCGATCCCGTTGGAATTGGGCGGAGAGCGGGAGCTGCTCCGTGGCCTTATCTTGTCTGATAGCAATCCGAGCTATGACAACCATCGGACGTGTGGTGGCATTTGAATATACAACTTTGAGGACATAACCTATGCAGGCTGGGTCTCTTGATTAGACGCCAGTGGGGATTCTTTTGACATCATGTATGATATTACCTACTTACCTTCTACTCTTGTTATCGAATTTGGCTGCTGTTACCGTTCATATTTGTACTATGAGGAGTATTTATAAATGTATGTCAGTGTCAAATATAGGTAGCCATACGATTGAACCTCAATGAAATGTCAATATCCCCCTTAAGTTTCTTCTGAATCTCGGATTAGTTATACACATACATAGATATTGTAATCTTGAACCTTGGAAGTGGCCTGCTTCCACAATAACAAGGTTAATTCTTCAGTCCTTACTCGAATTATTTCTGACACGTGAGTATCTCACCAAAGCTCTTTTTGGACATATATTTAACCAATAATTCTAAAACACATTACATGAACCCGAGAAGATAAGTCACAGCCTTCCTTGAAGCGTTGGTATTATATTCCTCGTCCGGCTGTAGTCATCGTCACGTGACCAAAACACGTGCCTAATGACAAAGAGGATCAAACATGGTTAACACCTGATTACGAAGGCATTAAGGATGCTGACTTGAGTCTTGGTCAGAGCGGAATTCTAAAACTTGCCTCATGATTGGCTACCGCTGCTTCAGACGTGTGAACAATCGCTGACTGATGTCTTGGAAAGCAGTTGCTAAGGAAGCGTTTATGAAGATTGACTAACGCTGATTTTCCTATATCTCTTTTGCATTCAGCTCGAATCTTCGATATCTCATCACTGGGGTATAAATAACCGTTAACATACCCATGAAGCTACTTCTGCCTTTCATAATTTGCGTCACGGCAATCTCTTGGGTCTATCGTCCCTCAATTCCCGACTCTTTCGTCTCTTTTATACAGCAGCGAGCTCCAGAAAGCTTATCGCGCTTCTTGACAAAGTCTACCATCAACACAGCTGCTTTTACTGCTCCTCAATTCGACTTGGAATACCCGGTTCCCGTCGTCCTTTCTGTTTCCAAAATGTCTACTGCTCGTGCTATCCGTCAAGTCTTCCTTGCCGTTGAGCAGGCCGAGGGTGCAGGTGCCCGCGTCCGCCGCTCAATCGGCACCGCCAAGCTGCGCAACTTCAGCCCTTTCCTAATGCTCGACCACTTCACCATTGGCAAAGGCGCTGGTTTCCCTGACCACCCCCACCGTGGCCAGGAGACCATCACCTACCTGCTCTCTGGCGGGGTGGATCATGAAGATTTCGCAGGCAACAAGGGCACCATTGGCCCTGGTGACTTGCAATTCATGACTGCTGGTCGTGGTATCATGCACGCCGAGATGCCCCACGAGAACGAAGACGGCAGCCCCAACGTTGGCATGCAGCTCTGGGTGGATCTGCCCCAGAAGTTGAAGATGTGCGAGCCGCGCTACCGTGACTTGCGTGCTACTGAAATTCCTATCGCCAAGACTGATGAGGGCCGTGTGACCGTTAAAGTCATTTCCGGCCAGTCGCACGGTGTCGATTCTGTCCGTGACTTGGCCTATACCCCCGTCTGGATTTTGGATGTCACTATCCAGCCTGGTGGCCGTCTTTCTCAGGCATTGCCGCAGGGTTGGAATGCTTTCGCCTACACCCTCGCTGGTGACACTATTTTTGGCTCGAACGATTCCACTCGCATTGTCAAAGAGTTCCACAATGTTGTCTTCGAGCAAAATGGTGACTTCGTTGAGGCATCAGTTCCCGACAATGCGCAATCTGAGACTCGTTTCATGATCATTGCCGGTCAGCCTCTGGACCAAAAGGTCGTCCAGTACGGCCCATTCGTGCTAAACAGCCAAGAAGAGGTCTACCAGGCCATGCTTGACTACCAAACCGCGTCCAACGGGTTCGAGAGAACTCGTGGATGGGAGAGTGAAATTGGCAAACGCATGGGTAACTAGCGGATGTAACCCTTTTATTTTTAATTTGTTTAACCCGAATGTATTGCATGGGAAGTTGTAGTTTAGATATCCTGAACTTCAAATGAATGATGATTTTCTAAGAATAATTCAGAATAAAGAGTAGACATTGAGCCACTAGAAACCATTGCCCTTAAATCCCAGCACTCCTGTGAATATGCATACAAAAATTTGTCTCGTTTAACGAAATGTGCGCAATGGTAGGCCTGAAGTTCTCGCAAATCCTCAAAAAACCTCTTTCTGAGCAATCCCGTCAACGTTCAGCTTGGCGCCCATAGTGCCAATCACATTTACACCCCGAGGGACTCGCAAGTCGCGGATTTTAAAGCAACCAAAGACAACTAGTCTGGAGAGGTTTGGGCAACATCGGAATATGCTCTGTGCCAGAAAGTCATCCACGACGCCCTGGAATGCGATATCGAGATACTTGAGTTCGGGATATCGTTTGTGCTCAGAGAAGGCTTCCTCGTATGCCGCATATGAGATGTGGCGACAAGAGGCAATATTCAAAGTCTCGAGTCTGGAGCCTGAGTGTTCCATCAGAGCGATGAAGCCATCCGATGCCAGGCCAACAGGCTCGGCTGGTCCAGCGGGGTTGGACATGTCTACATCACGAAGGCCATGGAAATCCACAAATCGCAAAGGTGGGTTAGACCAACCTCTGAAGAGCGCTGCCAGTTCTTTATCCATACACAGATCATTTTTGGTGAATCGAAGCTTACTCAGATGATGGCAATGCTCGTGAATGTGCTGCAACAGCCTATCATCTGCGAGCGGGAACTCATCCAGAGATAGAGAGCGTAGCTTGGGACCGATCTCAGTGATGACCTGTAGCAGGGGTTCGGGGCTAGTCTCCTGACTGAAATGGAGTGACAAGTGCTCCAGATTCTTCAGCGTTGCTATCGATTCAAGCGCCTTGTCGCCAATTTTCCAGAGATACTTCAGTTTCAGGCGTTCAAGTCCGGAACAACTCTTGCACATGATCTCCATAGTTTCATCGTCAAATGCAGAGTCAAGATTCCACAATTTCAGGCTCCGCAACCGGGGGCCCAACTTGGTGAAAAATTGGCGCCAGCATTCGTCGGTCACAAGATTCGGCGAATCCAGATGAAGGTCTTGAATATTCATGTCGCGATCCATTATATACTGGAAAATGCGATCCTTCATTGGCGTTACGAACCGTAGGTTCAGCCGAGTCAAAGCCGGCATGGACGCAAGGATCTTGTGATAATCATTGGTGTCGAGGCCTGAAGATATGATTAATATACCATTCGTGTTGCAGTAAAAAGTAAAGGAGTGACATACTTGCACAGTCGTAGATGTTGATCTCTCTGTGGGTGGGCCGTAAGAAGAGATCCAAGGTCTTTGAGGTCACCGCGCGTTTTCTGGATAGAATCTGGCTAAGGCGATGCATCACCGGAGGGGGGAGGTCGCCAAATTCTTCCACGTCGTCAATATGCTCGGCAACTTTCTGCAAAACGGTGAGTCACGTTGGCTACGATGAAGAAATAAGGGACAGACCTTGATACATGTTTCTAGCAAGCTCTGGGTACCATGTGGGGACATGCCATCTAACAATTTGCTCTGATTTTGACGACGCCCGATGCCAGAGCTACGCTTCTTGGCCGGTGCCTTCTTACCACCATCGGCATGCTTCTTAGAGCAGTCTGCGCAGAGAAGGCCCCCAGTAGGGCCTGTCTTGCTATAGGCAGTGACCGTGAAGCGCTTACCACAGAGTTCACAGTTGTCTAGCTGACCTGGATTAGGTCGCTGCTTCTCATCCATCATAGTATTTGCCAATTCATCGTCATCGTCGTCCGGCTCTCCGGTTCGGCGGGCCTTGCGGCGGGCGAATTCCTTGCTCTTCTTGATATTCTCGATGGCTTGCATTCGTTTGCGCTTCTTTGTTTTGTCTTCGGGGGACTCTGATTCCGGCGTGGGCTCGTATTCGGGTTCTTCTTGGTCCATTGCAGCGGCTTCTTCCTCCTCTGCAGCCTGGCGCGTCGCATCCGCCAGCCGGCGGTCGTATTCATCGCGAATTTGCGCCGCAGAGATGTTATTGGACTATATTGTCAGTTTGGCCAAAGCAATGATTCGTTTGGTCACATACAGCAAGGAAATCAGTCAGAGCCGAGTGTCTGTTGAAGCGTCGTTAGTACTGGCAAGATTAGTATTCAGATAAAGTCATACGGGCCCCGAATATTCCTCCCCTGCCTTCGCTCAGTCCTGCAGAATGTTAACAATAATTCAAAGCTCGTCAATCAAGAACGTACATTTTGACCAGGGAAAATCCGAAATAGTGGCGAGAAGAGAGATGTGATGTGCCTGAACTTCCAAGTCACAAGTTTCGTGGGAATTTCGCGTTGCACTTAACGCGAGGCTCTTATCAGGTGAGATAAGTGACGATGCACTCGATCCGCGATTTCGATTTCGATCACGATCACGATCGCGCAATAAAGACGAGGGAAGGAATGATAACGCCCTTGGGGATGGCAAATGGTCGGGACCGAATGAAGAGTTTTCCTGGTTCAGGCACCTGGATCGATCACTTTTTTCCGATCTCCAAAAGGCTCCTCTGACTTCCCCCTTTCACTTCCGGTCTTTCCCTGGTCCCTTTCACTGTCATTCAGCCAGGTCGTTAATCTCTTTTACTCATACTGTCCGGCCTTACATCCGTTGGTTCAATCACTCTCACTCTAAACCTCGGTACCCTTCATATCGACGTGTCGCCACTCCGAGGACTTATCCCGAGAGATCTTCCCAGTACAGCACAGCCCTCCCACTCTGTTTCGATATCCGGTTTGATGGATGTTTGATTTGGGATATGTCATCTAACTTGTCTAGATTGTCTGTGGCAGATTTTCGATTCCCCCTCTCCCCCTCCTTGTCCCCAACGATCCCTTGAAGTTTCCGAGAATCTATACAAGCCTCAAAAGGTCCCCAGCATGAGGAGGCGCAGCGCCATCATAATTCCCGACTCCGAGGATGACGTGCAGTCCAGTTCAACGTCAATCAAGAATTACTCAACCCTCCGTCAACCGGTATCCCTGCGACAGGGTGGGTCATCCCTTCCCCGATCTCGAGCCACTCGCGTCATCCCGGACTACGAAGATGAAGCCGACGATGACTTCGATCGATCTAGCAAAGTATCAACAAGGACAAGAACTCGTGCGTCAGGGACTCTCGAGGTCGTGATACCCGCGAAGCAAGATGAGACCTCCACCGATTCCTCTCGGAGCTCTCTGGGAATCACGTCGGCCGATGGAGCCACCGGTTCCAATACGCCAGCAACCAGTGTTGGTGCTGCCGCAGAATCCGATATCAAAAAGCCTCGGAGGCGTGTCAATGCATCAGAACGAGTCGCACGTCTCCAATCAAACACTGTCACCAGAAGAACTTCTCTCAGAGGTACTAAAAGATCCGCGGCTACTATGGAACAAGACCAAGAAATCACCGATGAGGCATTGGCGCGTGCGCTCCAAATAGAGGAGTATGAAAAGCCACGTCCCAAAAAGCAGCGAAACGGCTTCGAAGATCTCCAGGACTCAGCTCGAAGTCTCGCAGAGAGACTGGACGCGATGCCTCCTGACACAGAATTGTCAGAGAGTGAATTATCCGATCGGATTACACCTGTGGATACTGAAGAGGAGGCCGTCTTTCAACCATCTGCCTCAGATTCAGAGAAAGAATTATTTTCCGCCGCCGAAGAAAGAGAGAATCCACGACTTCGACTTGCCTTCCCACCCGAAATATATGCCGACGAGGACGAAGATTTGCCATCCTGGGAAGAACAGCGCAAAATTCGCCGAGTAAGTCTGCATTATTGTACGTTATCTATACAGTCACTGACTTTCTTTCTAGATGCAAGCAGATCGGAAGAAACTGGAGAAAAAGCACCCGATCATTCTTACAATGTGGGATGATCTCAAGGCCAGGCCCCTCATCCCCGCCAAGGAAGCTCAGCAGCCCGAATCCATCACACGCAAGTTGAAGCCATTCCAATTGGAAGGCCTGAATTGGATGATGGAACAAGAGAAAACGGACTACCGGGGCGGTTTGCTCGGTGATGAAATGGGCATGGGGAAAACGATTCAGGCCGTTTCTCTTATCATGTCTGATTTTCCACAACCCAACCCGACTCTAGTCCTTGTACCTCCGGTTGCTCTAATGCAGTGGGTGTCTGAAATCAAGGTTGAACACCCCCGGAATCTTCATAGTTCCCTCAACTAACCATGACTCCAGGAATACACCGATGGCAAGCTGAAAGTACTTGTTTACCATAATTCAGACTCCAAAGTCAAAAAGCTTACGCAGGCGGACATTCGAAAATACGATGTGATCATGATATCTTGTACGTTGACTCTACCTTCATTTATCCTGAATCATGGCACTAAACGGGCATGTAGACTCGAGCTTGGAGTCAATTTATCGCAAACAGGAAAAGGGATGGACTCGCGGTAATGGAACTGTGAAAGAAGACAGTAAGTCTGAAGACAATCTAGCTCCCACGATTTATCTTGACATGTAAAGGTATCATTCATTCCATTGACTATCACCGACTCATCCTTGACGAAGCGCACAGCATCAAGGTAAGATAATGTTTCGAAACCTTATTGTTACCACGGCGCTGACCTTCATTAGCAACGTACCACCGGAGTAGCCAAGGCCTGTTTCGCTTTGAAGGCTTCCTTCAAATGGTGTCTTTCTGGCACTCCTGTGCAGAACCGCATTGGTGAATTCTTTTCACTATTGCGCTTCTTGCAGGTCCGCCCCTTCGCCAGCTATTTCTGCAAGCAGTGCCCATGTTCGCAGCTTCAGTGGACCGCAAACAAGCAGGGTCGTTGCACTGAATGCTCTCACACGTAGGCCTCTTCTTCAACCGGAATCATTTCCTGGACACTAATAATGACTACAGGGGCTTCAACCATATCTCGATTTTCAACAAAGAAATTCTCAATCCAAGTGAGTCAAGTATTACGAGAACGAACTCTATGCGGCTAGCTAATACATGTTTAAAGTCACGGAAGGAAGAACCCAGGAGGAGCGAAAGTTGGGATTGTCAAAGCTTCGTCTCATCACAGACCACATCATGCTTCGACGATTGAAGCAAGAGCATACCTCGTCCATGGAACTTCCACCCAAACGGTAAGTGCGGTCACATTCCTATTTCGTTTACGTTTGAAGCTGACTCCAGTTTCAGAATCACTATCCACAACGAATTCTTTGGTGAGATTGAACATGACTTCTCTCGAAGTATCATGACCAACTCGAGTCGGCAATTCGATACCTACGTCAGTCGTGGTGTCATGTTGAACAACTATGCCAATATTTTTGGTCTTATCATGCAGATGCGACAAGTGGCGAACCACCCAGATCTTATCCTGAAGAAGCACGTGCAGCCGGGCTTCAACGTTCTCGTCTGTCGCGTCTGTGACGAACCGGCGGAAGATGCCATTCGGTCTCGCTGCCATCACGAGTTCTGCCGCAAATGTGCCAAGGACTACATTCAGTCCTTTGAGGATGGCTCCACTGTGGATTGTCCGCAGTGTCACATTCCTCTCTCAATTGATCTTGAGCAGCCTACGATTGAACAGTCCGAAGAATCCGTCAAGAAAAACTCGATCATTAATCGAATTTTTATGGAGGATTGGACGTCGTCGACCAAGATCGAAACGCTTCTCTACGAGCTCTATCTCCAGAGAAGCAAGAGCCATACACCGAAGTCGATCATCTTCTCGCAGTTCACCTCGATGCTGCAGCTTGTGGAGTGGCGCCTGCGCCATGCAGGGTTCAACACCGTCATGTTGGACGGGACGATGACGCCTGCTCAGCGGCAAAAGTCCATTGAGCACTTCATGACCAACGCGGACGTTGAGGTATTCCTGGTGTCCCTGAAGGCAGGCGGTGTGGCTCTGAACTTGACAGAGGCATCACGAGTGTTCATAGTGGACCCGTAAGTGTATTGCTATCCAGTAGGGAAAGACATTGGCTAACACTCTCATGCAGGTGGTGGAACCCTGCAGCAGAATGGCAAAGTGCGGATCGCAGTCATCGTATTGGCCAGCAGCGGCCCTGCGTAATCACTCGCTTGACAATCGAAGACTCGGTCGAATCCCGAATCGTTCAACTCCAGGAAAAGAAGGCCAATCTGATCCGAGGCACTATCAATAAAGACCAGGGCGATGCTCTTGAGAAACTGACCCCTGAAGACATGCAGTTCCTTTTCCGCGGGTCCTAGGGGTCTTTCGAGAGTCTTAGACATGGTACGCCACAGTCGTCAAGCCTCCAACCTAACATCTTGCCCCACCATACGACGTCACCGAGCCCGCGAAGCGGTTGCGCACGCCTTGTGTCTCCACTCTGCGATACGACCTCACGAATATTTTTTAATGTCTTGCAGTGCCATTATCTCATGTAGCTAGAACTCGAACGTCGCACACCTAGTCTATATACGGTTCGCGAGTTTCCGTCTCCTAATGGAGGTCCTATCACCTATAGCGTAGAACCATCAGAATCAAGCGTTTCAAGTCGAGAGCAAACCACGGATGCGAAATGAGATCATGCCCTACGCCTTGGCGATCGTTCTATATCTGAATTGTGTTGCCTGGCGGGGGTCAATGGTAAGGCTGAAGCTTGGCTCTCGGCAACTTTCACTTTCCCCACCAAACCTCCCCTGACCCTCTCACATCGCTTCTTATTTTTTTTTTAATCTTCTCTGTTTTCTATTAATATCAGATAATGCTCCCCCACTCCTTCGATTCTTGATCTCCAGACTCTCTCATTTAGCCATGGCATCCCATCCAGTTGACCGATATGGCCCCAAGCTTGTTGAGAAGGCCGACAAGTTACAAAACCGGATGAGCCTGGGACCCGACCCCTCTAAACCCGCCGGAGGTTACGATGCGACTCCGCTTCCACAGGCCCCGTCAGGATACACTGTCAAGTTCACCTTTCACCGCGGCGATGACCTACCCGTTGCGGACTTTGGAAGCTTCTCCTCAGACCCATATGTCTATGCGCAGCTCCTGGTTGACCTTCCTCGGCGCCATAAGCAGGACCCTCTGGTGAGCTTTCGCACTCCCACTGTGCGCAAGGACAAGAATCCCGTGTGGAACAGCGAATGGGTTGTTGCAAACGTGCCGGCGTCAGGCTTTACGCTCAAGGCATACGTGTACGACGAAGACCCTGCCGACCACGACGATAAGCTGGGAATCACATTTATCGAGGTTCCTCGTTTGTCAGAGGATTGGCTGGGCTTTAAGGAGAAGTCGTTCAAGATTAAGAAGCGTTTTGGTAGTAAGCGCGTCTATGTATTCACCAACGTCTCCGCATTCGCCACGGGTCATCATAAGGAGTCTTTCTTGATCATGAGCATCGAGGTCCTAGGCAAGACAGCCGGGGATAACGGCGGCCAGATGTACACCGTCGGTCCGCTCCATTGGTTTAAACACTTCTCGCCTGTCATCGGGCGTCTGACGGGAACGAAAGACCAAGTCCAAAGTGAGGATGGGAGCGGCAAGGCTCTTAGCCGATACAAGTATGTTGCGCTGCGGCGTAGTTTTAGGCCGACCCATGCTAATACTTGTCAATTAGCTTCCAAGCCATTCAAATTCAGCTCATGGGGCCCGTTCCCTCTGAGCTCTATCACCGCTATGTCGAGTTCAAGCCATTTGTGGCAGGCATGTTCCAAGCGCAGAGTATCAAGGGTCGGATCCTGCACAAAGCGCTACACCACCAACACCAGCGGATCTATAATTTCGATCGTAGTACTCTCAATGGGACTTTCCCGCATCCTTGCCGTGAATTTTCCAAGAAGTTCCTCGAGTTTGCCCACTATGGGCAGGGCGGCCGGATTTTCACCTACGTGCTCACGTTGGATGGCCGGCTTCGTTTTACGGAAACGGGCAAAGAGTTTGGAATTGACTTGCTGAGCAAACACACGATGCATAGTGATGTATCAATCTATATTGCTTATTCAGGTGAATTCTTCTTGCGCCAACGCAAGCATCGTCGCTCGCGCCGTTCTCCCTCATCGCGACCATCGTCCAACGCTGAAAATGCCGAAAATGAAATTCCCGTGGAAGAAGGGGACGAACCTGAAGAAGAAATCCAGGAGGTTTCACCAGAACCCTCTGATTACGAGCTATTCATCGACAACGACAGCGGGACCTACCGCCCCAATGCCGAGAAATTGCCACTTTTGAGAGAGTTCCTCGCCCTGAACTTCCCAGGTCTTCATGTCACTACGTTGGACTGCCAGGCGGATGCTGAGCGAATGGGTCAGATGAAGGATGAGCAACGGGGCCTCAAGAAGGAGCAGGGGCACCTCGTCACGTACCTTCAGCAGAGCAGCGCTTCCTCCCTATCAATCTCTAGCTCGGACGAGGAAGAACTTAATGAGCGTGGCGGCGAGGCCAAGAAACGAGGAGAAATGGCCCAAAGGATTCACGAGATGCGCGATCTGAAAGGCCAAATGATGAAGTGGGTGGAAGCTGATGGACATCCTGATCGCTCAAAGCACCGCTATGTCTCCGGACGTGAACGGGCGATCTCGACGGGCCAAATTTCCGATGTCCCCACTCCCCCAGCTGCTGGCCCAGCGGCTTAGATTGTGCGATTCTTCTCTCACAGTACAATCGTTCTTCACGTTGCAACTTTTACTTTTCTCGGACTGGAACCGAGCATCACGACGTTCATGATTAGGCTTAATCCGATACGATGCGAGTTGACGAGAGGTGGCTTTCGTGTACATATATTCTTTTTTCTACAGCTCTACCTTGGTAGTAATGGAATGCGCCCTATTGATGATATAAGTTATTTTCTAGTCCTATTACAGCCTGACCGAGACGATAATGCAAATGAGCTCAAGTACTCTGTTCTATTAGTCCTTCTAAAAACTCTTCGGGGATATTCCTCTACCCGTCTTGTCTTCTTAGGCGTCTTTCTGGTATTATTTTTCAATAACTAGCTATTAAACGACTCGAAATACGATCGAATAGACAATTCGTCGCCGCCTATTTAGGCTTGTTTAAATTGTCGCCTTGGTCCGGCTGTAGAAGATGACAATTGCAAAGAGGCCTGAACACTCGAGCCTCGGTCCTTATTTTTCTTCAAACGTGTTTCTGGACACCTTTCTATCTCCGTTTTTAATACGGAGACACTATAACACATATATTTAGACTCACCTTAAGTAACATAGCCCACGCCGCCTATCCAACCCACAGATAATCAATATCCGTATAGTTGGGCACTCGGGGGAAGCGCTGAGGCTGAAACAAAGACGGCTGCATCAGCCATTATTTTGGGCCTAGCAAACAAGGATTCATAGGTAAGTAGCATGAGGGAAATGAAGGCAAATTTTATTGTGTTGAATATTTGAAACATAGTCTTGGGACGCATAGCTGGCGTCCCATGAGCAAAGGGAGGCAGCAGACCCCGAGAATCCGCCCCCTCCTTCAAATCGGACGCGATCGAACCCAAGCTTCGACTCCACCCCCTCCCCCTCCACAACACCAGCCTCATTTTTACTGAATGACGGATCATTCTCATTCAACTTCCTCTCCCTGGCCATCCGACTGCTGCGCACCCTGTCGATGGCCGATTGGCTCGGTGCTCTGTCAACTTCCTTCTCACGCCGCGACCTGATCTCTCTGCCTACCCCATCATGGGCAATGTCGCCAGCCGCCTGGATGATGCGGGGAGCTTGTTCTCCAAGGACCAGAATCGCTGTATGTCAAGTTTTATACCCTGAAGGAGCCTCCAGGCTGATGAGCACTTTCCTGCAGTCTCCATCGCATCGGTCACAATAAGCAACTCCCGCCGCCGCCTGCTGACCCTGTCCCCAAACGCGTTCCCTGCGGTGCGATATATAGCAAAGCGAGACCCGAGCGACGAATGCCCGATCGAATATATTCAGGTACAGATACACCAAGCTAGGTTGTGGTGGTGCCAGGCTAATCTTTTATCAACAATGCAGGACCCAGATGTCGCCTCGTCAACCTCAGCCCCTACGTTCCTGCTACGCCTTTCCAACGATGACGAACTCATCTTTAACTTCACCTTCATCCTGCGTCAGACAAAAACCGGCAATGTCGCAGGTTCAACTGTCAATGGCGTATCGACCTCGCTCCCAGAAGTCGCCGACACAACCCTCACGGGACTCACATTCGCCCACGCATCCAACTCGAAGGAACTCGATAATTTGATCACGCGAGAGTTCCACGCGAACCCCAACTTGCAGAATAACTCCAATGTTCAGCTCATCGGGGACTTTTCGACCGGAGGTACCCCGTCAGTGTCATTTGAATGGTCCTGGAGATGGAAGCCTCCCAAAATAATGGAGGACAAAGGTGGCGGCTGGCGAAACAGCTGCAGCTTCTTGGATTATGATCAAAGGACCAACCGCTTGAATACTCTGGCTCACTTCTCCTTCTGGGTGCATAACTCCATTCGTCTGTTGCCCAGCCCCCAACTATCCTCTCCCAATCTAGAATTGCCCGTTCCTCGACCGCGCAGCCGCGTCCCTTCCACCCAGTCCACCGTTTCCCATCTCAGTGATACCGAAATCGTTTTGAACCACCACGTGCCTTCTGTTACCCCGCCTGAAAGCGCAGATGGTATACTCCCTCCTCCCCCAACAGTGCCCCCACCCCCACCTCCCGTCAAAGTCGACCTCCCATATTCGCGCCCTGGGGATGACATGGGTGGAGTGGAAGATGGACCACTGTTTCGAGCAACGATGAAAGCAATGGAGCAAAAGACTGGAAACATGCGCACAAAAATCAAAAAAGTTCTCAAGAAAGCTGAAGCTGCCCAGCAAGCGCAGGCAACCTGCAACGATGCCATGGAGGCCTTTTTGGGCTCCTTGAATGATGCTTCTACATCCAACGCCAATGCCATCCAGCCTGCACTAGACCATTACTTCGAGAAGATTGCTCGGCAGATCCAGAACTACGAGCATCTCAACACACTCCAGTTGCAAAAGCTCGTAATTGAGCCTCTTATTAAGCTATACAACAACGATATTAAACAAGCTGAATCGAAAAAGAAGGAGTTTGATGAGGAGAGTCGCGATTACTACGCCTACGTCAGTCGCTATTTGGGCCAGAGACAGGACTCACTCAAAGAAAAGAAGCGTGTCGAAAGTGATTCAAAGTATCAGGTCAAGCGGCGGAACTTTGAGTTGAAGCGCTTCGATTACTCTTCTTTCATGCAGGATCTTCACGGAGGCCGTAAGGAGCAAGAGGTCCTGTCTCACCTGACGAAGTATGCCGATTTCCAGGCCAAGAATTTCTTGGCGGCTGCTAAGAAGGTTGATGAGATGGTCCCCCAGCTTGACGCTCTCATTTATGAGGTGACTCAGGCAGACAAGGAGTTCCAATTCAAACGGACCGAGCGTGAGGAAAAGCGCAGGGCTTTAGAGAAGAACAGCAACCCGTACCTGGAGCCCGATGTCGTGGCTGGCCCGGTAACCGTCGCTTCAACATCTCTCGCGACTGCCAATGGAGGTGCTTCCACCGACGCAGAACTGGGTCGAGCCGATAGCACTGGATCTCAGCTGCGCGGTGTCATCAGCAACAGCTCATCCATTTCATCCCAAGCCAACGCTGGATCCGTTGGCTCTTCCGCAGGAGTTTCTGCCCCCACAACAAGCGCCGGCTCTGCAGGTGCCTCAAGCCAAAATCGCTTCAAAGGCATTCGAGATCTTGAAGAAAGAGACACACTTGGATTCGATCAAGCTGCCGGTCAGCAACGTAAAGAGGGTCTCCTGTGGGCTCTGTCTCGCCCGGGTTCGCATATTGATCCCAAGGGAATCAATAAGCAGGCATGGCACAAGTAAGTTATTACACCCGTACCTTAACCCAGTACATGCTAACGATTCTTCAATTCACAGGTTCTGGATTGTGCTAGATCAAGGAAAACTTTCTGAATATAGCAATTGGAAGCAAAAGCTAGATCTTCACATGGAACCTATCGATCTTCGCATGGCATCCGTTCGCGAAGCTCGAAACGCGGAGCGCCGGTTCTGCTTTGAAGTCATTACGCCTCAATTCAAGCGTATCTACCAGGCAACTTCGGAGGAGGACATGGCCAATTGGATCCGGTCCATCAACAACGCGCTGCAGAGTGCAGTAGAAGGACGCGGGCTGCCCCCTCATCCTGTGCCGTCCAAAATCGAATCTAGTGGTCGTGACATCGGCTCTGTTCTCACGGGCAAGAGCTCATCGGTATCTGGTCACCACGGATATTCAAACAGCTCCAGCCACAGTGTTGGTGTTAATCGCCGGACTACAGTCGGTGCGCGACCCAATTATGTACGCCACGACAGCAACAGCTATGAAGAGAACCCGTCACGCCTCCTTCAGCTTGTACGTGATGCCGATGAGGGGAACAAATGGTGTGCCGATTGCGGCTCTTCCTCGAAAGTCGAATGGGTCTCCATCAACCTTGGAATCGTCTTGTGCATCGAGTGTAGCGGTATCCATAGGTCCTTGGGAACACACATCTCCAAGATCCGATCGCTCACTCTGGACGTACATTCCTTCTCGAATGACATTGTCGAAATTCTCTTGCAGATTGGCAACCGGGTCAGCAATATGATCTGGGAGGCGACGTTGGATCAGTCGGTCAAACCGAGCGCAGGCTCTACGCGGGAGCAACGATTGAAGTTCATTACTGCTAAGTATGTCGACCGGTCCTACGTTGAACACTTGCCTTCCCCGCGGTCCCGCTTTGCGACCCCTGACGAGACCCTTCTTGCCTCGATCAAACGGAATGATATCCAGGGCGTGCTCTACGGCATTGCTCTGCGTGCCAACACGAACGTGGCTGATCGCTCCCGCAACACTCATGCCGTGTTCCTGGCCCTTGCTGCCGCCGACCCAGCCTCCCCCGGATCCACCCCCACTACGCCTATTTCCTCTCGCCCAGCCCCCAAGGCGATACCTTTCCCCGTGGCCGAGCTGCTGGTTCAGAACGGCGCGGACATTCCCCCGCAGCCGCCTTCCATTCCCCTCTCCTCGGTAGCCCAACTCTATCTCAGTCAGCGTACTTCGCGGGCATCTGCCTTCACGCCTCCTACACCGGGTCCTGTCCCTGGAAAGGTCACTGTTGCCGACAGCTTGGGTTCTTTACCTACCATCCGCGCCTCAGGCAAAGACAGTACTTCCTCGTCTTCAGCACAGCCATCTAGCTCCTTGGACAGCAAGGAGAAAGAAAAGGAGAAGCTTTCCAAACGAGGAAGTGCCGGCGCTCGATTTGCAGGAAAAGTGGCATCCCTTGGAATCGACCGATAAATCTTACTTCGTCGGACATTTCACCACCCTAATTATATCCGTCTTAATGAGTTTTGCATGAAGATTACCCCTCTGATGACTATTGTGTGTACGGCATAAACCCTTGCTTCGAATATAGGTCGCCGGGCTTTCTTTCTTTCTTTCCTCTGTCTCTTGGTTTCTTTTTCGCAGGACAACCCCTCGGTTTTCTCCTCTCATGTGTCTTTGCCGACGGCTTTGTCTTTTTTCTGTATGGCTTTATGATGCCGAACAGGGATGCATCGGCCTTGGTCTTTTTTTTTTTTTTTTTCATTCTACCACTTTACTTTCCGTAAAGAATTTTATATATTGGGCGGGACCGTATCGTGTATCGCGATACCCACCTCTTTTCTTTCTCAATTGTCTTGTTTTTGAACGGGTCTTGGGACCACGAGTGTATAGTTTGCCGTGTAGCTCGACAGTAATTCTGCAATTTCGTACTTCTCCATGTTCTTGATCGCAGACAATGCAAGAGAACAGATTGTTCGTTCTTATATTTCCATCCTCTCTGTTCGTGCCATTTAACAATAACAAACGTACGTTAGTGAGACAGCGCATGCTCCGTGCAGCAAGGCGTTGGCCCGGAATCTGATATCACTACCAAGGCCTGGTATCTCGTTGCCTGCGAGTGGCAATTCCTCCATTCCGGCGCCTCACCGATCACTGGCAGCTGACAGGGAAGTAAATGCCCACTTACCAAAGAAAGAAGGTTGCATGGGTCCGTGGCGTTCATCATGCCAAAATAGCGGCAATTCCGCGGGCGACCGTGACATGGTCAGGCGACAATTGGGGTTTTGGTGGTAGAACGTGAGATATGGGCCGACACTAGGGGCGAGGGGTTCCTTTTCCATGAGCCTTGCTGATCTATGCAGCTACTCCTGCCCGATTGAGCTTCCAGCTAGTCCCTCCCGAGGTTCACTGTGGCGAGAGATCGACCAGTGAGCCATCCGGCTCCAATTGATCTCCGATGGTCTTCCTGGGTTTGATACCACTGTCCGTGATACACTGGCAGTTTGTGGTGGCTGTGCATGTTTTGTCCCCAGGGCGGATCTGAAACTCCATCATGTTGCGTCGTCCTCATGCCAATCAGATCAGATCAGATCATGGATGTTCGATTGGAGACCCTCTCGTCTCGATCTTGTGGCCGAGTGGGGGCTGCGAATGTTGCGCGAGCGTGTGCATCAATCGATGCGTCGGACCCCATTGCCCTGAGTGCGGAGGTAGGCGCTCCGAATGGATCAGATCCTGCTCGAGAGGGTCATGAGTTTCAAGAATGTGCATCAGCGGCGTCGAGGTGAGCCACAGGATGCTGAAGAGATACTGTCATTTGAGTATCACAAATTTGAAGTCCACCGGATCAACAATCGTAGACGCAGAATGACGGCGTGTGGATAGTGCCACGCTTCTGTTGGTTTCTGTCAGGAACCGAGGGGGGGCTCACAAGCCACGACGTCATTAGATCCACGCAGTGACGTGCCTCAGGTGTCGGTGGCGTCGATCTTTCTCCTTGCAACCACTTGCAACCAAAAGTAGCACCCCAATAGCGCTGAGGTATCCAAAGTACAGTATGTAACTAGAGCTTCGAGAATACATCGGCTGTCAGTCCATTCACGAGGAACGGATCGTCCGACCCGGGTGCAGGGCCCCAATGTGGGCCCAACTCCCGCTTTGAGGTGTCCACGCCTCGTGGGTACATATGTACTGTACATCTATCCATGCCGGTGCTTCCTAGACCAAACCCGGCATGCACCAGCAGATCAGGGACCCAATAATGGTCCATGAGAGTCCGTTTCACATCGGCTTCCGTGGTTGAGCGGTCACAACCTTCTCCGAGGCTGTCCTTGGTAGCACTCTGTCGGCATACCTCCAATGAAAACGGCACGGTAGGCAAGGATGGAGGATACGGATCCCAAGCTCTCGACAGTGGTGAGGCGAAATGAGTGAGCCCACTTTCCCCATAGCGTATAGCAGTGCTGCAGAACGACCCATTCGTGGGTTTGGTAAATTGGTGGATCATGTCATAAGAGGAGGGCAAGGTTGAGTATATGTTTGGGGCATTGGTTGAAGTCACACAGGTAGCATGCGAAAGATTCTCAGGATCGTCACGGAGGACATCTCTAGATAAGTCTGTGGGCTCAGTTGCGTGGCCTGGAGGGGAATGTATGACACGAGGTTCCTGCGTGTCCCTGCATCTGGGCACATGTGACCGAAAGGTGGGTTGACATGAAGCATACCTCGGGATGGAGCTCACTCCTTCTGGAATAGTCAAGAAAAACAATAACCATAGATGAAAAATAAATAAAAAAGTAAAAAAATTAAAAATTGAAAAATAAAAATAAAAAACGATTGAAAAATACTTAGGGCAAGCGACGTCTGTACATACATAGTCCCAAAGAGGAAGCTGTGATTGGTCGGTAACACCTGCCGGGGCTGGAAAGTCCGAAGTGGATCCTGGCAGCTGCCAACTTTGTCTTCGACTGTGTGCAGAGTGGCTCAACAAAAGTCCTGGAATTTGAGATTAGGAATCTTTCTCCCCCTCAACTAGACGTGTCTCCCAAGAAGAGTGGGGAGGAAACGGGCCCACGACCTCCGGTCCTTGCGAGGTCAATATACAGTGTCTCCTGCAGCGGGTTCCCGTATCCCGTACCCGACAGTCTGGGCTGATCGACCTGGTGCCTTGGATCCTCCCCGAGAAGCCTATCCCATCTTGTTGATCCGCGGACTTCCCCGATCCCGGGAGGTTATAATGTTTGGATGGGAACCCTCATCCACGGTTGATCAGGCCGCGTCTACAGGACTGCCTGTGTATATCCGCATAGACCGCCACCAGGATGTGAGCCAGTCTGGCTCAGACCCACTAGGCCTTCAATGATCCATGATCGAGCCTAGTGGGAGTGTACCAAGTCCTGCGTTCCCACCGTCCCCCCCTTGCCTTGTCCACGCAAAGTCAAAATACCGGCTGTCCAAGGCATGGGGTATGGGTAATATTTCGAGTGAAACCCTTGCCCTTTCCTATCCACCAACCTCAACACGCCTTCTTTCGGGGTAACGCCTCTGTATTTTTGGTTACTCACCCTCTCCTCGAGCTCCAAACTTGTACCCACATCCCTGACAGTGGCGAACCGGCCATGCATTGGCCTTTCTGTTTCGGACAGCCAGTTCTCCCATTCCAAATACGCTCCGCTTCTGTTCCCTGGTACCCTGGTACCCGGGTGATTGGAGAGGCCCCAATTCGAATTCTCCAATTCCCATTGCTATCGTAATACCTCTTGCCACAGAGTCAAGCTCGGTATCCGTGATTGGCCTGGAGACATACCAGTCCAAGCCTCAACCGCCTCTCTATGCACCAGAACAAGCTTCCCGAGGCATTTCTCAACGGCTCCACGTTTGTATTTGTCAGGGGACACACCGATCGGTGGCACCCGGCAGGGCAGAGCAGATTCCAGCCCCAATGCCCATTATCCTCCTTCAGGGCTGGTATGTTCAACCGGGGCCCGTCCGCAGAAAATCCTTACGCACAACAGAGTGCGACCCCACCGAGCCACAGGTATACAATCTTACTGTCCACTGTCCCTGGCTCCGATCTTCCCAATCGGTTCCATCCGCACTGGAGAAAATATCCTGCAGCTTACGCTTCTCTTCGTTCTCGCTCTTTAGCCACAGCTTGCCAAGTGTTGTTTTGAAATTGCCACTTCTGCGACTCCCTGTATTTTTTTTTTTTTTTTTTTTAAGTCCGAGGGCCCAACAGTCTGCACCCAAAAGTGGCATATCTAGAATTGTTCGAGGCCCGCCGAGTCCGGGTTGGCTCTCTTTCCTTTTTCCCATTCCCTGTTCTGGCTCAAGGTACGTGCATCTGGCTTTACAGTCAGTAGTCGAGACCGTCTCGGCTTGTCTGCGACGCAGACTAGACTATTTTCCTCTCCGGGTGACCCCCCGTGCTTTGTTCCCCCAAAGCTCGGAGTGCCTTCTCGACTTGCGCAGTCTAGGACTCTTTTTTGACCCAGCCTTTCATTCATAGCTCTCATCTGTCTCCTAGGCGAAAGAGTTTTCACAGGTAAGCCTTTGTTTGTCTTCTGCACAACTTCCCAATTCTGTGCGAAAGCGCAGCCCTACACACCGAATCATTCTATTGGCGGAGATGACTTCCCTTGTTGTTGTTTGGTCTTTTCCTTTTCCCCGTGTCTACTCTTCTCTTTTGCTTCTTGATACTGGGGCGTGGACCTATAAGTAACTTGGTGTTTAAGGGGCTTTAAACCCATTGCCCCCAAACTGATTGACACCCGCGCCGTCTCCACTCCTTCCAATCCTCTTTATAATATCCATGATTCCTCTATTCCCTGTTTACTCTCCTTCCTGATGACTCTCCATTTTTTTTCACTATGGCTGAGCCACTTTGCCTTTTACCGATGTCATTGCCCTGCCTAAGCGCGTGAAACGCGCACTATCGGCAATTCCTCTTCTGTCCTCTTCCCCTCCACACTCCCCATACCTTTCCGCGTCTTGGGGTCCCTGTTCCTTTTGCATCTTTGGTGTTGTTGCCACTGACTTGTCTCTTGTTCTTGTGCATGATTTCTTTCTTTGATGAGCGACTCTCATTAACGACTGTATAATTCCAGTACACAATATCCAGCTAGTACAGGTCTTGTCAACGTGTGAGGCGTTGTGTCTGGCAATCTCTGTGGAGGTCAACCCAGAAGGTCTCTCAAACACATCAGAAAACTTGGGTAATTTCACGAGGTAGGTTCAATCTTGAACCTCAATCCTCAGCGCCGACAAGATTCGCTAAACCAATTTTGTAGAGACTGATATCCGTTGTTCCAATTTTCCCGTTCTCGCCCATTCACATCGGACCCCATGGGCGATGTTCCTCCAGAAAAGATCAATTCAACCCGGGCAGGAGGAAAGAGTAGCCCCCTGGCGCCAATGCCCAATGTCTCGTCAATCCCCGGTCAGTCCCTCCATGGATGGTTTCGCCGGTCACTCAACGAACGGAATCACTGACTCCGACGGTTCGATGATACAGGCACCGTCCAGCCCGCCCGACCAGTACATGGACAACCGAGTTCGACGGGCTATCCAGGCCCCGGGCTTTATGGGCCCTCATCTTCCTTAGACATGGGTAACATGGCCTACTCGCTGCCAACTCTTCAGTCACAGTCGCCCTATGATCAACAGCATCTCGTCCAATTTCCATCACCAGCCCATGCCCAGGGTCTCGTCTATCCTGTAGCGTCCATGGGCCCTTATCCCGGTCAGAATCCTGGTGGCATGCCGTACGGAGTCCGTTTTGCCACACCCTATTCACCCTATGCCTTGCCTCAACACTCGGGGGCGGGTGGACCTGTTGGTGGCCACTACCCGCCCTTTGTCACGAGTCCGTCGATGCAGACCATGGGGCCAGGACAGGCGCCTGTATATGGTGCTACCTACTACCACGCACCTTATACAACCTCTTATGGACAAGGGCCGCATCCTTCGACCGGTCATTCACGACCGCCAGGTCCTCATTCTCGTCCGGCGTCTCGTGCTCGTGCACCGCCAAAAATCGCCGTTTCGACACAGAGCGATACTGATAAGCAGGCTGCTGAAGAGTATGATGTATCCAAGACCATCGTTGATGGCTCGAACCCTATGAGGCTGGGACATGGTAAGTGAAATTTTCCAGAAGAAATTGAAGAGACCGGTTGCTCATCCCTTTGTCCTCCACAGAGTCAACCATCTTACCCCAAACGATGTCGACCAGTTCAAGCACACCACGCGGACCACCACGGAAGCCCAAACAATCAGGCCACGCACTCTGGGTCGGAAATCTCCCACCAGGGGCAAATGTGCTGGATCTGAAGGATCATTTCTCGCAGGATGCCACTAAGGATATCGAGAGTGTGTTTTTAATTTCGAAAAGTAATTGTGCGTTTGTGAATTACCAGTCCGCGACGGCTTGCGCTGCGGCGTTGGTGAGATTTCACGACTCGAGATTTCAGGGTGTGCGTCTCGTGTGTCGACTACGCAAGGGTTTCACGGCACCGGGGTTCGGGGCTGGGGCTGTTACTTCTCGCTCACAGTCACGGGATGAGACGGTGAATGCCTTGGACGAGAGGCCTGCGGTGCAGGAGGCTACGGCTGGTCCTCGTGATGACGGATCCCGGTCTCTGGATCGGTACTTTGTTGTCAAGAGTTTGACGGTGGATGATCTGGAATTAAGCAAGCAGAGTGGGATTTGGGCGACTCAGACACACAATGAGACTAATCTAAACCAAGCCTTCGAGGTGAGTGGCCCTTTGACTCTTCCATTGTTTCCCTTCCTCTCCTCTGACTGACATGCGTTTTCTTACAGACCACCGAACACGTTTACCTGATCTTTTCCGCGAACAAATCTGGCGAGTACTTTGGATATGCCCGCATGCTGTCACCGATCAACGATGACGAAGAACTCGCACTAGAGATGCCACCACGGCCCGAGCCATTGACGGGGGCACCGGATGAATTGGATGTGACTACCACGGTGGCCACGTCGACAGCCCCGAGAGGTCGAATTATCGACGACTCAGCCCGGGGTACGATTTTCTGGGAAGTCGAATCGTCCGAGGAGGACGACGCACGTAGCGAGAAGAGTGTGGAGGAAGAGGTGGAAGTGGAGGCGCAGTCATTTGGCAAACCGTTCCGGATCCAATGGCTGTCAACCGAACGAGTGCCCTTCCATCGCACCCGCGGCCTACGCAATCCATGGAATGCCAACCGGGAGGTGAAGATCGCCCGTGACGGAACCGAAATCGAGCCGACGGTCGGCCGAAAACTTGTCCAGCTGTTTCACCTAACGTGATTCCTCGAGCTTTGTGTTCCTTGATGGGGAATGGGATTCTACCGGCCAGGGCCCAATGGCTAGATTATAGGGTCGAAAGCCAACGGACTTGAAAAATAGCACTAACGGGAAACGAGCAATACATGATGTACGTCCAATTTAATTCAGCCTTCTTTGTTTTTTGTTTTTTTTCTTCAGGTGCTAGATTCCCGGTTTCCCACACAATGAATATTTTAACTATATATATATATCTATTACATTGACCAGCGATCTCTCTCTCCCCCCCCCCCCCCCTTTTGCGTGTAGGTAGTTCAAATCCGGATGCGTAGATTACCTCATTCCCATGATGCTTTAAATAGTAGTGAGGGAGTGATGACCGAGGAGTGATGACTGATTCGACTGCAGAAGGCGATCGCCAAGACTAAAATACAGTGTGGCCCACTATTTACCAGATGCGGACACACGGTCAAATCACCGGCCAATCCGAACCGTCCAAACCGGACAGACTTCATCATCACTCCACTTTACTCCACTTTCCTCCACCGGATACGACAATCGCGCCACTTCTGCTTACCCCAGATATTCCAGCTTAGCCTAGCTATTCCTCCCTCTCTCTTTCCTCTCGCTGTGGCACCACACAATCCATCCCTGCACAACCCCCCCCCCTCATTGAATTTCATTCTTCTTCCTCGCCCTCCCTCCTCTCACACCTTCACTATACGATCCATTACTTTCCTATCCCTATCCCTATCACGATTTTCTCCCTTTTACTATCACCCGGGTTTCTTTTCCCTCCCTGGTGCTCCTTCTTCCTTCATTCGAATTTCACATGAGAAGGGCGGCCAGTCCGTCCAACATCTTTCTCACTTCCCCCTCCATCGATCCTTTGCTAGCCACCATGGCAAACGGCCGTTCCTCCGATCCCATCTCCGTTCCCGAATCAGATGCCCGTCCTCGGCGCGGTTCCATCGCCGATCTCTTCTCCAAGAGAGATTCGTCTGCCAACCAGGCCGCCGCCAACCAAGCCAACCAGCAGCGGCGCCTATCTATAACCACCCTTGGTTTGTCTGGTTCACCCACCCAGGCTTCCACCTTTGGAAACCGGGGAATCCGCCGCGGTAGCCTCTCCAGCTCGTGGGGAAGTGCCCCGAATGAGGACGCCGTGGCCGAAGATCTTGAAGGCTCTCCTCCCGGTGCAACTCCCAACTCACCATTCGCCCGACGGGTCTCCTTTGGGGCTCAGGCCTTGCGTGAGGCTCGCACTGGTAGCATTGGAAACGGTAGATACCCCCCCGCTACTTCTCCTGGAGCGCGGCCCACCCCGACCCCGACCGCCTCCAGTTCAAAACCCCGATCTCCCGCAAGTACTTCAACGTCTTCCCAAGATGAGAGATCTAACCCGCGGCGACTAGGCGAAGGCTTCAACTGGTCCGAGGCCCTCCGCTCCCGTGCCGAGCGTGCCCCTTCCGTCAGTGGCCCCGTCTCCCCTCAGAATTCCGCTGCTCGCCCGAACGGCCACCAGCGTGCCGCGTCGATCGCGTCCATGGAGCAACCCGTGCGGGAGATCCCCAAGCAGCCTAAGCAGAAAAAGCCCGATTTCTTCCAGGAGAAGATCTTGCGAGGTGACTTTATGGACTAAGCTGGCACTGCTGTCTATTTTTTTTATTTCTTATTTTTTTTTCAAGCGGGAGGCGTGTCCAGCATGCTTCCCACTCTTGTGTTTTTAGCCTTCTTACGCTCGTCTGGAGTGTTTCAAAGCGACCGACATTTTGACTTCACGAGGAGGATCAAGATTGATACTGGGTATCCTGGTCCTGCAATTCATCTGTCTTTTCTATTTGGTCTTCTCCGGGTATGAACTTCCCCCTTCCCGCCCTTTTTTATTTTCTTTTTCTTTTTTCCTATATTTATTTCCTTTCTGTTCTCATCCTGGAGTTTAGGGACGACCATCTGATATATGATTACAAATTGACATGAAATTTCTATTTTATCGTCTGATGATCTGTGTCTTCGGTTCCTACATAATCCCGTATACTGCATGTAGTGTAGTACCCTGCTGCCTCATCTCCGCCTCTTAAACTTACATTCTTCCTTTCGTCTTCTTTCGCATCCTTTTCTCATCCTCCCCCACACTGTCACATGTTACCAAACCCCTAGGCCGCGGACGGAGCTGCTGCGGCTGGGTTCTCCTCCAGGGTCTCAGCATGCATGTGGCCCGGACCTTCTGATTGCTTGTTACCCACCGATGTTTCCTCGTCACGGTTGACACCCTCAGCCACCTCGCGGTCCATAAGCTGTGCCGTCGTGAGCCGATGCTCCGGCGCTGGCGCCTCCCAGTTGCTGCTCTTCCACGGCTTGACTCGCATCACGTACATCATGTCCATCTCCTCCAGTGTTCTGTCTTTACCTTCAATGACAAAGAAGTACACCACCACCACGGCAATAGCAAGACAGCCAGCAAAGACATATCCGTATGCAAAGTCAATATCATGCGTGATAAAAGGTGTAAAGAATCCCAGCAGGAAATTCCACAGCCAGTTCGACGCCGTCGCCATCGACATTGCCCGGGCTCGGTATCGCGATGGGTACAGCTCGGCCACAATGGCCCATACCATCGGGCCCCAAGTCATGGCGAACCCGGTGATGAACAGACAGGCAAAAACGACCATGGCTGTCCCGGCTCCTGGAGTGTTGGCCGGTGTCTGGATGTCCAAAGAGAAATGTCCCACCGAGGCGAAGATCATGAAACAGACGAACATCCAGATACCACCTGCAATCAGAGACTTGCGTCGTCCGTAGTGCTCGATCACGTATAGGCCTCCGAACGTGGTGCCGAAGTTGACGCCACCCAGGATCATCTGTGTGACAAAGACGTTACTGATTCCGGCCCCGTTGAAGACCGTCGTACCCTGTTGTCCGAGGTCAGTTCTGTGTTAGGCAATGTGGATGGGGCCGGGGATCCGAACATAGTAGAAGAAGTAATTGGCACCGGTGAGTTGCTGGAACATCTGGAGAGTCATGCCCAACAGAATGCGATAGGGCATGCGAGGCGCCTGGAACATTTCAATCCAGCCATGCCATCCACCCCTAGATCCCTTCTCTGCATCAAGTTGGTCTTGGATCTCGAGAACCTCGTGTACAATCACTCGATGGTTCTCGGGAATTCCGTAGAGCCTGGACATGGTTCTCTTGGCCTGGTCTATGCGTCCATGCCGATAGTCGTATCGGGGACTTTCGGGGAACAGGAGAATGCCGAAGCCTAGCAACAACCCCCAGAGGAAGGTTATGCCCAGTGGAATTCTCCACGAGGCCGTGTTGTCCATGCTTTCAGTGCCGTAGTTGATGCAGTATGCAACGAAGATACCGAGCGTGACGAACAATTGGTAGGAGCTGAACACCATGTTAGTGTTTCTTGCGCCCCCCTCCCCCCTCTTTATCGCATAGATCACCGTGTGACGGGACTTACCAGACCATGGCACCGCGAATGTGTCGCGGAGCAATCTCACCCTGATACATGGGCACCAGCAACGAACAGGCTCCCACGCCAAATCCAGTGACAAAGCGGCCCATCATCATTTGATACCATTTTCCAAACGGAGAACTGATTTGAATGATCAGACCAACGTGCAAGATAATACACCAGACGAAGATCGACCACTTGCGGCCGATACGGTCTGCCAATGGACCTGCCAACAGAGCACCGATCAAGGTACCAATGGATAGCTAGGTTCATTAGCACTTGGTAAGTACCATCGAAGATCAGTAACATACCAAGGACACAATCAAGCCCGAACGCACGTTACTAAACGTATACTTGCCATTCTCAAGCTGGCCAAATCGCCGCTTGTAGTTGTTCATCTCCAGGAACCCGGAGATTTGACCGGTATCATAACCAAAGATAATACCACCGATTGAGACAAATGCACCGAGCACCAGCGACCGCCATGTCACCCATGGCACATGCCTTTCGTCAAAGGAACTGCTTCGTCTCTTCTCTTGGTCAGATCCTCCCGATAGATCCGTCGATGGAGGCGACTCAGACACCCCTTCACTTTTCTGCTTGCTCGCGAATGGAAACTTCATTCTGGTGGAAGGCAGATGATATTATGGGGGGACACCAATTCCATACGCCTTGAGAGAGAATTGGTCGACATGCAAAGATAAGGGAGATGTACTAAGGCGAAATTGTTAGGATTGCCAATGCAACATTCTTAAAGCCCTAGGAGAGGCGAATGGCATTGATCATATGCTTGCCACTGACGGCATATTCTTGGTAGAATGAGTCCGTCATGGGCCACATGTGCCACCGCGCGGCGATGTCTAGATGCTGTTTGGGGTTGCAGATTACTTAGGGCCATACATCTCACGGTTTCTATTCCATCCACGCTTCGAGGGGTTAGAATTAACTACAATGTTGATTTTTCCCCAGCTATAGAACCAATCTTGGTCTACCTTTTAGTGAGCTCTGGGTTCTTCAAACGCCAACTCCGTCATCCCGCAGAGAAAACGGGGGATATTGGTAGATGTGGCGGAGACGAAGTCATGACGTCAAGAACCGCCCTGTTGAACAAACGGAGACCCGGGCTGCGGCGGAAAGAATCCAAGTTCTAAGAAGTCGTGCATCTCGATTGAACTCGCTAGACTGACGTAGCTTGGAGAAAGCCTGAGTGTGATCGTGCGCGAGACCAGAGACCGCAGACCGCAGACTGTACCGAGAAAGCGCCGAAGTCTACGCACATCTGCATCTATTCAAAGCAAAATATCCGATGAAATTCATTAATGGAGACCAGAAAAAGGAACCCGTATTACATAAACGAGAAAAAGCGATTCAAAACGAAATAGCAGGACTATCAGTAGGGAATACCGTTGGTCATCAACTGGAACTGGTCGTACCCCTTGGTGGACACGCTCATGTACGACTTGCGGGTGAGGTCTCGCATGAAGTCGGCGGCTTCTCGCTCGGTCTTGTCCAAGACAAATCGGTCGCGGAAGTTCTTGAGGGTCTCGGGCTTGAAGCACGGTAGACCGCTATCAAGCATCAATGATACGATATGGGACAGCTTGGCGCAGTACGGACGCGAAGCCAGGAATGACTTGACGACCAAGGACTCAAACCAGCGGTAGGGCTGGGTGGCAGTCGGGTTGTGCGAATTGGTTCCCGGTAGGCTGTGGTGAGCCGGGTTGTGAGTGCCGCTCATCACGGCCACCATCTCGGAGGTGAGCTTAAATGGCGCACGTTCGAACCGAACGCCGCCGGGCGCGATATCAAAACAGAATCCGAAATCGATGTGGATGATATGCCCCGCGTCATCAATCATGATGTTACCGTTGTGTCGATCCTTGAACTGTAAGAGGTATGAAATGACGGAGTAGGCCGCCATACTCTTGACAAAGTTGGTACGTGCCTCCTGGAATCGAATTGAGTCCTCGCCTCCGTACTTAGAGACAAAGTAATCATACAATCCATTCACTGCTTCACGGCCTAGCATATCACGGGAAATGGAGTTGGGCAGCACATCGATAACACCACACCCCGGTGCAGTAGAGGTGACCCGATATGGGAAGACCCAGACATCTAATCCCACGCTGGAGAAGATGCTTCGGAAAGCCGCAATCATCTGCAGGGCAAGCATGTCTTGCCTGCAATCATCGCCAACCTTGAAAATCGCTGACTGCCACACTTCATACTTCTCCAGGTCGGCCTCGGATGTGGGACCGACAAGATGACGCTGCTCAGGCCCGTGAGCCCCAGGGTTATTGCACTCGGCCTTTGCATCTGCATCAACACGTGGTCTGGTCTTCTGAATTCGGAAAGTTGCCATGTATGGAGCCTTTGCGTGGCTTTGCAGGGGCTTTCCGGACTTGCGATCAATTCCAACGACCACGCCGTCCGGGTTACTGGGAAGATACACCCCAACTTCGACCTTGATCTTGCGGAGCTCTTCCTCGATCTTCTCTTTCTTCTCAGGCTTGCTCCTTTTGATATAGGGACGCAGTTTGCCGGAGATGCCGGTGACCTCATTGAAGAACGAAAACTCTCGTTCATAGAAGTTGCACTCCTCGTGGGAGAAGCTTGCGATCAACTTGTCGACAAAGCGATCGATTGTTGGCTTGAGAGGATCAGGCTGATGAATTATGACGTTAGTTATTGAGAGGAAATCGCAACATTGAGCTTAACTTACCACCTGGGATTCCTCGTCCTTGTAAGAATTTGCTTTCATGTTCCATATCACTTGGTGAGCAAACAGTTGAGACAACTTCGCTGTTTCAAGGATGTAACGTTCCACGTAGCCTAGAGCATCGTATCGTAGAGCCTGGACCAACTGCGGCACAAAGTAAAAGCGAACATCAATGGGGTGACTTTCCAGAGCGCGCATGGCATATTGCAAAATGAACGGATGGTTGCCGTAAGCGGGCAAGAAGAATGTGAGAGCTTCGGTTGGGTTCACGGGTGCCCAGAACAAGAGGTACTTCAGCTGATAATTGACATCGGCGGGCAGGGACGCTTCGAACATGATTTCAAGTGCGCTTGCCTCTGTGACGACCTTTTCGGGGAAGTTGAGGATCAACCACCGAAGGTCACTTTGCATCTTAGCCGACGGGAATCGAGAGGCAAGCTGAATCGCCAGTCCGGGACTCTCAGCCCAAGCAAGTCTGAGAAAGGACACAACACTCTCTGTCGAGTTCTTGCCTCCTAGGGAGGACAGGTGGTGTTTTCGCTCCGGCTCCAACGGATTTAACCAAACCCGGAGACGAGATCTTTCGTTCTCAACAAGAATTTGAACCAAGTCTTGTTTGGCTTGTAGAGATTTGCATGGTCCCTGATTCTGAGAAGCGATATGAGCGGTGCTTCGCAAGATAGACAGAACGTCACCGAGGATCTTATCTTCGGCTTTAATCTGGAGGCGATTGCCTCCAAATGACCATCTAAGAAAGCATTTTTTAGTAATAGGTTTTAGGTTTGGTTGTTGATTATAGATGACGTACCTTGGAGGATGCTTGAACCAGCTGAGGGCGGCAGAAATAATTTGATCTTTGAGCTTCCAAGACGCAGAGACATTTTGCGGGCTCAGATGTTTTAGGACCCTCAAGCCGAAGAGGACGATGCGGAAGTGAACTTCTCGAGCCAGAGGATGACCTTGGGTCTGACAAAGAGCCACAACCGTGCTACTAATCAAACGACAAAAGAGTTGCTGGCCCTGCAGGTTCCCTAGGCGGATGGCGTTGAAATGACTCTCAAAGAACTGGAGGACGCGAGAGTGCGGCGAGAGCGTATCCTGGGCCTTTTGTTGCTTCTTGAGCATCAATGCCTTATCTGTCGGAAGCAATTCGATCTTGGTGTGTAGCGGGTCAAGATATCCGAATGTGGGATCGAACAAACCTTGACGGCGATGAATGCTTCTCTCCCATGCCTCGACCACTTCAGCCAGAATGCGCGGCTCGATGCTTGGGTTTTCATGAATGACACCAAGCCATAGAGAGACTCCTAGCTTGATGGTCTCCTTGGTAAAAACCTGGAAAGGCAAGGCAACCAAGTAATGAACAACAGAAAGCCGCGGCTTGCTGCTGCTGCAAATTAGACCTGCCGCCTGCCGCAGAACATCCCTCACCTCAACAAGAGGAATATGTCCTCCTTGCATACTCCGTTCGTACAAACGGGCGAGAGAATATTCCAAGTCCGCGGCAGACTCGGGTGGAATGTCTGCCAAAGGCTTTCGGCCAATGGTACCAAAAATGTCCTCACCTGATCCGTCCAGCAGAGTGGCCTCGGGCCGGCGGTACTTCTGTCGAGTTGTGTACAGAGCCATGAAGTCCGAAGCAACATTGATCTCACTGGCATCATGGCCTTCGATAGATCCTAGCCGTGGATCACTTTGTGGAATGAGCGAGCCCATCTCCAGGGCGAAGGAACGGCCCATTTCAATATGGCCATAAGCGCCATCATCGTCGAACTCAGAGAGATATGTCTGAAGAAGGCCTTTGATGTCCAGAGGGGCAACATTCAGCACTGCTGTTACCCATGCCCTGGCTCGCTCAAGAAAACGATTCAGGGTCACCTTTCTCAGTGCATAGTTATCCGGAAGATCCACTCTGACGATGCCCATTGGAGACACCAGCGATGGTTTCCACTCAAACTCATCAAGTTCTCCTTGGAGGCAGGATGACCACATCACAGTCAAGATTTCCAGCAGGGCGAAGAGAGAATGCTTCTCACACAAGGCAGAGGGGCATTCTCTGATGATCTTGTCTGCACAAAGTATCGCTATGGTTTGCACCCTTTCGATGCGATGGCAGCAAGCCACTAGGAACTCGGCCAACTGTTTCGACAAGTACGGAGCTGAAAAGTCGTCATATTCTCCCGAGAGAGTGTTTGAAAGATAGCAGGTGACTGTCTTTTCGGCGACAGCAGTCATGCAGGTGACCATTTCTGGTGTGGTAAGCGCAGGGTCACGGAAATAGCCGAGAATCTTGGTGCAATCCCCAGACGAAGCACGGAGATGCTCGACCAGCAGCACGGCGTTAAGGAAAACTGCCCGTGGGTAATCCAATTTCTTGATGTCTGATTCTCTGCCAGCCAGCTCTGAAATAAGAATGCGCTTCTGCTCCAACATTCGCTGCGGTCCAGAACCCCTCCGGAGAACTGTGTTGAGCTCCACGTCGCTCTCCAAGGACTCCATGCGTTCTTCAGACACGAGCGGCGGGGAATGGCTTGCAAGCAAACAGAGCTCTTTCAAATGCTTCTGGGCAATGCTTGAATTGAGCGAAATTCCGTGGATCGCGATATTGAACCAAGCATCACGGAAGAGAGACATGATAGCGTCGTCATAATCAACCGTTGATTGTGAACCTTCGGATGTCTTCTTAGAGGACACAAGCAACGCCAACGGCTTCAGGAGAGGAGTAATGTCTCGGGGCGCGAAGACCACCTCTTTGTGACGTTCACTGTCAAGATCGGGGACATCCCCTTTGTTGACGAGACTCTCAAGTAGATGCATGAGATAGACTCTGTAGAGTGGGGAGTCTTCTTGCAGCGTCACAGAAAGATAAGCCATGGCGCACTGAACCGCATCGGAGACCATATCCAACCCTTTGTGGATTCCGTCAAGGTAGATGCGAGCGTAGAATTTCAGCAGGAGCTGAAACTCAGCCTGCCCACCACTCAAAGCAAGAACCGCCGTTTCTTGAATAATGTAGGCGTCTACTGCAACATTAATCTTCCCAACTTTCTGGAGAAGCATGGATTGAGCCAAGGCACTAATTTTGTCGTCGTGACAACCGGTCGCGACAATTACGATGGCATGAACGACGTTCCTGTATGTCAGACTCTCCTCCTCTCCAGTGGCAGGGAAGGAAGCTTGACTTCCATCTCCGCTCTTGGGATAGGCCGGCAGATTGTTTTCGGGTGCAGCTGGGTCCCCGATAGCTTGATTTTGGGAGGACTGGTCAGCATTAGGACTCGGGCTCAAAGCGTTCCCGAGCGAGTACAAAGTGGTGATAATCGAATCCTCGGAGAGAATGCTCAAGATTTGAGCGAGGCACCGAGCAGCCACGGCGACAATGGAACCAGATGCTGCACCCCCCTGAGTCAGGAATTTCAAAAGGCTACGCCGCCCGAGAGATGCACCATTCGCAGACATCCTTGCGAGGATCGCCGTGCTTTTCAAGGTTGTCAAGGCCAGAGCTGTGCACGACATTTGTTGGGGGTTGGTCAATGTCTCCTCAAGCCAAGAAAGAAGGACTTCGTTGTTGGCTGCGTCCTCGCCGAGAACAACGCAGTTCAAAAATCCGATTAAAGCATTACCTTTCACGGAAAAAGCAAGCTGCTGTTGCGAAGGCGAGCCTACTTGTAAATAGTCAGAACCATCTTCAAGCTGGTGGATTTCTTCGCTGATCAGGTCGGTGATCCGCTCGATGAGAGCGATATCTGCGTCGTCGTAGCTCTTGGCAATCCCAACACCTGCCATATATTCGTCCAAGAGCTGATCGTCAGACATATTTTGCGATCCGATGAGGGATGCCGCGCAGGATTTGGCAAAGCGCATGAAGCCCTCCTGCACCAGCATTGCCCCTAGCGGGCGGCCGTTGGATGCATAGCGCCTGGCATATTTTCTCCAGTCCTTGAAGAAGTTCTCGGAACCGGCAACGTTACGAATAGTGGACGATGCTGTCTCCACCGCAATCATGAATGGCTCAGACAGCATGGAACGCAGATGCTCGATGATCTGCAGCTTCTCAGCTGCAGACCATATCACCGTGTACTTGGCCGATGCTTCCAAAAAGCCGACCAAAGACACAGCAATCGATAAGATTGCTACGGACTCATGAGCGACTCCTCGGCCCCCAGCTTCGGACTTGGAATATTGAAACGGCGTCACAGCCCTAATTGCCTCGGCGCAATTCTTCAGGAAACCGTTGGCCGCACCAAGAGCGGTCTTGCGCAGGGGCGGATACTGTATACCCAGGGTTAATAGAGCAGCAGTCAGGTTATGGGTGAGAGCCTCCCAAGGCGACGGTTTGACGGTTTGTAGGAAGGGCGACAACCGGAACAATTGACTGGGGGACTCGGGCAGATATCGAGCCAGCTGTGGAGCCAATCGTGAGGCATGTTCGAGATTGTCCACGAACGAGGCCGCCCTACAAAGCGCTAAAAGAACATCGAGTTCGCGGACACCCTATACAAGGTTTCATTAGCATGACGTAGAATGACAGAACACGTGCAGTAGCGACGCACCATTGGGACCCGAGAGGTCGGAGCCTGGTCTTTGAGCACTCCATTTAAAGCTGCATCAGGCTGGCGTGTGCGAGACTGCTGGGCGAGACGAGCTAATTCGGAGCCATCATCACGAGCGGGCGACTTGACGGCCAACGCCGCAAGTTTCTCAAACGCAGAGCGTCTGATCCCACCTGAGAGACTGCAACAAAGAGTTAGCACTTGAACATTAAGGGCAACAGACCAACGTACCCATCCATTCTGTGTAATACTGGAGGAGTGCACAGTTGGAAGATGAGGAAGGGGGTAAGTGGAGAGATGCACGTGTCGGTGCGCGAACCTAGGTCCGGCCGAACCAAAGCATCGCTTCCTCTGGAATGAGAGCGGTAAACAAGAGTATATTCTCAATATTTTATACTCTGCTATAGCTGCATATTGTGCTATTTATACACATTTTCACGTAGAATGATAACACGAAAACTCCCGTGTTTGTTCCTGTTAAGGCGGGTGGCGGCGAGGTCGCGAAACCGCACGAGTAGCTTTCTCTTGAGCCTCACAAGCTTCCTTTCACCTGACCTTATCCCCTCAACCTCAACCCTCTCAAAGATTCCTTTGATCTCAGGCAAAGAACCAATCTTCTAGATTGGAATTGCAAGTCAGACTCTGAGATTTTATTTGTGTCTGAGTTCTGTCAATGCCGCAGGAAGCCGCGGGTAATCGCTAATTGGTCTGTGGATATCGCCTGCCAATTCGAGGTCTTGTGTGATACGAACGAGAGCCATGGCGCCTCGTGAGAAGAGCTCGCTCAAACGAGGCAGGGTCTGTGATAAGTCGAGCCGCGTGTGGAGTGACTCGTCCGCTTACCATTATCTTCCAGGCCAGTATCGACGCCGACTCCTCGGATCTCAAGAAACCGCGACGCTCCCAGAGAATCTCGAGCCAGCAGGAGACCTTACAGACCCCAGTCGACCGAGACTATCTCCCAACCCCGTTGACTGATGCTCGTTCGACCGCCACAGACATCCGCAACGAGGTCACGGCGACTCCTCCAGACAGCCCGAGTCATCATCGCCATCAGTCTCCGACTCATGTCGACTTCTCACAGGGCCTTTCATCTCCGCCAGGTGACACACAAGCACTCTCCCAGTATGTCTATCCTCCGAGGGCGTTTGCGGACGAAGTGGAAGACGAAAGTGCGGAAGGAGTCTGGGGGGTACCTGATCCCGCTGGACGAAAAAGTGAGCGGTGCATTCGTCCTGAAGAAGCGGGATGGCTGTTCTGGAGGTGACGAACCCCCTAAAGATAAGGCCACCAAAAAGCCTGTGGCTCGCAAACAAGGAAACAATCGAGCACCCGGAGGCTACCTGTTTGGTCGTCACCCGGAATGTGGTCAGTAAACCTCTCGTCACAACCCCACATATACAGGCACTGACGGTATACCAGATTTGATGATTGATATCCCTACAATTTCTAATCGACATTTTCTTCTTTTTCCAGAGAAGAAGAAGGGCGATATGGTTGCTGTGCTGGAGGATCTTTCCAGCAATGGAACATTCGTAAACGATGCGATTGTGGGTCGCAACAAGCATCGTGAGCTCGAGGATGGAGACGAAGTTTCCATCTTGAACGAAGCACGATTTGTCTTCCGCTATCCTCGGACACGAGACACCAATGGCTTCAGTCAACAGTACCGGATTCTCCAGCAGCTAGGGAAAGGTCATTTTGCTACCGTTTACCTCTGTGTTGAGAGGGCCACCGGGAAGCAGTTTGCTGTCAAGGTCTTTGAGAAACGACCGGGCGACTCACAGAAAACACAGACCGATGACACCCTACAGCAGGAGATTGCCCTTCTGATGGGTGTCAACCATCCCAATCTCCTCTGCCTAAAGGATATCTTTGATGAAAATGATGGAGCTTATCTTGTTCTTGAACTGGCTCCCGAGGGTGAGCTGTTCAACTTGATTGTGAGCAAGGAGAAGCTCAGTGAAGCCGAAACCCGGCATGTGTTCCGGCAGCTTTTTGAAGGATTGAAGTATTTGGTAAAGACTCCCAAAGTCATCAAACAATGGATAAACATACGGCTAAGACCCCTTTTCAGCACGACCGTGGGATTGTGCATCGCGACATCAAACCCGAGAACATTCTTGTCGCAGACAAGAAACTGACGGTCAAACTGGGAGACTTCGGACTCGCTAAAATTATTGGAGAAGACTCTTTTACGACAACCTTGTGAGTTAATCCTTGTTTTCTCTAACAGGTGACAGCCCGCTAACATCTCTCAACAGATGCGGAACGCCAAGTTGTAAGTGAACTAGAGGCATGGTAGTCCTGGACTCGAGACTGATTCTGACAGATGTGGCCCCTGAGATCCTACAAGAGACTCGGCGGCGACGATATACGAAGGCCGTAGATGTTTGGTCCTTGGGGGTCGTTCTCTACATCTGCCTCTGTGGCTTCCCACCCTTCTCCGATGAACTATGCACTCCTCAGAACCCATATACGCTAGCCCAGCAGATTAAGATGGGTCGTTTTGATTATCCATCACCTTACTGGGACTCCGTGGGCGACCCAGCCCTAGACCTGATTGACCGGATGCTCACGGTAGACGTGGAGAAGAGGATCAGCGTGGAGGAATGTCTTGAACATCCGTGGATGACCGAGAAATACCCCAGCATCAACGACAGCACCGATGGGCTGACCGGCGCCCTGGGTAATCTGGACTTTGCCCGGCGCAAGGTTGAACGCGAGCGGACTATGCTCAGCAGCGTCAACGATGTTCATTTCAGCGAGCATGCCGAGGGCAGTGAAGCCCCGGTCAAGGTCTTCCATAAAAACGAAGCGGGCAAGCGGGTTCACAATCGACCGGCCAAGGCGTCTCACCGTGAGCGATCGCCTGGCAACAAGGACCCAAAGGAGTTCATTAACCTTGGTGAGGGTGGCGATGCTGCCTTGTACGACGAGCCTACGAGTCGGTACAAATAAGGAGTTCTGTGGTAGTTTCTTTATTGCTTTGGGGGTCCTTGGGAATTCAGGAATTACAGGAAAAGGTAATGAGGGAAGGGAGAAATTTTGTATAGTGTTGGTATTCGTGTTCGTTATAGTGCTAGTGTTCACATCGTGCGATCGCCAGGCACCGGCGGAAGTCGCCTCCACCGGGGTGGCGTGACGAAACTATTTGCATCATGCCATTAGATCCATTTCAAGTATAGTTGTAAATACCTGTACGAGACTCGGGAAACAATCATGGGAATATGGCTATTGGAGTGTTGTTTCTATAAAATAAAATAAATAGAAAAAAAAAAAAAAAGGGAAGAAGAAAAGAGTGGCCTGGACAAGGAACAGGGGGCGGGTCCTTCAATCTTGCCTTGCGACTCTTACCGCGAATGACAGTGGAGATTATTATTTTACAACCCCCCTGTTCTTTTCTTCCTCATCCTTTCTTGTCTCCTTGAAGGGTGCCTTTCTTTTCGTCATGGGTCTCTTTTCTAGTTTCATTGACTTGTTCTGCGAGCGCTGCTCGACCGAGTCCATCTGGACTCTCGCTCTGGTCGGCGCGTTGTCCTTCATCTCCCTGTCTGTCGTCGTCAATGTCCTGCGCCAGTTGTTGTTCAAGAGCCCCCACGAACCTCCTATGGTCTTCCACTGGTTCCCCTTCGTTGGCAGCACCATTAGCTATGGCATCGACCCCTACAAGTTCTTCTTCAACGCTCGTGCAAAGGTGTGCAGCTCCATCCCCTCCATCCCCTGGAAAATCTTTCGCGACCATCTCTAATAACAATGTTCGCAGTATGGCGATATTTTCACCTTTGTTCTTCTCGGTAAGAAGACTACGGTCTATCTCGGCACCAAGGGCAATGATTTCATCCTCAATGGCAAGCTTCGCGACGTTTGCGCCGAGGAAGTCTACTCGCCACTCACCACCCCGGTCTTTGGTCGCAACGTAGTTTACGATTGCCCCAACTCCAAGCTCATGGAGCAGAAGAAGGTAAATCAATGAAGCGTGTTAAGAGCAACTCTCTCGGAATAATGTGCTAATCAATTGGGTATTAGTTCGTCAAATTTGGCCTCACCTCCGAAGCGCTTCGATCATACGTTACCTTGATCACCAATGAGGTAGATGACTTCGTCAAAACGGCACCCGCATTCAAGGAGCCCAAGGGCATTTTCGACGTCACAAAGAATATTTCTGAAATCACTATCTACACTGCTTCGCGCTCGCTCCAGGGCAAGGAAGTTCGGGATCGATTTGACTCCACTTTCGCGGAAATGTACCACGATCTCGACAAGGGCTTCGCTCCCATTAATTTCATGTTGCCCTGGGCGCCGCTTCCCCACAACCGCAAGCGCGACGCTGCGCAACAGAAGCTGACTGAGACCTACATGGACATTATCCGCCAGCGTCGCGAGTCTGGTGGCAAGAAAGATTCCGAGGACATGGTCTGGAATCTGATGTCGTGCATCTACAAGAATGGCACCCCAATTCCCGATGAAGAAGTTGCCCATATGATGATTGCCTTGCTGATGGCGGGCCAACACTCCTCATCTTCCACCGCCGCTTGGATCATTTTGCGCCTGGCTACCTGCCCCGAGATCGTGGAGGAGCTCTACGAAGAGCAGATCCGAGTACTTGGTTCTGATCTTCCTGCTCTTACCTATGAGAGCCTCCAGAAGTTGGACCTGCACGCCAAAGTAATCAAAGAGACCCTTCGCATCCACGCCCCGATTCACTCCATCATCCGCGCCGTCAAGAACCCCATGCCCGTGGAAGGAACTCCCTACGTTATTCCCACCAGCCACAACGTCCTCTCTTCCCCCGGTGTGACTGCCCGTTCCGAAGAGTTCTTCCCGAACCCTCTGAAGTGGAATCCCCACCGTTGGGACGAGGACACAACGGTCAAGGAGGATGTCAAGGAGGAAGACAGCGAGCAGATTGATTACGGTTACGGCCTGGTCACCAAGGGCACCAACAGCCCTTATCTTCCCTTCGGTGCCGGCCGTCATCGTTGTATCGGCGAGCAGTTTGCCTACGTGCAACTGGGTACTATCCTAGCCGCCCTGGTGAGGCAGTTCAAGTTCTTTAACCCTCCCGGTGCCAACAACATTCCCGAAACAGATTACTCGGTAAGTCACTTTCTATACAGAGCCTTCAATGACCGTCTGAGCATTAACACACTTCACAGTCTCTGTTCTCCAAGCCTATGGGCAAGTCCTTTGTGTGCTACGAGAAGCGTGGAGACAAAGCATAGACTGCTGCAAATCGGCAACTCTATACAAGCCTCAAGAACACTTTTCTGTTTTGCGCAAGTGGCCCTTGATTACACTTAATGACCTTCCTAGCACCTAGTCTCGACGCTTTCAGAACGATTGTACCCTTTTGTACATTAACATCTTTCTTTCCTCTTTTCTCGCACCTTGTGATCGAGTCCATTCCCGCCGTTTGTGTTGATACAGTCACCCTATCTATTTATAATCAAACATGATCCAAGACGATCATAACGAGATTCGACATGGTTGAAGTCAATGTAAATGTTCGATGAAGCTCCTTGGTGCGAGAGTAGTGTATATAGTACATTGCAGATAAAAAAACACACAAGTCCAGTCCTTAAGGGGGGGTCAAGAGATATGCAAGAAACGCCACTCCGCCATCACCTTACGCTTGTTTTCTCCGCTCCTCCAGTCTCTTCTTCGCCCTCACTTCCACCCGTCGTCGTTCACCGCCGTCAACCTTCTGTCCTCGCTTGTCTTCCCACATGCCCTCCTGCACGGTGATCGTTGCAGCAGAGCCATGGCTACCCTTTACTGGCTGAAGGAATGGACCCATGATCTTCGAGCCGCGGTGGATTTTCATATGCGCAAACTTCCGCAGCTGTGCAGACGCTGAGTGCTTATATTCTATGACACCCGGGGCGAGGTTGACGATGGCTTTCTTCATGCCCGGTGTCAATGTGGCCGATGAGGCGATGGTGGGTTTGGCAGCCTGGTCTTTCTCCTGGGGTGTGAATTCACTGGGGACTTCCACCACTTGCAAATGGGCGACGCCGTCAACAACTCGTTCCAGATCTCCTCCGGGGCCGTACAGTCCATTCCTGAACTTCTCCCGCTTTCGAATGAGATACCGCCGCTGACGAGTGTTTTCAATCCCGGCTTCTCGGAGCTGGGTCGAGTTAAGGGTGAAAAGTTGGTCCCACGAGGAGATTTTGCTCGCGTGCTTGGACATTTCTCGGCCGATCAACATCAGGAAGGTCTGGACATCGGGGACAAAGGGGGTCGGAGAAGGCACCGAGGGTGTCACATTTCGGTGGAAAGGGCGAATGCATTGTCGCGAAAGGCCGACCGACTGGATAATTCGAGACGGAAGGCCCCGTAGTTGCGAGTTGCGCATAGCCATGACGGTCCTGGCGTTTGTTGCAAGCACAGTCCCGCAAGCACCAACTGTCTATGTAAACCAAGCAGACAGGATCTGTAGGATCAGGCTCGTATCGGTCCCCCGATAGGTGCTGCAAGTTCCAATTGGATAATTAAGAGGTGGAGGGCCGGTGAGAGTTGAATTGCCGGTGTTTGCGGGTGTCTGCGCTGGAAATTTCGGAGACACTCGACTCGGGATCAACGATACTCCGAGCTCAAGCATTCAACTGCTGGGGAAACATCGTCCGCTTCTCCCGATCATTAGCACCATGACTTCTCGTTAGTTCTGTCTACGGCCTTTTCCGTTACCTAGATCATTCGGTCTGTCATAGGGCACCTTGTTCTGAGGCCAAAGGGCCCCCGCTCACCCTCTATTCGCTTCCGATATGGCGGTCTCTCCGTTTGCCTCGCGCTCTCCTTCGGTGACAGTATCATCGCCCAATGCTGCTCTCAGACTGAGAGCAGCCGCTGCTCAAAATGCCTCCGGGCCGTTAGCCACGGCAAAATCCGTGCACCATGCAGATCGCGAACTTACCGAACAGCTAAACGATGACGTGCGTCGGAAATATGTCAAAGGTGAGTTGAAATTCTCAGTTCGACAATGACGAGAGCATGAAGCTCACGAGAGATATAGATAAAAGATTAGGTGAAGGAACATACGCCATAGTCTACCTCGGGTACCTCCGCGACAAGCCTTCGTCCTACGTCGCAATAAAGAAGATCAAGGTCAATGCAGAATACAAGGATGGACTCACGATGGACGCGATTCGAGAAGTCAAATATCTTCAGGAGCTGTCACATCCGAATGTCATTGCCCTACACGACGTGTTTTCTTCCAAGGACCAAAATCTCAATTTGGTCTTGGAGTTTCTCCCCGAGGAGATCTGGAGATGCTCATCAAAGAGGCGGACATACACTACGGCGTGGCCGAGGTCAAGGCCTGGATGGGCATGCTGGCCCGAGGCGTATGGTTCTGTCATGAGAACTTCGTACTCCACCGGGATATCAAGCCCAACAACTTGTTGATTGCGTCGGACGGCGAGGTCAAGCTGGCAGACTTTGGTCTTGCCCGATCCTTTGCCGATCCGTATCTCAACATGACCCATCAGGTCATCACTCGCTGGTACCGTCCTCCCGAATTGCTCTACGGAGCGCGGCAGTACTCAGGCGCAGTGGATGTCTGGTCGATGGGGATGGTCTTTGCAGAATTACTCCTTCGCATCCCCTTCCTGGCCGGTAACACCGACGTAGATCAAGTGACCAAGATTTGCGAAGCCCTCGGGACACCAACGGAGGAAAATTGGCCGGGCGTGTCCGAGCTACCCAACTACCTTCCACCAGACACCCACCACCCATTGCAGGGTCGAGACTTCTTCCTCCGCATGTTCCCTACGGCAGGCCCGGTGGGATGCGACTTACTGATGTCCATGTGTACACTGGACCCTCGCAAGCGCACCACCGCGGTGCAAGCCCTACGACACTCTTGGTGGACGGTCGAGCCCCGGCCAACCAGGAATGAAGATCTCCCGCAGAAGCCGGGAACTAAGAAGATGGGCGAGGACCTCGGCCGACGAGGGGGAGAGATCGATGACGGGATGTTTAAAAATGCAGCGCGACAACTGGACTTTGGTGCTATGAAATAATGACCATGTATTATTCGTTCCTCTCTTCGGATTGTAGCCGCATCCCATGGATCTCTCGTACGTTCCACATCGGACTCCCGCATGCAGGCGCAGCGACTACTTCCTACAAGGTGACAGGTCTGAGACGCAGGGTTGGGAGGAGGGGACGGAAGGAAAGAGAACACTGACATCCCGCACGATCCGCTGTCATGGACAAGACGGGACCTCCTTACCTTGGATCTATTTGAAGGCCCTCACTTCGGAATCCCCTGGAAATAAGGATCAACGTCGTGGCCGTTGCACATGGACATGGTTCGAACCAGGGTTCCTTAGACGAACCGAGCAGAGGACGGAAGGAGATCGCCGATCGCAAAAGAACCCAGAGACCCAGAGACCCAGAGAGACCCAGAGAGACCCAGAGAGACCCAGAGAGACCCAGAGAGACCCAGAGAGACCCCCAAAGACCCCCAAAGACCCGAAAGGCCCTAAAAACTAGGTAGGATCCACCTCGATAGAAGAGAATTGATTTGTCCCCCTTTTCCCCAATTGAGGCCGAACCTCCACTTTGCCACTCGTCATTGGCACTTTGTCAGGAACGCGCCTTGTCTCATTCGAGTCTTAGGCCGTCGGTTTTGGCCTTCCCCTTTTCTCTGTACCATCTAATAGCACTTGGCCATTTAATAGCACTTGGAAGGCACTCGGAAGGCACTTGGAAGGCACCAAGTGCCTTCAAGGCACCTTTCCTTCGTGTACCCTTGAGGGATGTATCCCCGTGCCGTGTCAATACAGGGGGCAAAGGCACAGAGGGGGACTTGATAATACTTGTACTTGTACTTATAGAAAGGATAATAACATTGGCTGTTTTCCCGCCTGCGGGGGGCCACCAACTCTTCAAATCTCCTCCTCATTTCCTTCTTCTATTCTACACTCTTCCTTTCTTGCACGGCTACCTACTGCGGCAGTGGCGCTTCGTGGTCTTCGTTGTGATCGCAATATTTGATTCTGTAAGCGCCCGAAACCGGAATACTTTGTGTTCTTCAAAAAAAAAAAAAAACAACCCCCCCCCCCCAATGCACGGCCCTACTTCCCCGGTTGTCTCGACGCATTTATTCTCACGTCGAGGTCCACTCTCTTTCAGCACCTGTAAGCTTGTTCGGTATTGGGCTAATCGCGAGAAATGCAGTCTTGAACGCGATAGAACCAAAGCCCGACGCGCAAACTGGGCCATCTTCACAGTCCCGCATGGCCGTTGTTTTGCCTAGCCTGCCACTGAATTAAGGACTTGAGGAGAAGACGCCTCTGTCTCTATCTTATACAAACATGGCCTCCATGTCAGCATTACCTCAACCGTCACGGCCATCTTCAAATCCTCCTACCAGCTCTTTACCACCAATCCCTAACCCGAAAGCGCGAAAGAGCACCCCTGCTCCCGATACCCCTCGGGCCGCCTCCCCGTACCAACTCTCTAAGCTGCGGACACCCTCAAGCCCGAAACCATCACTCGCACGCTCCCCTCTCTCCAGCTCCAACTCGACCTCCAATCTCAGCGCGATCCGATCGGCATCCAGTGGCCGTACCCCCGGTAGCCCCGATAAATCCTTACGTCGCACCATCAGCATCGCATCCTTCCCGCAGCCTCCAAAGGCCGCAAGTCGGTCTTCGACCGCATCATCTGTCTCTGGTATTCCGGGCACCGTCACGCCGGCGAGTGTAAAACCCAAACGGAGTTCACGACTCAGCACCGGCACCACTAGCAGCTACCGAAGCTCCAAGACCCCGTCGCTACTCAACGGAAGTGCCGATGGCAATTCCATTTTAGCTGATCCACGAGATCTCGCGAATCCCGAAGGCTCTCCGTCACACAGCAGAAGCTCGTCCGCTCAAGGATCGGTTTCAACCAGCGCAACGACATTCGAGGACGCAGATGATGCAACCGGGATGAGCAAAAGCAATACCAAACAAAAGGAGGCCAAGGGCAATGTCCTCGTCAGTGTCCGAGTCCGACCTGATGCTAATGGAGGGGACATGTCGAGAACTCAAGGCGAATGGTCGGTCGATGGGCGCCAAGGTCTCATTTCCTACCGAGGCAAAGAAGGCGGGGATTATTACTACGGTGAGTGCAACCCCTCCGGTAACTGTCATGGGAGATTCGGAGAACTGACCCTGTAAGATAATGTTTTCACATCGCATGAGAATAATGCCAAAGTCTATGACTCGGCCGCAAAACGACTAGTTCGGCGGGTCATGGAAGGTTATCATGGCACCGTATTTGCATACGGTATGACGGGAACTGGCAAGACCTTCTCGATGCAGGGAACTGCAACTTCCCCTGGTGTCATCCCGCTAGCCATCACCGACATCTTCTCGTTTATTCGCGAAACTCCCCATCGGGAGTTCCTCCTTCGAGTCAGCTACCTGGAAATCTACAACGAGAAGATCCACGACCTGCTCTCGGCCTCCACCAATGGAGCGGGTGCCGGGGTGCCGCAGCAGGAAGAAATCAAGCTACGCGAGGACAGCAAACGAGGCGTGTATGCGACGCCGCTCAAGGAGGAGATCGTACAGAGTCCGACCCAGCTCCTTCGGGTCATCGCGAGAGGAGATCACGCCCGGCGAACGAGCAGTACTCAATTCAACTCCCGCAGTTCTCGAAGTCACGCAGTCGTCCAAATCGTCGTCGAGAGCCGAGAGCGAGTTCCCGCGGGAAGTTCACAGGACAAGCGATCAGGAATCGCCCCTGGTGGTGTCCGCGTATCCACATTAAGCTTGATCGATCTTGCTGGGTCGGAACGGGCAGCCGACGACAAAGAGCGCCGGACCGAAGGTGCCCATATTAACAAGAGCTTGCTTACCCTGGGCAACATCATCTCCAAGCTTTCGGAGAGTAAGGATAAACAAGGCAACCCAACGGACAAAGATGGTCGGCACTTGCCTTATCGTGACAGCAAGTTGACGAGACTTTTGCAGTCCGCTTTGTCTGGTGGCTCCCTTGTGAGCATTCTTTGTACAGTTCAAATGGTGTCTAGCATCAATGCAAACTCCGGTGAAACACTCAACACGTTGAAGTTTGCTGCCCGAGCAAAGAACAGTATCGTCAGTCACGCGAAGAAGGCTGAAGAAACCTATGGCAGTGGTGGCGGAGACTCTGGAAGTCGCGTGTTGCTCGAACGTTATCGTATGGAGATCCAAGCTCTTCGGGGCCAGCTCGACACGCAGGCCAAGGCCCAGGCCGAAAAAGAAATGAAGTGGGACGAGCAGCAATTTGAAAAAGAAGCCCAGGCTCGCCACGAGGAGCAGGTGCTGGAGATGCAGCTGGCTCGAACAGCCCTGAAAGAACGTATTGAGCATCTCAATCGGTTGATTCTAAGTTCCAAGTCCACAGGTGTGAACAGCCACGGCAGTTTGTCCGCTGCATTTGGTCGGCTTTCAAGAATGTCAGCCACCGAATCAGGAACACGCTCGCTGCGTTCGTCGGCAAGTCAATCCACTCTGGGGGCTGCCCATTCGTCCATACGACCCATCTCGTTCATGTCAGTGAACAGTAATGAACCCTCGGGGGGTATGCTCTTCCCCAACGGATCATTCTGCAACGACGAGGACGATGACCTGGGTGAATTTGGTGACGGCAAAGCTAGCCTGCAGCGGCAGGTCACTGCATTGCAGGCGGATTTGGGCGACAAGAATCGATACATCTCCACCCTCGAGCGCCGCCTGCTCCAAGCCAGACGTTCTAGCCACTCTCGCATGTCGATGGGGGTCAAATCTGGGAATGCGACAATTTCCGAGCACCCGGACGTGATGGCCCTGGTTCGCGAGAAGGATATGGAAATCAATGAACTCCGGATCCAGCTTGACGACAAGGACCGTATGCTGGCTGCTCTTCGGTCTGCTGCGCGACACCGAGACCTGGCAGCCGTGACTAATGAATCGCAATCACCGGAATTGAACCCACAAGCAGAGGCAGCAATTTCCGGTCGTAACAGTCCCCCGGGAACTAGTGGCACAACCGAGAAAGCCGCAAGCCCAGAGCCTGTACTGCTGCCAACGAGACTCGGCGTGAAAGAGGAAGACCGAGGAAAGAACATGGACGAGGTGTCCAGGATGTTGGATGAAATGATCCAAGGTCGGGTGGGAAGTGGCCACTTCGACAAGAGCGCTATTGGCAATGTCCATACTGCATCCAACGACAGTCGACGCGTATCGTCGTCGGCGGAAGTGGCAGGATTGAACCCTACGCCTCTTCCTGTGGACGTCGCTGGTTCCCCGCCAACTTAGTAGCCCACGATGTGCCTCTTTTTTTCCCTTGTTTTTTGTACTTACTTTGACGCCTACCACTTCCTGTTGATCTGATACCCCTAGCCATCTGTTTTCGCTCAGCCCGCTGTGTTTCTAGAATTTGAATTTTTGGTTTTGTTGGCGCTTCGGGAAATGACACTGTATTGGGAGGCCATTCGTTCTCAAAGGCGAATTTATAGTATATGCTACCCAGATATTTAATCAACATCTTATCAACATCTTATCAACATCTTCATAAAATGCAAGAGCACGACACATAAAAGTAAATGACGAAGACGATAGTGTATCTCCGTGGGGCCAGTCGCGGCTATGAGAACATACCGGAATCACTCGCATGCTTCTGCTTGGTCATGAAATAATTTCAAGTTCACCCGCCCTGTCTTTGGCATAAACGTCCTTCCATTGATCCCATAGTCGCTGCAGCTCCTGGACATATTTAGAATGAAGCTCGTCGATGTAGCTGTCATCGATTTTGTCACGGTTTTGCTGCTGCATCACTGGGATAGGCCGCCCAACCACGATGTTCAAGGGACGCCGGTAAGGCATCAGTCCAACGTCATAGTTGAAAACTCCGCGGGCGTGAAACAGAGGAACGGTGAATCCCATCGTTTGCTTGACCAGCATTTGGATCTTATGGATGATCGGGTGTTCATCGGAATGCACTTGTTCGTACAGATCATTTTCTCCGAAAGCCAAGACAGGCACCAGGTCAGCACCGGTTCGAATGGCAAGTTTGACGAATCCCTTGCGCCGCTTCAGAACGAGTCGCAGAGAGTGCGGCTGGGCGTTGAGAGATTCGCGAGCCCCACCAATGACAATAGTAATGGCTCGTCCCATTCCTTCGCCATTTATGCCGCCCTTGGTCAATATATTCTCGCATGACTCTCGAGACACACTCGCAAGTCCCATAGCAAGAGCATACTCTCGATAAAAAGGAATTCGAAAATTTGAATCCAGTGTCAGGAGGGTATTGGTAATGCCCGGGAAAAGCTTAGAAAAACATAAGGCTTCAGTCCCGAATGCGGCGAATGCGCCATGTGAAATGATACCGTGGGGGTGATAGCCGAATATATACTTCTTAGTCGGGGGCAGTGACTCCTCACGGTGTAGACGGGCAGGGAAATATGATGCATAGACAGACCACACGGGAAGCGAACGTAAGAAGTGGCTTCGGCCCTTAAGCTCCCCGGACGTAGGTGCCGTCGAGAACAGAGTGATATAGACCAGGTATGGCAAGAGAAGAGGCCAAAACAGAGGAATAGCACACGTAAAGAAGAAACCAGTCAAGAAAATAGCGATGGTCAGAGTATGGCACAGAACGACGAATGTCTGCAGACGCCGCTCAAGTCCGATGTTCAGCGGAGCCCAATGAATGCTGCAAGAGTCATCAGTTCCCAGTGGAACAAGGCACGCTAGGAGGAGCATACCGTTTCTTGTCAGTATTCTCGACACGCGAGGGACGGCGCACCGAAGTGCCAGGACCCCGTTCGGACTGAGTGTGCCCGTTCATGGTGAGGTCCTATGAAATTTTTTTGGTGAAAAAGCAAGAAGCGAAGACGGGTCTCAGTCGCGAAGGGAGTCAACAGGATGACGTCGGCCCGCACGGCGTGTTACGGATTAGGTAATACGCCGATTTGAGTGCCAACAATCTTAGGTCTCGGCACAGCTAGAGTACTTATGAGAGATGGATAAGATAAAACACGCTCCAATAGCGAGTAAAATTCGTGGTATGTAACTGATAAAAAGGTCTGTAGAACCATTTGCGCCCAACACCGTGCGTGACCCATGTGGACATCTGGAATGTCTCTATACAATGCAATGCAAATTAAAGTCTCTATTCTATGCCTTTGCTTTGATCATGAAAATCTAGTTCCCGTTAGCATGGTTCACTGCATTGTTCCATTACCGATAGCTTACCTCGTTGAGAGACTTGTCATCCAAGAGCGCTTTCTTCTTCTGCGCAATATGCCGTCCTCGGAATACCTGCCTTCCGATAGGCAGGTGTTCTCGCACCGTCGAAGCCTTGGCCACCATGGCTTTCGGACTCGAAGACCCGGTTTGAGCCTCCAACTGGTGTTCTTCTATAGATTCGTCGTCGGCATCCGCCTTCCTCTTCTTGGATTTCTTTTTCTTCTTGGACTCGGATGTGTCGTCTGCTTCCTCTTCGGAGCGGGATTTTTTTGAAGATTTGGACTTGGACTTGGACTTGTCCTTTGACTTGGATTTGGACTTGGACTTGGATTTGGACTTGGAGGATTTGCGCGTCGGGGCGCTCGAGTCGCTGGATGAGGAACCGGACTCCTCGCTGGCTGCACTCTCACCAGCCTGGACCTCGACCTTCTTGGGCAAGGCTTCGAGTTTTTCTTGGGCCAACAAACCACCGCGGACGAATCGAACCTCTGGGAATTTCATAGCGACGTATCGGGCGAGTTTCACGTCCTCCCGCTTCCGCTCATCCTGCTTCAATTCCCCTTCGCTTTTTCCATTCAATCGACCCAGCAAACCCTTAAAAGCATCAAGCCCGGTAGGCTCGCCCTCTCGTCCGGCGCGGGCACCGAGACCCAGGTTATCATCCTTGAGGGTCACCTTGATGTGAGATGTGCTAGCCGAGGTCAAGAAATCGGCATGGGCAGCATTCTCAGCACCTAGGCGATTTCCGGGTGTCCAACCCTGGGCACTCATAATGCGATGCCCAAAGCCGGACGTGGCGCGGGCCCATTTCGTGTTGTTGGGATCATTGGAGATCTTAAATTTCCTATAGACGGTTAGTCGGTCAACTGATCCAGCGCAGGAAAACATCCATACTTCTTAGGCGCGGCGAGACCCATGGTGAAAAAGTTGATGGTTAGAGAAAAAAAACCTTAGTCTCAAAGAAAGATAAAAAGACAAAAAATCAATGCTGAGTCAGCATCCGATAAGGAGCCCCCGCGAGTATCTCCGGTTCAGGTTATCGCGTATACAGACGACCGCATCTACATATGAACCATTCCCTTTTCGTTCAAGCCGTTGGGCAATTGCATGTCGACGCATCTCTCAGAATCCGCTGGCTCTGTGGCTCTTCTTGTCTCTTGGTCTTGCGTACGGAAACCTAGCTGCGGCTGTGTATTTCTTGTGTCAGGAAACTTGAGGTTAGCCTTCAGTAGTGAGGAAAGTACCTAGGTAGGTAGTTGGGGTCAGTGGTTTGTCAATTTGCTCCTCAGATCATGTTTAATCTTCGGGTCCTCTGCCAAGATCATCCTCAACGGACTATTGCGTTGGTGACTACCGACCATGTCCTGATCTTCCACTACAACGCAACCGATACCGGGGCAAAGACCGCCCCCCGCTGCCAGGTTGAATTCTCCGACATCTCATCCGTGGATCTTGGCAGCTACCGGCCTCTTGGCGCTGGGTATGGCACCCTGGGTCTGGTTACATTGAACGAGGATGTCTTCGTGTGCGTGGTCACCGGTGCTTCTCAGGCTGCTACTGTGCGGCCTGGAGAATCCGTGTCCAGAATCGACAATGTTGGTTTCTGTGCGTCTCATCTCCCTTTGCTGACAGTATTCATTTTCTTACGACCATTATCGCTACAGATTGTCTCAATCGCCCCGAGTATGAATACGGCCTGGACTATGAGACTGGTTCTCAGTTCGCTGCCGAGGAGCGCACCGTTGGGGACGGGAAGGAAGTGGTGACCGACCATCCTTTTCTCGCCCTTAAAAAGTTGCTCGGCGATGGGAGCTTCTACTACAGTCTGGATTTTAACCTCACTGATCGCCTACAAAATCGGTAAGTCGACCTCTTCATTTAGGTCCTTCAGCTGACAGTCTATTAGAGCAGACAAATCAGCGGCCTTTGATATCGACACTTTGGATGAAGACATGCTGTGGAATTCATACATGATCAACCCTCTTTTACTGTTCCGAAGTCATTTACCACCTTCGGACAAGGCCAAGCTGGATGCGTCTCAACTTCTCACTTGTGTCATTCGGGGATATTCCGGTACACTCAAGGTTCCTGCAACCATTTCGATTCTTCCCCAGGTGAGGACCAATTTCCCCTCGCTATTAACCATCATCTCGCGGCAATCGTCTCGGCGTGCTGGCACAAGATTCAACTCACGTGGTATCGACGATGATGGCAATGTGGCCAATTTTGTAGAGACTGAAATGATCCTTTGGGTTGCACCAGGAATCGCCTTCTCATATGTACAAGTTCGAGGCTCTGTGCCGATCTTCTGGGAGCAAGCCCCGGGTCTCATCCCCGGACAGCAGAAGATCGAGGTAACGCGGTCAGGCGAGGCTACCCAGCACGCGTTCAATAAACACTTCGAGACTCTTGAACTGCAATATGGTGCGGTTCATGTGGTTAACCTTCTCAGTCAGCTCAGAAGCGGGGAAGCTGATCTTACGACCAAATTTCGAGAGCACATCTCTCGAAGTTCCCTCAGGCAAAAAGAAGGTTCTGCAACCTCCGGACGCCGTAGTCTACTGCGTGCGACCGAGTATGATTTCCTTGCTGAGACCCGAGGTCCCGCTGGATATGAAGCGAGTAACCAGATCAAGTATGAGCTAGCCGACTCTCTAGATGGCTTTGCATACTTTCTGTCGGAAGATGCGGCTCGCTCCACTACATCTGCCGCAGATAAAGAGGATGTAGCGAACAGTTTTTCGGTCATCCTGCAGCAGGAAGGAGTCTTTCGTACCAACTGTCTGGATTGCCTAGACAGAACGAACCTTGTGCAGACCATCATCAGTTCAATGGCATTGGAGTCATTTCTATCGCAGCAGGGCGGAAGGTTGAGCTCGGACATTCAAATGCGCCATTCAACCCTATGGGCCGATAATGGCGATGCACTTTCCAAAATTTATGCAGGAACAGGCGCTCTCAAATCTTCCTTTACGCGACATGGGAAGATGTCCCTCGCGGGTGCTCTTGCGGATGCCCGTAAAAGTGCAACTCGGCTCTATGTCAACAACTTCACAGACAAGGCACGTCAGAAAACAATTGACCTTCTCCTGGGTAGATTGGCAAATCAAATCCCAGTCTATCTTTATGACCCAATGAATGATCTGGTCACTGAGGAACTGAGTCGGCGTGCCTCTGAATATTCATCAACTAAACATATGCGGCTCTGGGTAGGTACCTTCAACGTGAACGGCCGTGATGAAGGACCCGGTGCTGATCTCTCACCGTGGCTATTCCCCGAATCCGATGAAGCTGGCGAGGACCCCACAATCTTCGCTGTCGGATTTCAAGAGATTGTCGATCTAAGTCCACAGCAAATCATGTCAACAGATCCAAGCACCCGAAAGGTTTGGGAGAAAGCTGTTCAGCAATGCTTGAATAACCGCGCAAGGGTGAATGGAACCAGTAAATACGTGCTGCTGAGAAGCGGGCAGCTCGTGGGTGCTGCTCTCATCATCTTCGTGAGGTTAGATTCATTGAAAGACCTAAGGAATGTAGAGGGCACGGTGAAAAAGGCAAGCTGACATCCGATCTCTGAATTAATTGTGCCCAAGTCGTTTCAGTTGGACTGACAGCCATATAGACAGGTCTTTCGGGAATCGCTGGCAACAAGGGCGGCTGTGCCATTCGGTTCGATTTCTCCAACACGAGCATATGCTTTGTCACCGCCCATCTGGCTGCTGGGTTTGCGAACTACGACGAACGAAACAGAGACTACGAGACTATTGATCGAGGCTTACGCTTCCAGAAGAATCGTTCTATCGCAGATCATGACACTGTGGTCTGGCTCGGGGATTTTAACTACCGGATTGGACTAGGAAATCAAATCGTGAGGGATCTCGTCATGCAACGGGACTATCAAAAACTTTATGATAATGACCAGGTCAGTTCAGAACTAGTATATCCCATCTTTTTCTTTGCTAACAGGGACAGTTGAATCTGCAAATGATTGCTGGAAGGGCGTTCCAATTCTATTCAGAGGGCCCTATAAGATTCGCCCCGACCTACAAATACGACGTCGGTACAGATAATTATGACACATCGTACGAGGAGCTCTCTATCCATCCACCAAGCATACTAACCTCGCTACAGCGACAAGAGCCGTATCCCTGCGTGGTGTGATCGGATTCTATGGAGAGGAGCGAATGTTCGCCAAATCCAATATCAGACCGCCGACTTGCGAGTTTCTGACCACCGCCCCGTCTGGTCAATATTTGACTGCGTGATTGACATTGTCGACCTTGGACTCAAAGACAAGCTGAGACGTTTGCTTTACAAAGAGAAACAGCATGACGATCTCTCTAGTTCAGTCCACCTCCTGGACTTAGACGAGGATGACAGCATGGCGCAAGTTTCTATTGCACCAGGATTGCCACCAGCTAGCTCGGATCGAACGAGATGGTGGCTGGATCAAGGTACGTGGTCCGATATTGCCAAAATTTGAACGACGGGCCTAATCCATGTACCAGGCGCCCCAGTAAAGGCAACAGTGCAGCCACCCGCAGATAAATTTGTCCCAAATCCTGAGCGGAAGTCCAATCCGTTTTCCTTGGACAACCAACCTGATTGGGTACCAAACTCGAATTTGATGGGAAAGGAAACAGACTCTCGCAAGGATAGGAAACCCGTGCTTCCTCCGAGGCAAAAAACATTCGACAGATCGGAGTCTACGGCAAGTGCAAGTTCGACCATGAGCAAATCGCCCCCTGTCGTACCTCGAAAGCCACTCGCACTAACCTCTCGGGGAATGTCTCAAAGTCCGGTTTCGGGCTCCTCCCAGGATACATGGGCAGTATCTCAGAGCTACACCCGGGCTACGGATCTTCTTGGTGATGATGCAGAGGAACAAATTGAGTGGAAGCCGCTTCTACCTCTACGATGATCTATTACCCGCACATCATGGATCGACCTTTCCACAGGACAATACCAGGTATCTCGAGACAGATTCCTACACGATTTGTTTCCTCTTGATGACTCACCTCACCCTATATCTTCTTTTTTTCTCCGCAGTAGACTACTCGAATCAATTGGGTATCTATCTGCAATCCATTCAAACCCCCTTGGGCAATATGACCAACCATACATATATAATCAAATATTATCTAGTTGGCAAGGTAGAACCAGAGTACAAGCAATTTGCAGCTGGAAAGCTCAGTGGCATCGACATATATACATCATATGACAACACTAGACTAACAAGCTATGTATCTCATCGAGTGGCACCCAGTGGGCCCAGGAGATCCAAACCATTTCATATAAGAACATTGAAACTCATTTAATGCAGTTATTGGGGGGTTGAAACATGTTGACAGATGTTTGGTTCTAATCGTGGTCCGTGGTTTGGCAACAACGTGGCCTTTTTCCCCGGACGGCGATAAAAGCTCCCCGATAAAGTTGCTTCCTCGATAGATCTTCCCCCTTCCACGCGCACTGCAACCAGTATCAACCACCATGGTAATTCCCCGTCCATGACTGCGGTGGAAACATACTCACCCATTTTATAGGCACAGACACCCCAACAAAGACGCGCGAACGAGCGCTTTGCCAAGAACGAGGCAGCAAAGAGAGGGAAGGGGCCATCTTCAACCAAGCCCAAGCAGGCTTCCAAGTCACCTATCTCTGCGAGCTGGGTTGGTATGTGCCTGAGGCCCTCATTCTCATTGTGTCAAGCTAACAAAGTACCATAGTGGTGCTGGCCTTCGTTGTTTGCGGCGGTCTTCTCCTGGAGCTCCTGAAGATTGTCCCTGATCTTTGGTCTACCGTGGCTTCAATGCTTTCTCGGCTCACCGGATAAAACACTCACCTCCCTTCGAAGATACCCCCCACATTATTACAGGTGGAAAGAAGATAGAGCCTTTTCAAGAGTGCCAATCACAACCTCCCTCCCCTTTGGCTACACCTATACCCGGAAGTACCCCAAGAGGCGGACCAGAAAAGAACAGAGCGCAGATACTGGTTCAAGGAGCACCAGAACGGATGGATGGCACATGACCCAAATAAGCTCTGTGAAAGAAAACAGCTATGGTTAAATTCATTTCATCACATTGTCTAAGCTACTTCAGAGGTCTGGCAATCATGCAGCCTCCTTTTTCTTCTTCTTTCCCCGGACCCGAGAGCGCTCTGTCTTGTCAGCATCGCCATCCTTGAGCTTCTTCTTGCTTTTCTTCTTCTTCACGAGAGTGCCCTCGGCGGGGGTCCCCTCTAATTGAATACGCTCCGATGCTCGCTGCATATGCAGTCGCATCTGTTCCACGTTCTGCATCGCTTTCTTCATTTCAGCGTCACCCTCATCTCCGGCCACAACCGCGTCTCTATCCCCATTCCTTCCCAGTGAAAGCTGACCGAGACCGCTAGAGTCCACCTGAAGTAGAGAACGCTTAGAGCTAGTAGACCCACCAGTAATTCCGGCCAACCCATCGTGTAACGGAGTGTCATCAGACCCGAATGTTTCATCGGTGGCAACCTCCATTTTCCTCGGAGAGATTCGACGACTCATAAGAGGGTCCCGATCAAACCGACCCTGCTGTCCTTCATCCAGTTTCAAATCGACAATTGGAATTGAATCAATGTCCAATGCATCTCCATTGGTCGACTTGAACACGTCATGAATCGGCGTGGACGTGCCTGATGAACTACCGGGGGCAATGTAGAATGGGTCATCTCTGAAACGTTCCCTGCGCTCAACCTTTTTCTTTTCCAAGACGGATGGGTATTCCATCGGTCTGCCGAGGGTATTTTGGTATGATGAGTCAAGGTGCATCTCAACGGGGGCCGATTCGTACAACGGCTTGTTGACAGGCGGAGAAAGATCCGGGACATGGTAAAAGTCCTGCAAGGTACTCCGGGTGTCCACATCGAGCATCGAACGGTCCACGTTGCGGAAAAGGCCCGGTAGGTCATCATGGAATGCCTCATCCAGGCGCAAACTTGGAGGTAAAACGACTTTTTTCTGAGCACTCAGTGCCACGGGATTCAGTTCCAGACCCTCAAACAAGCTGGGAATGATGGAGGCGAGAAGGAATGGCACTTCTTGCGAGTTTGAGTGCATCGCCTCGGCACCCAAGCGAAGGACTTCTAGAAATTCTATGGCCCGCTCCTGAACATCCAGGTCTGGGTGGGCGGCTAACAGCTCAAGGAAATCCACAACTCGAGCCAGCAAAAGAGACAGTTCACTCTTCCATGTATCTCTGGCTTCCCAGGTGCGGTTCAATTGGACAAACACTTTCGGTATCGCCTGCAGGAAGAGTTGTAGCGTTCCAGACGCCAAACATGTGTTAGATGGGTCAATCAGTGACTGCAGCGTCCGGTCAGGCGACACGAGACATTCTGCATACTCACCAACCACCCACGCCACGGGGCCTAGTACATCGATACCCACATTGGAGCCTGCTGGAAACAGGATCGACCGATTATCAACAAGCAGGAGTGACTCGGCTGACCGGGTGGCCTCCCGACGTACTCCTCTGACGCGTACAGCAACATTGCGGATCTCTGATCCAATCCGATAAGCAACAGTAGTTTTCGAACCGTTGCTGGACCATTGACCTGTTTGAGGCTGTTGCCAATACTCTTCTAGCCCCGAGGGTGGGAGTAGACTGACAAGTTTGACCAAAATGCCCACGTACCACTCAAAGTCGATCACCTCAGCGTAGTTGCCTTGCGAGCAGACGTCTAGCACACGATTCACGACCTCGGTTCGGTATTCACTGGGCAAGTCAATTATGGGGTCAGGGCCCACGTTAGATGCTCTTTGCCCCTCGGGGCTTTCAGTTCCGGCTCTCGCATAAGCATCGGCTTCAGGGTCCGGAGCGTCCCTTGACGTTGACAACGAGGCCAGCTGAAGTTGGTTCACTAACCGGTTCACCACTGGTTGCAGGGTGTCACTAGTGACGATACCAGCAGCAAGCTCCAAAGCCTGCAAGCGTATAGACACATCTGGATCGTCCAGGCAGTCCATGATCACATCTTGCTGCACAGACACGAGCATTGGGTGTGTCGTGACGATGCGGTTCAAGGCAAGAAGAGCAACGTACTTGACTGTTCGTTTCTCGATTTAGAACGTGTCATCAGGGTGGGGCAGATCCAAGGGACTTACGGTTGGGGTCCGAGTCTATAACTATCATCCCTCGTAGTTTTCCCACGCACAACGTAGCGACCTCATCTCTCTCTTGTAGGTTCTCTTCACCGTCGAGGATACCACCCTGAATGATACCATTGATACACTCGTATAAGAGTGACATGGCCGAGGTCGTCTGAATGATATTCGTCAACGGTCGCAGAAGTTTGCGTGTTAGTCGAGGCTCTAGCGGAGTCAAGGTCGCAAACTGTAATAATCAGAAGAGGAATGACACGTAAGAAGTATGGGGACACACCAGCTTGATTATCTTGATGGCCATCCAATTATTGCCGCTATCCACGAGCAGCTCAAAAAGTCGTGGTGCCAAAGGCAGAAAATCTTGTGGTCGGCGCCAACCGAGCTCACAGACAACATTGATGGCCGCTGTGGTCACGCTGATATCCTCCTGGTCGTCCATCAAGTGGTCCTTGATTTTGGGCCATGATAGCTTGAGTGCTTCCGGGTATACCAATGCAAGCCGGTAAAGACACACGATCGTCTTCTTGCGTACCACGGGGCTTGAGTGTGAAAGACGAGAAATTATATCCGGGAGCAGAGACATGGCCAGCGAAGGAGTGATGATATGTGGGAGAGTGATGAGCGGCAGGGACAAGGATGGAATATTGGGAGACACGATATCCTGTTCGCTTGTTATACACCGTACGCAGAGAAGAGTGAACGGAACCGACCTTTTTGAGCATATTTGTTGCCAACATCAGGACCTCGGTGTCTGGCCGGAAGCTTTGCACTGCTCCAAGATACCCCACTCGCTTCTGAAGATATTTGGAAGATGACATGACTTCCAGGACGTTAAAAGCCGCCCATGACATGTCATACCCAAACATCTCCAAGTATATGAGCTTGAGAAGCGCGGTAGCCTTCTTATCTAGTCTGGTTTAGCAGGCAAAAATGGCGGCTGGGGGGCAACTTGTTTACCCATATCTTGCGACTTGATCTCGGCCTTGCATTCCCGCAGGCAATCCTGGACATATTCATCTTCCCCGCCCTTGTGGTTCCGAAGACCCTTGATCAGGTCGTAGAGAGATTTCTCGAACCTAGATGATGCAGTCAGTTGGAGAACTCGCAGATCCCAATACGGATAACACACATCCTGTTTGGACTCGCGCGGCGAGGAAATTCAGAGGGTGGATATCAGCCACTGGCGACAAGAATCATGCTCTCCCCAGGTCTGAGATCGCCAGGAGCTCAGCCGAAGTAAAGCCGTTGTTAGCTGTTAGCTGCTAGCTGTTAGCCGTTAGCCGTTAGCCCTTAGTTGGGAAACTCGGAGTTGACGTGGGGAGTTCGATAAGGATCACGGGACCGTGTATCTGGTGCATTGTACGGGAGTTCTCCACTTTATGCTCTCGCGCTCTTCCAACACTTTCCTTTCCCTCTGCAGACCTTCGAGGCCCATTCGAAAGTTACAATGGCCCTTGTTGAAGCCCGTGAGGTAAATGGGTCTGATCTGATCTCCGCCCTTCATCTTTCCCAGCAGGCGCCGGCGATTCTCGGCCACAATCCTGCGAATGCGAGTGTGACTTCATCTACTTCATCTGCAGACACAGCAGAGGAGTACGGGCGGATCGAACAGCTTTTCCTTGCCTGTCTTCGAACCGGCGATGACAAATCCGCGCACGCGTGTCTTGATCGGTTAAGCCATCGATTTGGCCTTGCGAATGAGCGAGTGATGGGCCTCCGTGGCCTGTACGAAGAAGCGACCGCAAAGGACAATTCAGCGCTGGAGAAGTGCCTGGAGGAGTACGAGAAGGTTCTTTCCGAGAATCCCGTTAATGTGGTACGTTCGGATTCCACCAACCCGCGGCTCAAAAGGGGAATTTCTAATGACCAATGTGGTATAGCCCATTATGAAGCGTCGGGTAGCTTTGCTGCGCTCACTTAACCGGTCCCCCGATGCCATAGCTGCCCTTATCCAGCTCCTTGACGCGGTACCCACCGATGCGGAAGCTTGGTGCGAATTGGCAGACCTGTATCAGGCCCAGGGCCTCGGTGCCCAAGCAATTTTCAGCCTCGAGGAGGCTCTGCTGATAGCCCCAAATGCCTGGAATGTATGACTTGGGCCTTTAATCTGACCGAAATCTGAATTCGAATGCCTAACTAATGTCAACCAGATCCACGCCCGACTTGGGGAGCTTCTCTACGTCTGCACTTCGTCTGCCGAAAGCGATGCACCCCGGCTTGCAGGCAAGTCGGTACAACACTTCTGTCGCAGCATTGAGCTCTGTGATGATTACTTGCGAGGGTATTATGGATTGGTTCTGGTACGTATGACTCGAGAAGTCTATGCACGCTGCTCGGATACTGATTTGAAACCCGAACTCGACAGGCCTCGTCACACATGTTGGAGAAGGAATATGCGCATGAGAAATTCCCTGAGGCGGTCACGGCCTCTAAGAGCATACTTGCACAATTGAAACGGCTTGGACTTCAGAAAATGGGAGATATTGTGCGATCACGGTCGGTCGATGATCAACACTGGGCATCCAGTCGCAGTGAACTCATTGCGGCGAAAGAACTGTTAAATCGCTTTGAGAAGTCACGATCATAAGCGCTCAGGGTGTCTAGAGACGGCAGACTGGAGGATACCCCTGTTATATCCCAGAGTGTTAGATCTGTTAATGCATGGCGATCCGATCTTTGAAGGTCTAGAAGTCTGACTCGTCTCACGACCCGACATTCTTGGTGATGATTGGGCATTGGGCAGCAGATGGATGTGAATGTCAGAGCATAGTTTGCACGAATGTTGAAGTATGCCCAACCCAGCCCGAAAAAAGTAGAATCAGGCAGGCAAGATCCGCACCTAAAAAAAAGGCGCTCGCCTTCTTTTTCTTTTCCATATACTGCAACGCAGACTTGGCTTGACTCGCAGAGACGCAGAGACGCAGAGACGCAGAGACGCAGATTCGCAACATTCCATACTCTTACCGCAAGGGAGTCCAATCTAGAGTCCTATCTAGAGTCCAATCTAGCGGGGCACGGAGTCAATGCGCTTTCTCTTTGCCCCCCGCGTCCGCTTTGTTTTTTTTTTCCCTCTCTATCCCCCACCAACTTCCCTCTCCTCGCTTTTCGTATATGCGAGTGAGAGTGAGTGATTTTGTGTTTATTTATTTTTGACTCGGGACGTAAAGTAAGAGGCTCTGTATTGGCTCTATGACGTATGTTTTGGCCCTTTTTCCCCCTTCCCCTTCCCCTCTGTTCCCTCTGTTCCCTCTGATTTCCCTCTGTTATTCCGACTCCTGTCACTCCCTCTGCTCGACACTTAGCCCCCTTCCCGTCTTTTCATATTTCGCACTAACCCTTCCCCACCCCCTTCCAGGCTCAGTATTTCGATTGATCCCACAGACCCGTACGGCTCGGATAGCTCTCTGACGGACGAGGAGGATTCCTCGGTCGTCCAAGTATCCCTGCCTTCAGACGGGAGCCATGAAAACCAGGACTATGATGAGTGGGCACATCTGTCATATCCAGATGAATTGAAACCGTCTGATTCAGCCTCTCGACCAAGGACATCGCACCGTACCCGCTCGCTCCACGGTTCGCGCTCGGCTTCGGGCCGCCGCCAACCATCGCGCCGCCAGATGATCGAACGCGAGTCCATGGGCCCTCGAGCCCGGCAACGACACCGTTCCCCAGAATCGCCCGGCAGCGTCGGGTCAGAAGATTATCCAGAAAACTATGCGCGAAACACTCATGATCGACGGTGGCCTCCCCCTCCCGCCCCGCCTGCCGGCTACGCCCAGAGCGCTTCCTCTGGTCCATCCTTTAACGCCTACCCTCCGGCAACTGGACATGCTCCCTACCCACATGCCAACGGCCCTCTGCCGAGCGATCAACTTATTCGCTTCGGTCATGCCAACCCGGCCGGCCAGCCATATGGCCCTGGTCATGGCCCCTATCCCTATGGCGCTCAGCTACCATCATCCGGCGCTCCTATGTACCCTCCATACTATGCGCAAGACCAAGCACACCGACATCCTCGTCCGCCGCCCCAGCCACGAATCGACCCGCACAACCCCTCTCAACCCCCTATGCATCCCATGGGCGGTCATGGCCCTTCGCCCTATGCGGCTTCTCCTTTCCATCACGAGATGATTCCCTATGCCCCCAATGGCTATTATAACTATCGCGATCCCTATTCCCTCGTTCAGGGCATGATGCCACAGTCCTATTTTCCTTCATATCCTCAAGTGCCTTCTCCGCCTCAGCAAGAGGCGGCCTCCCCACCAGCCCCGACCCCAGCTTCAGCTCCCGCTCCTCCACCCGCAGACGCTGCGAAGGATGAAGCGATCGCACGTCTGGAGAAACTGATCTTGGACGATCGCACGGAACGCGAGAACAAAGAAGCAGCCCGTGTGGCAGCGATCGAGCGTGAGGCCGCCGAGGCTGCGGCTAAAGCGCAGCAGCTTGCACATGACCGCAAGATCACCGAGGAGGCTGCTATGCTCGCTCGCGCAGATGCCGAGAAAAGGGCAGCCGAGGACGCAGCTAAGGCGAAAGAAGAAGCAGAGAAAGCTGCTGCTGCTGCCGCCTCAGAAGCCGCCGCTGCAGCAACGGCTGCGGCAGCGGAAGCGGCCGCAACAGCATCAGCGACAGCCGCTGCTGCTGCTGCAGATGCTTCGAGCAAACCTGCCCCAGAGAAGAAAAAGCCAATCAAGTTTAAAGATGCCGTTGGCCGGAAGTTCAGCTTTCCCTTTGAGCTGTGCAGCACATGGCAGGTAAGTAGCGCTCGGTTTCTTCCCTCTCAGGTTTCCTTATGCGAGTAGCACATCTAACGTTTACGTCTGTCTAGGGAATGGAAGACCTAATTAAACAAGCCTTTCTTCACATCGAGGTCATTGGACCTCACGTCGCGGAGGGACACTACGATCTTGTCGGGCCCAACGGCGATATCATTCTACCTCAGGTTTGGGAGACGGTAGTCGAGCCCGACTGGACAATCACCATGCATATGTGGCCGATTCCAGAGAAGCCAAAGGAGCCTGATCCCGCTCCAGCGGCTGACCCTCTGCCTGCCGCGAAGTCGGATGCTCCTCCAGCCGCACCGGAAAAGAAGAAAGAAGGTATGTTTCGATCTCTTCCTTGGAGTTGGACAACTGCTGACTGATATTCAGGCAGCAAAAAACCCAAAGCGAAAGGTCCCACTCCCATGACTGGAGGCTTTGCCAATTGGATGATGGGTGGTCGCAACCCGCAGAGGGTCAGCAAGACCCCCAAGGCTGAGAAAAAGGCCGAACCAGCCGCCTAATGTGATATATGGCCACGACCGCCACTTCCATGGCAGCGCAAGTTTGCTCCGCCTGTGGCGTGACCTTTAATTGCTCCATGTGCTGTCTCTACAGGTGTCAAAATCATCAACAGAGACGGCCAGATCCGGGCTGTATGCCTTCATATCTATACCGCTTGGTCAACAATTCATATCTTCTGCAGCTTGAGTTTGGGTCGTCCATGCATTCGTCCACATACAGCTCATCTGCAGGCCTGCTCTTGAGACCCTTAAGACGCATGTCATTATTGGTCAAGCCTGGGTACTGTTCACTTTAACGTTGCCGTCTACTACTCGGGATAACCCCATCATTTAGTCTCGCACAGGCTATAAGTCCAATGAAATACCCATGAATATATTGCAGTATCTCGCTGTAGTTCTTGTAGAATGCCCCTCCCCACCCGGCACTGACTTCTGTAGACGTAATCTGGAACACTGCATACCTGCACACCTGATTGGGCTCACCGGTCCATGGGTATTGAGGGGGGGATAAATTGGAGAGAGAGCACAGTGCGTTAATTCATTTTAGTCTAGCTGGCTGACATAGACAACCCTTTCTTGTATCTCGTCCCAGGTCTCGATGACTCTTTAGGTCTTCTGTAGGGCTACTTGGTGGGCAACCCGTATGTTATGCATTCGTAGGTATTCAGTCGTTTCTCTGTCTTCTTGGTAGTAGCCCATATTAGATCAACTCGCTTGCTCTTTCTATCGGCAACTTCGCTCCGGATACAAGACAAAGTGTGAGCCTTCTTGCCAAGGTATTCTCTTGAAAGACCCTCGGTATATACAAGCAAAACTACAACCGCAAACTGACCACACTTTGATACCGAGAACATGATTATGACATATTATCTCACTCTCGTCACAACCGAGTACCTAATTGCCGTCCGTTGGGGGTTAGGAACAAAGCCTTTGACAGTTGCAGCAAGATCATGCCACACTGTGACTGTCAATAGCATATGACAGACATGTATAAGGATCCTAGTAACTGGGGCAGATAATAGAGCGAATTAGTAAACGGTCGTTCGAACAAGAACCGGATCTTAAGGTGAAGGCAGCCCTAATAATGATCTTCAATCAGGTGCTGTTACTGAACTTAGCTGACTATTGACTAGAACGGCATCTACTTGGATCAGGCTTTCTTCTACCTGCCAGATATAAAATGATAAATATTTCGTCAAAATACGCTGTATCCCATGTCCAGACTATAGCCGGCAGATATGAAGCCTTGTCTCACAGGTGGGCACCGGAAGTGCAGTAAAGACTTCACGTTGCATAGCAGAACAACCCCCCTGCTATTAAGTTAATATCGATACCGGCTTGGTGCCTGACTTCAAGAGATTGAAATGGCATGGTATTAATAAGGACGGGATATTGAATCAGGGGTGTTACAAAGGTGTGATTGGAAGGGATTTTACGCGGACCGACATATAATAGAGCTTGTTCTCTTTTTTTGGATTATACTCATAACCAATACCAGGTATCCCTCTGTTGTTCCGATCCTCGATTATTTATCTGGGAAAGGGGGCTCAGAGTATCCTCCCGTTGTTCTCTGCACATCTTTATTGTCATCTGATGGCATGATGAAGCCAATACTCAAGAAGGGCTTTCAAACGACACAAGCTTTATTTCTTCTTCCACCTATTCCCTGGACTTCACCGAGTCCGACGCGCGTTTCTATGGTCTCTGTAGCAACCTGATACTATTTTCTGTTGTTGAGTATGATTGCATCGAGCAGCTTCACAGTGACATTTGGTACTCGAGGATATGCATGAACCGATGGACCTTGACTTGCATCCGCCAGAAATGGCTAGTAGTGGTAATGGCGTGTTTCCGCCAGTCATGCCTATTTCTATAGACTACTTCACATCTCACTACCTAATCGGTTCGTATGGCCCCGGTCATTTCATTTTTCCAGGCAAGGGGTGGCTTTAGTGATCTGACAAGGGCTTATACCCCTGAACATGATAGCCCGGACGTTGCGCAAACAGCCGGTTTTTCGGCCACAGTTTGTCTAGGCAAAACTCGGTGGAGGTTAGCAAATGATGAATCCAGCAAGCAGTAAACCCTCTTTGGTGGGGAGGTGTGCATGACACTATATGGTGGGATGATAGTATGAGATAGCTGCATTACTTATATAAGCCAAAACCATTGAATGAATGGGCAAACGGAGAGAGGAGCAAGAAACCCCTAAGCAGGACTAAGATTACTATTACATTTTGTGGAATTCTATAAACGAAGAAGGTCTGGCCAAGAAGCAAAAGAGAGGCCTAATGAACCGGCTGGGGGCCTGCTCCTCAGGCTCCCGTTTTAAGTTTTTTATTAAGACCTATCTCAACTTGATATTAGCTTGATCACTCCCTTGTTACCCACTCATACAATAGCCGACGAAGCGGCATTGTGCCGTTTTGGCAATTATATAAAATGCTCATAATTGAGTGGGGGAGAAGAATTATCCAATTTGGCTAGGATAGACTATGTATGGGAACAGAATAATGATGGCTGCGAGGTTCTCGCGGAACGATACTTGATTGTAGCTGAAGGAAGTAGAGTAGGGTTGGGGGGTGGGGGTTAATCTGTAGTTCCAGTCACGATTCTGGGGCATTTCGGGGATATATTCCGGACGAGCCCGGACCAACCGATTTGCCCTGAAAAGGGTCTCTGAATAGTCACGTATTTCCCAAGCGGGCCACCATCCCCTAAATCATGTACAAACTACTTTTCTAAAGCTCAACAACCATGCAGTATTTTAACTTTAAAGTCTGCCTACTACTATTTATTGCTACTCCGAGCAATCCCTACATTTCTTAGAGTGATCTAGTAGAAAGCAAAGCATATTACAAAAATTGCACTAGTGGAATCTCACATGGTGCCGTATGGCAGAAAAAGTAGGGTAGCGTGACCGTTCGTATCCCCATACAAGCGTGTTATCACACTAGCCTTATCGAAAAAAATTGATATCAAGCAAGTGACACACTTTACATTCTTAATTGAACTAACGTATACATAAAAGAGATATAGATAGACAAGCTTAATTATATTAAATAAGTTATTCAAAGAAGAATAACTTATTTTCGACAGAATGTTGTAACTTGAGCCAATACGTTGTATATAATCTGACCGAACCCGCAAATAACCCATCTCAACCCCGAATTTATATAAAGTTTAGGTCTTAGCGTATATAATTCAGTTTATTAATCTAAATTAAATACTGTTATTTACGTATGTTCTGGTTCGGATTTTTTTAAATTATTAACATTTACCTAGTAATTAATTTATTAATAGTAGTTATGATTGATTTATATTTTTATGGCAATATAGCTATAGTGTTGTAGTAGAAAATTAGGTAGAAAATTAAATAGGTAGAAAAGGGGACCTTATTATATAGAAATAACTCCTATTTTATACTAGTACCCTTTACTCTTACCTATACTTAACTACTTAATCTTTATAGTATAACCTTATAATCTATATCAATATAAGCCCTCAGCGTTACTATATATTTTCTTATTTTCTTATTTTCTAATTTCTAGACTAAAGTAGTATACCTATATAGGATATTAAAATATATTAGAACTTAATGTTTATATTACTTTAATAGATAAAGTGGCTCTTATTAATATCCAATCCCTTTTATATTAAATACTAATTATTATCGCTAAAGAATAAGATATTTTCCAAGAAGGTAGAAAGGATAGTAGAATATTTGAAGAGAGTGAAAGGACTGTTATTTCTACTTAGTGTCTCGCGCGTATTTATAGACAGAAAGTGGTCAAAGTCACATGTCTGGGATAAAGGAATATAATTGAATCAATGACAAAAAGAACAGACTAGACCATTGTCAATGATAAAATAACTGAGTCGATGACTCATATATTTGGCGGGGTGAAGAGGGGGTAAAATATCTCTTTGGTATCAAACGAAAAGAGGGGTAAGCTTAACTTTCTTTGTTTGACAACTCCTCTTATTGTTGAAATAAGAGGATAGATTCACCTTATGTAGCATTGGTCCAAATTCCAACAATACTTTATTCTTTTAGTCCTATAGATTTAGTTTAGATTCTAAATCTTTATTACTGTATCTCTAAGGAGTATTTATAGGGTTGGTTTTCTCTAAATGGTATTTAATAGTAAAATTAAAAGCTATTAAATATATATACTATCTTACCTATCTTCCATTAAGTTTAGGCTAATATATAAATACTTATAAATTAGTATAATTAGATATAGAAAGTAATTGATAGATTAAAGACCTGAGGTAGTATCGCTAGTATTAAAAGGAATATATAATAGTGAAGAATTCTTAGTCTAACGTATTATAATTTACTTCTATTTCAGTGAACTTTCAGGACTAGAAATTAGATACTAATTACTCTTATTATTAGGTTATAATATTGTACTTACTATTCTATATTTTAATATATTAGGCTTTAGTTAGATAGGTTATTATAGGTTAAAGTATTAGAGTAGTAAAGTATATTTAAAGGTATCAAAAATTTAGTAAAATGTAGCCATTTTTTTATTAGATAATTAGATATTACCTATCTATACTAGAGGGTAAATAGGTCTATATAGACGTAACTTATTATTCTCTTTCTTAAACTAACTATACTATTAATCTTAAAATAAATAAGGCTTTATCTAATACTTAGATTATAATTAATTATAATATAAAGATAAATAAGAAATTAGATTATTCTTTCTATATCTATAGCTATAAGAGGGACTAACTAGACTCTATAAATAGGTATTCTAAGACTATTTATAGCTTTAATTAGAGATTTATTAAGCTTAGCTTACTCTAAGCTATACTTAGATAAATTAGTAGCTAATTAGTAGTAGGTATTCTTTAACCCAGTGAAGCTCGCTTTAGAAACACGCTGCTATACGGGGTGCTCCGAACCAAGCCCGAAACGGAAGATAATGAATATGTTGGAATTTGGACTAATACTAATAAGCCTTTTGCATTCTATCTTTTTCTTT